GCATTGCAACCATAGCACTACCGACAAGCATTAAACACCATGATTATATTTCATATACAAACCATTAGCTAGTCCGAGCCAAATTTTAACTTTAAGGATATCAATCTTATAATTATGTATATTTGGTTGAAACAAATACTTCAAAGCTTGAATTTACTATAATAATGTTCAATCATTCATTGAAATACAGGGTAAAGGAGAATGGTCTATAGTCTATAAACTCAAATGCAAAAAAAGCAGAAAAAACAAGAATAATGATTTTATGGAATGTTTTTGTGTTTTTCTTCTGAAATGCAATAAATTAAAGGGTTGTTATACTTGTAATTGCTTATAAGAAAAACTATATACATGTACTACAGGTATAGTCATATGACCTTTTCAATAGGCTTAATAAATCTGTTTCATATGCTAAAAACAGGAGGCTCATTGTGGCCCTGTAGTTGCTCATAGGGAAATCTTTGATATATCATACCTACTTTAAGCTGACAAGTTAAAAGAAGGTAACTAATTTTAATGAATCTTTGCAGTAATTTATGTGTAAAAGTCTGACTGACTAAACCTTTTTATACAAGGTCAGAAAGGAGCTCTTCAATTACCATATTTTAAATAAATACAATAATATGTTTCCATACAATTTAGCAAAGATTGTCATTAAAAAAAAAAGCTAAATAAAAATTCCCTAAAAAGTATAAAAAAAAGTTAAATAAAAACTCCCTAAAAAGTTTGTCATGAAATTTGGAAAGAAATTTTATTTTTAGATTAAGTGTTAAAATGTTGACGTATGGCAGACAAAGTATTCCTATTATCACGCCACAGATATTTCTCTGCTCCAAGGCTTCCAGAACACAAAAGACAAGTTATTCCAATAAGATATTCTACATTTACTAAAGACTGCAGACCAAAATACTGAAATGTTAGAACAGGGCAAAAAAATAGACGGTTTTCTTATGATCAGCTGAAATATCTACTTGATACCTTTCAATTCACACAATTAGTCAGTTCACATACGCCTAGTAACATTTAAACATTTCATTTAAATCTTCATACAACATTGCATTGTTGTTTTGACAAAGAAATACACACAAGAACACACATAATAAATATACAAATAAATGATAGGCTATAGTTATCATCTGCTATCAAATAACATGTACTTTAAATATGACTAAATTCATTTTAACAAATTCAAATGACAGGAAATTATTCTAGGGATTTAATAAAAATCAGATTTTATTTTTCAAAGAATATCCACTTAAAAAAACAACAAAAACAAGTTCAATGAAAAAAGTACAAAAACGTACCTAATTGTACTATGAACTTCGACAATTTACATAACCCTGTTCAACTAATTACATTTGGAATATAATTCTTACATAGATTTCAGATCTAAATCAACACACCCTGTTCCCCTGAAAAAGTTACAAAATCAAAAATGAAGCTTAAAACTTGTTTCATTTTTTGTCAATTTTCAAAAGACTTCAGGTTCAAATTTAAGTATAAAAGAATTGTGTTACAAAACTCAAACAATAATACAAAGAAATGATAAAATTTTAAATTTCAAAAACAATTTTTTAAGAAACAACTTTTTTGAAGTGTGAACCACATGTATATTATAGTTTTGCATGTTTAAACTTTTTTTCCCATCAATACATCAATATTGCAAATTCCTTTTATATTCTTTCAGGTAGGTACATTTCATTCAAACACAAGTTGTTTGTTTTCACATTTAAATATTGTAGGAATGAGCACACATACACAAAATCAGACAGTCACCAATTAAATATGAGGAGATATAAGCTTATTGTCACACATTTTATGTAAAAAAACAAATCCAGTTGTAACAATCTTGACAAGTATACAAATTTTCATTTCAAAGAAAATATTTGAGCTGTGTCACGACAAAAACCAACATAGTGGGTTTGCGACCAGCATGGATCCAGACCAGCCTGCGCATCTGCGCAGTCTGATCAGGATCCATGCTGTTCGCTTACAAACCCTATAACAAGTAGAGAAACTCAGCATGGATCCTGATCAGACTGCGCGGATCCATGCTGGTCGCAAACACATTATGTTGGTTTTGTCGTGAGGCGGCTCAATTTTTATATTTCATTTAAAAACCTTTAGCCTGCTTGCAGCAACTGAATAAAGCCATGTGACCCGTGCAGACCAACATCAGCCAGCATGTCCATGTAATCTGATCATGGTCTGCACGGATAACTACTCAGTCAATATGTGTTTTGAAACAAGTCAATTTCAGGTACTTAGTATGGTATGGGTTAAAGAGGTATTTGTCTGGCAGGTTGCCAAGTTCTTTCTGACAGTCTGGCAGGTTGCCAAGTTCTATATGACAGTCTGGCAGGTTGCCAAGTTCTATATGAGTCTGGCAGGTTGCCAAGTTCTGGCAGTCTGGCAGGTTGCCAAGTTCTATATGACAGTCTGGTAGGTTGCCAAGTTCTATATGACAGTCTGGAAGGTTGCCAAGTTCTATATGACAGTCTGGTAGGTTGCCAAGTTCTATATGACAGTCTGGCAGGTTGCCAAGTCCTATGTGATAGTCTGGCAGGTTGCCAAGTTCTATATGGCAGGTTGCACAGAAATTATTATTCTTATTATTCAAGATCTAAATTAGATTCATATATTTTGGAAATTCAATTCCAAAAACTTTTCAATACTCTGTGTACATGTACTCCCTTTCTTCATATTATCTTCATTAAATTTCTACTTTTTCACTTCTCTAGCTCAGTGAAGTATTCTCTTCAAAAATATCAAATATTCTCCAAATACACCCTGTGACTAATTATAAAACAGTGGATATAAAAACTAACCCTATTTCAAATCTTGATTTTCTGCTTTTAGTTTTAGAACACATTCAGTTGCAATAGTTTGATGTAAGATATATTCTGACTAGAAAAATCTCCTCGTTAGCTTGCATGCAAAAAATATATATCAAAATTTGAAATATGCCTTTTATTTCTTTCCTAATCAAATTTCAATTATGTCTTTAGGTTGAAAAAAAAAGCTCAATAAATATTTTCATATCTATTGACTTGCTACCTTAATTAATTGACTTTTACAAGTTTTGAATTATTTTCATTGTAAGATCCATCTAAATTCATCAACTTAAGCAAACCAAGGGTTAAACACCACACTGTCCTAACTGAATGAACATATTAAACTAGTTACGGCAGTGTTGGTATAAACCCTGAAATCATCAGGATAAACTATATTTATAGAATTTCAATACTATTTATAAGTTGAATTAAATAGCCATTTTAAAACAAAGTCACCAACAAAGTCAACCTACAAAGCTATTTCAATAAAAATTTAGCTACTCAATTTTCTGTTCGACAAATTCACCATGTATAAGGACTTATGTACAATCAAGCGGAACATTTGAGCCGTGTCACGACAAAACCAACATAATGGGTTTGCGACCAGCATGGATCTAGACCAGGATCCATGCTGTTCGCTATCAGATTCTCTACTTGTCATAGAGTTTGTAAGCGAACAGCATGGATCCTGATCAGACTGCGCGGATGCGCAGGCTGGTCTGGATCCATGCTGGTCTCAAACGCACTATGTTGGTTTTGTCATGACACGGCTCATTTTAAATCTAGACAAACACCCTGTCTCACTGAGAGAACAAATACATAAAAAATGACCAGACCTAAAATAATGTAAAATGTCACATATATATCAATTGAAATAACATGATCTATTAATAGTAACAACAATTCCATGACAAGTTTTCTATACAAGCATGAAATGTACAACTTGTAGTAAACATTCAAAATTATTTCATTAAAAATTATGAATGACAATTAATGATAAAACTATGCAAACTAGTAAGCCAGTCTGTTCAAGACTTCCTCACTTATTTTGGCAAAATTTGATAAAAAAAAGTTCAATGAGGTTCTTGTTTCCACAATTCTGACAAAAAGTCCATCAAGGCTGCAGGTTGTCAGGACTGCCCTTATATTCCTGGACTATAACAATACTGGTTAGATATGAGGAAATTTGGTTGTTATCTATATAGCACTAAAATTCATGATTCAAAAACAGAGACAGATACCTTATCTCATATCCTTCACATAAATTTAAAAAATTTTTGTGTTTCAAAAACAATAATTGGATAGTTTATATTTAAATTAAAGTTTAAAAGCTTAATTAAACAACAATGGAAAAAAAGTTTTAAGAAATCTTGAACAGACAATAAAATGATTCAATTTTTTTTTCATCAATGTAAGTCAGAAAGATTTTAGACCATTACACTGAATGTAGGACAAAACCCCACCAGTTAAAACCCCACCACTCAAAATTTTATAGAGTGGACAAAACCCCACCATTAAATTTTATAGAGTGGACAAAACCCCACCACTATATTTATCAGAGTGGACAAAACCCCATCACTTCAGTTTTATAGAGTGGACAAAACTTTCTTGTAAACATGTTAAAAAACAAACAATTGTGCATCAGCAGAAACTGAAAAGAATAAATGCTATATGCTATAATTATCATGTTTTGTTCTTTAGGGATTTGGATGTTTTTTGTGTACAATTTGTAACACCTTTTTTGCAATCAAAACATCAATAAATAATCTGTTTTGTTCTTCAGGGAATTGGATTAAGTTTTTTGTGTACAGTTTGTAACACCTTTTTTGCATATTGCACATGCAAGATGTACATGCATTGTTAATAAAATTGTTCATTCTTATATTACACAAATGTTATATTGAAATTAAAAAATAAAATGTGAAAAAAATGTGTATATTATATATATTTTAATTCATCAAATCTTGCCCAATAATTGGTAAGTGTGGAGTTATGTCCACTCTATAAAACTGAAGTGGTGGGGTTTTGTCCACTCTGTAAAATGTAGTGGTGGGGTTTTGTCCACTCTATAAATTTTAGTGGTGGGGTTTTGTCCACTCTATAAAATTTTGAGTGGTGGGGTTTTAACTGGTGGGGTTTTGTCCGTCTTCCCATTACACTATAGAACATCCTTATAAACAAAAAATGTCCATCCAAAATATTCTATAAGCACCAACGTCTCAGAAGAAAATAAGTGCTTTTTCTTTCACTTTGTACATTTGATGATGTAATAGCATTATAACCATTAAAGTCTTAGTCAAAAACTGCTTCCTAAGTCACAATGACGAAAAAAAAATAAAATGCTCGGCTACATGAATCTTCCGTCCTTTCATAAAAAAACATTTTTCAAAGATCATATAATATATAAAACTCAGATTCACTTTGCTCCATCCATGTTCCTTAAGATGATGAAATATAATTGAAAGACTGTATCTAAACACGTATTTTCACGAATATCCTCCAAAAAAAATCAAAACAATCTGGAATTCCGCAGCTAAACAACAGTTCTTCTACTTTTGGGGGTATTCTTTTGTTTGTCTTCTTTTTACCTCTCTCCCCTCTCGTGATTACAAACACTTACAAAAGAAAAACATGTCACATGTCACAATACACATTGATGAAATAAACTATGAAAAATTGAAGCTGTTTTAAAAAATCTTAAATTTGCAGACGGGGGATTTTTGTGTGTGTGTGTGTTAAAATATGGGTATTCATCATTGATACGATGCTCCGGTGGCTCCGCCGCTTTGGTCAAGCTTGCCATAGTCTGGATTTATGAATGAGAAACCTCTAAACTCTTCCTGGTTAATTGCCTTTACAACTGTTATATCTATAGGAGTTAATGTTGGCTCTTCTGTTGTAAAATCTTTGTCAAAATTGTTGGCATCTGTCTTTGATTTCTGTAACAACAATAAAAAAAATGTCAATTTTTTTAGTCAATGACTTTCAGTCTGACAAAAAAGAAAGCAAAAAAAAACAAACAAACATAAATTCTTTATACTGTTTAAAATCTTTGTTAAAGTCTACATTCTTTCTATTTTTAATACATTACTAATTATTCAAAAGTTTCATAAATTAATTTACAATGTAAATACCTTCAATCAAAATCGTTTATTTTTTTTTTAAATAGAAATAGATACAAAAATTTAACATTACCATGTCAACTAGAAATAAAGAACTTATAAAGTCTGTTGCAATGTATTTATATTATACATATGAAAAAAGAAAACAATCCATACAAATAAAGTTATAAATAAAATTGTAAATCATACATTTTTGGTTCATGTTTTGAAATTGTATATATTCATTGCTTAGGCCAGAGGCCTTATATCAGATAAAATTTTGTTGTTGTTGATGATGATGATACATTAAGTCAATGCAATCAAATTGTTAAATGGTCTCTTGCATTTTGCATAATATATTTTAACTTTAGTGTACAACTATGAATAATACACTTACTATTTTTGGTTTAAAAGGTGGCTTAACAGCTTTTTGTTCAAGAAGTTCCCAGTTGATTTTTTCATGGAAGAAAGGATGAACTAGTATAGCCTTTTCTGCTCCATGGTTCTTTACACATCCTAGTCGCTTTACAGGATTTTTAGTCATAAACTGTAATACACAACATAAAACTATATATCTGATTGATAATTTTTCATTTGAAAAAAAATTGGCTTATTCTCTTTAAAATGATGTAAAAAATTATTTAAAAACTTCATTCTCATTTTTGTTTCCTTCTAAATTTAAAACAACAAACAAGTCGCAAATGAAAACTTTACTCTTCTGCTATGACATCTAAACATATATGATACCTAATGATCAAAATCATTTTTGTTTTAGCCTTTTTATATAAAACCAACTTAAACATAGTAAGTGATAAGTGAAAATAGACATTGTTGACCCTTTAACATGCCACATCAGTTTAGATATTGAATTAGTGTATATTCAATACTGAATGTATGGAACATGATACTGCTCGCTCTTATATGCTATATACTGCTAGATATTATATATTCCACAACTTACATAAATTTAGTAATGAACTTGCATGATTATAATACTCTATTTATCACATATCTTAATAACTGTTTTCAGTAAAAACAACCATTTTTTTCAAAGTAACTCCCACATTAAGCACAATTTTACGCCCAGTATTTAATAATGCAAATGTTGTTGTTCAAAAAGCCATGCTATACCATTTTTATGAAGTCGTAAAGGTTGCACAGGAATGATATGATTAGCAATATTAGACACTGTTGAAGATAAAAATTTAAGACACTGTCAAAACCTAGAAAGGATAGATTATGTTTAAAGAATCAGTGATAATAAATACAATTACCCCTTTAAGTGCTGACACAGCTTCCTTACTAAGCCAGACTGGATATAAAACATCATCGTGGAGAATTGACTCAAACAAATCATCTTCATTCTCAGCTTCAAATGGAGGCTGACCTGCCATCATTTCATACATTAGAACACCTAGTGCCCACCAATCTACGGATGCATCATATTCTAACTCCTGTAGAATCTGTAAATATCATATGTTTCATATTGTTAGTAAAATTCTTTTAGAATATTGGACAACATTTATACAAACTTACAAGTTTGACAAAACTGATAGTTTTGATATGTTTCTCTTTGTTTTAAATAAACATTAAGAATCAAAGAATGCATATTTAATAGAACTTTTCAAGTTCTAAAATTTTAAAGTTTCAAATAAATGTGATAGAAAGTTTCCAACACACTTACCTCAGGAGCTATATAATCTGGAGTGCCACAGAATGTTTGAGTAAGCTTGCCTTCATACATTCCTTCTTTACACATACCAAAGTCTGCTATCTTACAATGTCCTTCACTATCTAGTAGAATATTGTCTAATTTCAAATCTCTGAAATATACAAACACAACTTTTACAACACTGCAAGTAAAGTATAACAAAGTCTAAAGTATAAAGGTACAATTGGTATTCCTATTTAAATCTGATGTATTCCTATCGGTCAAACTGTAACAGCTATCTTCATTAATATTTCACATAGTTTTTTTCTAAATTATTTCTCAACTATATTTCAGGATAGAGAAATCTTGTGATGAATAAAAGGAACAGACATGAAGGAAAAGTGAAAATCATGTATGCTAACTTTTTTAAAGTCTTAAGAAAAAGGAGACACAACTTTAAATGGCTCAGGTCATATGTTCACCTAAAGGCCCTGACAATGGTTGAATGGTATCATGATAAAGGGTACTAACTATAAAGTATAATGAATTTACTTCCCTACGGCATCAGACCACCAAATTATGGCATAAGTGTTAAACTACAATTCAGGATTTCAAATTACACAACTTGATATTGCATAGATACATGAAATAAGAATAAACTGGTAACTATACACTTTTTTCCAAAATATGTTGTACAAGAGGACAATAACAAGTGTGACCTCATACCTGTATATGATACCGTGCTTATGGAGAAACATTAATGCTAGTGTGACTTCAGCAGCGTAGAACCTGGCCCGAGGCTCATCAAACTTTCTTGCTCGTTGAATTTGGAACATTAGATCACCGCCGTTTACATACTCCATCACAAAAAATAAACGATCCTGAAATCCAACATATATTCTATTATTATTTCAACAAATAGAAATGCACTTGATAATAATTCACTACCTTTGTTTTCCCAAATTTATCGTTATTTCACTAATGTGAAAGGAAACTACAATGGAATGATAACATTATTAATCTAATTGATGTTTTGCCACTGGAGGGTTCAATAAGACAAATGTTTCTTTTACTGATAATAATGATTAAAATAAATATTTTAAAGTTGCATTTTCAATTAACAGAGTCTTAATTTAGCTAAAACGTAATATGAAATTTAAAGTCTGTGTTTATTTTACACAAGTAATACAGAATGCCCTTATCTCCTACAAGAACTTCCAATAACAAGAGCTGTCACAGGAGACAGCGAAGCTCGACTAATAAAATACTGGACGCAGTAAGGAGGACAAAACTATGAAAGAAAAATCAATTATGTATAATTATGTATTAAGTTATAGTAAAAAATAACATTTGTTAACATAAATTCCAAGATCAAGGGGAATAATTCTAGAAATAGTCATGCTAGAGTTATGGACCTTGCCACACAACATTTGTGTAATGATAAGAAATATATATTTGAAGTTTGAAGTAGATACCTTAAAAAATAAAGAAGTTATTATATTTCTTAAAGAAAATCCTAAGTTCAAAGAGAGATAAATCTGTAAATATTGCTTCAAGAGTTATGAACATTGTCACATAAAATGTAATTGATGATAAGGAATAAGTATTTGAAGTTTGAGGTAGATACCTTTAAAAATAATAAAAGTTAAAATAAAAAATAACATTTTTCTAGTAAATTAATCTAAGTTTATGGGGAGATAATTCTTGCAATATTGGTGCTAGAGTTATGAACCTTGTCACATAAGATGTGGATGATGATAACGTAAATATATTTGAAGTATGAAGTTGATCCCTTTAGAAATAAATAAGTTAGAGTAAAAAATAATATTTTGTATGGAAAATTCTAAGTTCAAAGGGAGATAAATCTGAAAATATTGGTGCTAGAGTTATGAACCTTGTCACATAATATGGGGATGATGATAACGTAAATATATTTGAAGTATGAGGTTGATCCCTTAAGAAATAAAGAAGAAATAGTATTTTTTGAGGAAAATTCTATGTTCAAGGGGAGATAAATCTGAAAATATTGGTGCTAGTTATGAACCTTATCACATAAGATGGGGATGATGATAAGGTACATATATTTGAAGTATGAGGTTGATCCCTTAAGAAATAAAGAAGTATCAGTAAAAAATAGTATTTTTTAAGGAAAATTCTAAGTTCAATGGGAGATAAGTCTGAAAATATTGGTGCTAGAGTTATGAACCTTGTCACATAAGATGTGGTTGATGATAAGGAACATATATTTGAAGTTTGAAGTTGATACCTTAAGAAATGACAAAGTTATAGTGAAAAATATTTTACTGCACCAAAACTTTAATCTAAAATCTGGACGTGGACGCGGACGCCGACGCCGGGGCGAGTAGGACAGCTCTCCATATACTTCGTATAGTCGAGCTAAAAACAGTTCATTAGTTTAAATGGCACAAAAACAAACCAAAACAAATATTGGTGCAATGCTTAAATCCATTGACTTAACATTTTTATTATAAATCTTCACTGTAAAGCAAGTTGAAGTTCTTACCTTAGTTTGGAAACAGGAATGAAGTGCTGTCAAAAACGGATGTTTAGCTGACAAAGCTAGAATTCTTTTTTCCGTCATGGTACAATCTACATCATCATCTTGTATAATAACATCTTTCTTTAAAACTTTAACTGCATAAACTTCATCATGACCCTTTCTCTCTGCCATCATTACCTGGAAGTGCACACATTATAAATTTTACTGTTCTTGATAGCTGCCATCTGTAATAACTAATGTCACTGTTACAGAATCACGCCAACCAATATGCTGTTAGTGACTAAATTTTTTGTTTTTCCATATTGAAATTTCTTAGATTTATAAGTAAGAGTTCTAAATTATAGGCATGGAAAGTTCATTTAACAATTTCAGCCGGATCATAATTAATATCATATAGCTACCACAGTACTTCATAGTTCATACCATCCTTCAAAACCTACAGAATTGCAAATCAAGCAAAACAAGAAATGTGTCAATAGGATATGGGTGCCCCCACACTAATTTGTCCATCTACTTTTAACTTTTAGGTTTGACAAAAACTCTACTTACCTTGCCAAAACTTCCTTTTCCTAAAACTTTTATAAAATTATAATCGTGTATGGTGTATTTATCTTTTCTCCGTGACCGTTCCTGTGAGGGACTGCGTGCACGTCTATCATGATCTTCACTTGAACCGACGGTCAAGCTATTGTTGGGACTATTACCACCAAGGCAGTAATCTTGATCTACAAAAATAATATACAGAAACAAATTATAAGTCTAATAAAAAAAAATGATATGTTTTCATATGTAAAGTAACTTTACAAATTTATAAATTTACAACTTAAAATTGTTTTAGCCAGATGAAAAGATATGCTGAAATCATGCCCCCTCATAAATAAAGCTGTCTGCTAAAAACTGTCAAAAGTGAGTTATCAGCAAGCAAATAAGGTTTATTATAACAAAGTTATCACAAAGTAAACAATATTTAATTTCACTGCTTAATAAGTAATTATGAAAATCAGCAAATTTTTAATGAAGTTTTCAAACAAAGAAAACCCATTTAAACAAGCATTTGATAGTATTGCGGGCAATACAGTAGTCCCCTACCGGTCCCTCAAAAAGTTCTTTAATTGTCATACACTCCTGTGTATTGCCATTTATAATGAATTTGAGGATGAAGTCTGTATTTGAAAATATCAACCACAAAACATAATAAAATAAGTTTGTCTAAATCACAGTAATGTGTTTAGTTTCCATGCTTAGTAAGGAAATTATGTTTATACAACCTTGTCATATTATTACGATGTGGGATTTTAAAGTAAATCCTATAAAGAATGAAGAAGTTGGAGTGAAATACCAGTTTCTCGAAAAAAATCTAAGTTCAAGGGGGACATAATTCTGGAAATAGTCTTGCTAGAGTATTTAACCTTCTCAAAAATGTTGAGTGATAATAAGAAACATATATATGAAGTTTGAAGTAGATACATTAGGAAATAAAGAAGTTATTTAAAAAAGACAACATTTTTTCCCCTAAAAAATCTAAGTTCAAGGGAGGTAATACTGATATTTTTTGTGCTAGAGTTATAAACCTTGTCACATATGATGTGGTTGATGACCAGAAACTTATATTTGAAGTTTGAAGTAAACACGTTAAGAAATAAAGAACATATAGTGAAAAAAGCTGAAAAATTTAAATCAGAAATCTTGAAATTCAGGCTATTTGTTGCCATAGCAACCAGAATTTTCAACAAAGGAAGAAAAGAAAAAGATGTGCATAATCTCCAGACTGCCATCTACCCATATTTCAAGTTTCATAAAAATATTTTCAGTACTTTTTGAGTTATCACTGGATCCAGTTTATGTGTTAAATTTGCCATATTTTCAGACTATTTGTTGCCATAGCAACCAGAATTTTCAACATAGGAAGAAAAAAAAAAGACGTGCATAATCTCCATACTGCCATCTATCCATATATCAAGTTTCATAAAAATATTTTCAGTACTTTTTGCGTTATCGCGGGATCCAGTTTTGTGGACGGACGGACTGACGGACTGACAGACAGACGGACGGAGGGTAAACCTAAAGTCCCCTCCGGTTAAACCGGTAGGGGACTAATAATGATTTTACAATTATGTACCTGGTTACTTTCACTGTTCATTATGTAATCATGATAATCAGCTAAAATCTATTGGAAACAAGAATATAATATCCGCACTTACCTGGTATCATTTGGCCTAATCTGTTTAAATCATTGCCCGAAGATTTTTGAGTAGTATCATTCTCACTTATTGATGGCTGAAAGAAAAACATAGAGAAGATATGAGCCGCGTCACGACAAAACCAACATAATGGGTTTGCGACCAACATGGATCCAGACCAGCCTGCGCATCCGCGCAGTCTGATCAGGATCCATGCTGTTCGCTTACAAACCCTATAACAAGTAGAGAAACTGATAGCGACGCGCCTCATATAGATTGAAAACTGTCGCTACTTTATATTCTAAGTATCAAACAAAAAGGTTGTTTTTGTTAATCAAACACAAATCTCAGTCAGAGATGAATGTATATGCTTTTTAATACCTGTGCTTTTTACTAACTTGTTCCCTTCAGATAATTTGTTATCTGGTAAGTTGCAATTTTTTAAGGCTAATAGTATTTTTTCTAACTTTTTAAGGTGGAATAGGAAAAACAATGTCAGCTATTTTCTCTTTTCTCTCTGATGAAATGTACAAAACATACCTTTTTTCTGCCTTTGGTGAGTTTATCGGTGGTTAAACCAATCTCTTGCAGGATCTGTGCCATGTCACGTGTGTTAATTCCACAATTGTTTGCTACATTTTTCTGACAACGTTTATGTACATTCATCTTGCAAGCTGGAGAAAAAAAAACAACATTCAAATTCACTCAATTATTACCAAACTTTTTACTTGAAATGTAAAGAAATATGTTGTTTTTACTGAAATAAGTTACGTGACCATAGAAATCTGTTAAATACTTTTTTTTAAATTTCTAATGCATTCTAATAATGCTATGTAAAGCAGCTAAATATTCATAAAATATGATAAACCATGAACAAGCCAGTGAAACTTGTAATATTAGTTTCACAACTTACTAAACCATAGAGTCTTTAAAGAGCTGTTTTAAACAGAATATTTTATGCATTATTTCCGAACTAGTTCTCAAAACTTTATCAATCATTTAGACTGAATCTTAAATCTCATGAATGTTTAAAAATGTTTTGGTTTTATAATGTCCAACTTACCTTCACACTGAAGCCCCTGTCGAATTATTCCATACAATAATGACCCACAATGGTCACAAAATGTTGGCCGTTTGCAATTATGAACAGAAAATCGATGTGGAACATTGATATTAAATCTTGTACCTGCACCCTGAAAGATAAATCATTTACAGTGGGTTAGAAATTATCAATTTTACAAACCAATGAAAGTATCTCTCGACTTTTAACCAAGAATTATGGTATTGTTTGTACAGGAGTCAAAGATAGATATAGATTACACTCATATCTACATTCTGAACAATAGCATAACACAAGGCATAAAAATTCCTCTTGTTAAATGCAAACTTGCAACATTTCCAACTCTGTCCCTTTAAAGCATTCCTCTAGCCTAGTACAATTTTTTTTATTCAACTAAGTGAATAAGGATATTACAATATAAAACTTTTTAAAATTTGGTAAATAATACTCAAAGCATCCTGAATTAAATTGAAAAGATGGTCTGAATATCCTACAAGGATAACTGAAATTTAATGTTGTTTGTACAATTTGTTTGCGACTGTAAACTTTTAATACATAGTTCCTGATAGGAGAAACATACACCATTATCACTAAACATTTCTTTTCTTAAATGGTACAGTATATCCGCACCGTTACACAGACTTACGGTGTAAATGTCGATATTGTATGCCTACCTGAATTAGTACATTAATTATTATTTTATTTCAAGTATATATGTTGTAAAATCTTACTTCTTCTGTCTCTTCTGTTGACTTGTCTTTTATACCAGGACATTTTGTCACCACATGCTGATGGCACCTCTTGTGAACCACACATGTACATACTATAATACAAACATTGTTAAATACAAACATTCTTTAAAACAATCCTCAGTTAATGGAAAAATTAATTACAAGAACATTTAGATCTGCATCTTGTACAAATGTAATTATTTATTTGAGGTTTAACTCACATTTCAATATCACTGAAATTTACATTTTTCTGCAATATAAACTTATTGTGAATGGAATTTCGAAAATATTATGGCAAAATATGCAAATGGGATAGAGTAATTAATTATTATCTGTATTTCTTTGAATAAATTCAGGGAAACAAAAAGATGCTTTTTTATCAGACATAATAAAGTTACTGGCAGTCGAAAAGTGCGAGAAAAAAGACGTTTCAATAATCTTACCTTGACACTGATACCCTTGCTTTCCCAAACCCCTGAAAATAATAAAAGATAAAATTCAATGCTTGGTTAGTACAGAAACAAATATTTTGGGCCAAACCATCATTAGTTTTTGAAATTATTTTTTGTCCAATAGGATCGCAGTATTTCAAATGAATTGTAACACATTTTCTTTGGTAAATAGACAAAGTGTTAATCAGTCTAGTAAATTAACTGTTTATAAAAATAATTTAAAACACTAAGTTGGTTAAAATTATTAGAACCCATTTACAAAATAAAATTGGTCGTGTGGCCGTGCTGCATCTGACCAATTTAATACTAATAAACTTTAACATATACTTAAATTCAATGCAGTCAGTGGTGGATCATAAAAAGGACATATAATTACAGTTTATCTATGCTTACAAAAATATTTCATCAAAGTCCTGTAATAATTTTACATGAAGAAAAATTCATTCTTTAAAAATTAGTACAATTTTGAGGAAAATATAAGAAAGAAACAAATTTCACACTTTCTTCAACATTTTTAAACATTTTAAAGTTATTTCAAGGTTAGTATAATTTTTTTGTTGTTGTCTTTCTCATCATTAACAAGCCTATAATCTGGTAAACACCTTTAATAATGAACTGTTTAGCATAATATGTAAATTAGAAATAACAAAAAAAAATTGTTTACAACTAAACACTCCTTATAGGAAAAAAGTTACAAATTAAATAAACCCTCAGAGATTTTTAAGGTTCCGTTGAAAAACATATTTACATGGAAAGATAATACTTTCTTACTTTCTTTGAAGATCCAACAAAATAAAACATAATTCATTAATGGCTAATTATTAATGATTACAATTGTCATTAAACAGTCTAGCATGGAGAAAAATTACAAACTAAAAGGTACTTGAATTGCATGTAAAGCTCTAATTTTAAGGCTAAGTTTGACCTGTGTACAATGTAAGAATATAATTATTTGTAAAAGTATTGTTATTCACTGGAAAAAAGTAAATAAAAAAATGTCTAGTTATTGAATCAATTATGTGCTTAATCAACAAATCATTAAATAACCAATGGACTTTTTATAATGCTATTATTTTTGCAAAGCCAGTGTGAGACCAATGAAAGGGGCACAAAGTTAAAGTTCTTAGCTAAGTGCTTTGGCATTTAATTAAAAAAACTGAAGACAAAGTCTATTATTTCCTTAAAAAAAGATATTTATTTCCATAAAGACATATGGTAAATGGTAATTTTTAACAGATGGCAAAAATTACCTGGTTACTAAAGTAAAGTAGGTTTCATATTGGTCATATAAGTATAATGACGTAGATATAATTATCACTAATAATGCAGAAATATCTATATCAATCTCATTATCTATATTTATAAAGATAAAGTGCCTATGTAAATTGCTGACCATGTATGTAATTGACAAGTGATTGACACCACAGAATATCAAAATCTATACTACTTAACATTAATGTAGTAACCATTAATACATTTTTGAGGGTATATTTGATAAATATGTACAATAAACACATAAATAATTATCTACATTCCATGAATACCAGTCCTGGGAAAAATGAACATTTTACAACATAAAAACAAGAATTGTACGGAAAAAAAAGATTTTCTAGCCACTTAAAGGTCTAAAATAAGATAAATGTATAAATGTCCGTCTTAACATCTAAACCACATAACCACTGACTATTTTATTTAAACATCCTAGACAAAAAGAAAACAGATATAAATGTAAAATTTACAGTATATCCTTCTAATTTTTTTTAAACAAGAACCGGTTGAACCGGGTGATGCTCCCCGAGAAGGTTCTGGACACAGGAAAGTATAAAAAAAATGAACAAAGGGCAATAACTCCAAAATTAGACCAGGCTTTGTTTAGGTTCTTGAAGCGTTGCAGTTCTATCCAATTACATCTAGCTACCTACAAAGTTTCATGTTGATATCTCTAATAGTTTTAAAGTAATGTCCAGGACAAAAGTCAAAAAGTAAAAATAAACAAAGGGCAATTACTTCAAAATAAGGCAAGGCAGAGTAATGATTCTTAAGCACTGCACTTCCACCCAATGAGACCTATCTATCTACAAAGTTTCATGTTAATATCTCTTATAATTTTAGAGTAATGTCCCAGACAAAGTTCAAAGTGTCAAAATGAACAAAGGCAATAACTCCAAAAGTAGGCAAGACAGTGTTACAGTTCTTGTGCACTGCAAACTTACTCAATGAGATCTATCTACCTACAAAGTTTCATGTTGATATCTCTTATACATTAACCTTTCCCCCATGAGCATATTGTAAAAATCCCTTTTTCATTTTGAAAACCCTCCTGTTACAATTTTAAAACTGCTATGAAATTTTTGAAAATTTGCTTCAAAAACTAAAAACTTGGCACAAATTTGACGGGACCATCTTTGTAACGACATGTGTTTTAAAAATTTCTTTACCATGGCAACGGGGGAAATCTCAAAATTGCCAAAATCACTTTTTGCTCAAAATTTTTTTTCCATAAAATTTTTTATTTAAAAGTGCTAAACTTCTAAAGGGGATTGAGATAGGTAAAAAGTTTTTCAGGGTTTTTTTTTTGGGCTTTCCCCTTCTTGGGGTTTTTTATGTTTTTGGATGGGGGGGGGCGCCGAAAAAAGTGTAAATTTTTTTTAGCACATATCTAAAACCAAAATTATTTTAAAGGGGCCCAAAATAGGACTTTTGTCACTATTTGAGGCCCCAAAAAGGGGGGGGGGTCGAAAGTGCGTTGTTTCACGTATATATGTGGTAAAGGGTTAAGAAATATGTCCCGGACAAAGTTCAAAGTGTAAAAATAAACAAATCGGGATAATTCAAAAATTAGGCAAGGCAGAGTTAAGGTTCTTGTTCACTGCACACCTACTCAATGAGATCTACCTACCTACAAAGTTTCATGTTGATACCTCTTATACTTTTAGAGTTATGTCCCGGACAAAGTTCAAAGTGTAAAATAAACAATGGGGGATAATTCAAAAATTAGACAAGGCAGAGTTACGGTTCTTGTGCATTGCACACCTACTCAATGAGATCTATCTACCTACAAAGTTTCATGTTGATACCTCTTATACTTTTAGAGTTATGTCCCGGACAAATTTCAAAGTGTAAAATAAACAAAGGGGGATAATTCAAAAATTAGACAAGGCAGAGTTACGGTTCTTGTGCACTGCACACCTACTCAATGAGATCTATCTACCTACAAGGTTTCATGTTGATACCTCTTATACTTTTAGAGTTATGTCCCTGACAAAGTTCAAAGTGTAAAATAAACAAAGGGGGATAATTCAAAAATAAGGCAAGGCAGAGTTACGGTTCTTGTGCACTGCACTTCTACTCAATGAGATCTATCTACCTACAAAGTTTCATGTTAATACCTCTTATACTTTTAGAGTTATGTCCCGGACAAATTTCAAAGTGTAAAATAAACAAAGGGGGGTAATTCAAAAATTAGGCAAGGCAGAGTTACTGTTCTTGTGCACTGCACTTCTACTCAATGAGATCTATCTACCTACAAAGTTTCATGTTGATACCTCTTATACTTTTAGAGTTATGTCCCGGACAAAGTTCAAAGTGTAAAATAAACAAAGGGGAATAATTCAAAAATTAGGCAAGGCAGAGTTACGGTTCTTGTGAACTGCACTTCTACTCAATGAGATCTATCTACCTACAAAGTTTCATGTTGATACCTCTTATACTTTTAGAGTTATGTCCAGGACAAAGTTCAAAGTGTAAAAATAAACAAAGGGGAATTATTCAAAAATTAGGCAAGGCAGAGTTACGGTTCTTGTGCACTGCACACCTACTTAATGAGATCTACCTACCTACAAAGTTTCATGTTGATACCTCTTGTTGTTTCAAAGTTATGTCCCGGACAAGAAAAGTTTTTATTAAAAACAATTTATTTAACATAACTTTTTTTATTACATGCTTTCAGGTGGTTTATAGAAATACATCAGTGAAATATAAAACTGATATTTTCACTGTTTTGAATTTAAGCCCAAGAAGTTGTTTAAGTGAAATAAAAGCTTGCACAGTACTGGAAACCAACTTGATAACGTGACCGTATATGAAGTTCGCGGTTTTCATTTAGTATTAGCTTAAAATGTCTTTTTAAACGTTTCTCTGCATAATATTTGTTAAGTTCAGTGTAAGATGGGAATATATTTCCCCTAGTGAGCACCAAAAGGTCATGGCCAAACTACACTGGCCTGGCTCTATAATGGTAACACAGGCAAATCAATTTTGGTTCCAGCAGTTTAAGGGTTAACACAATACTGTAGAACTGAACTCAATTTCATAACAAGCTAACTTTTGATTGTGAAGTATACATAATGGAATAATATAATTGTTACAAATACATTATCAGGCTTTACTATTATTATTTGTAATCATACAATGACATTTAAATACTTCCTAGATTGCTTCATATGACAACCATTGTAAATTACTGAGCATAGTCAACAGATTTGTGAAAATGTAATATCACACATCCAACAATAATATATACAGGTGGGAAGTTTCAGAATATTGGGAGTTAACTTTATATACATCACCAGACAGCTGTACATGGACATCATACTTTTTTTAACCCTATAGTCCAGTCTACTTCTGTGTTTTTTTTTGGTTGGGTTTTACGTCACACAAGCACAATATACATGTTTAAATCATACGGCAACTTTCCAGCTTTACTGGTGGAGGCAGACCTGTGCCCTTCCATGCATTCTTTCTGGCACGAACGGGCACCAGAATATAACCCCTGATGTTCTGTACATTGCTTATTGCTTCCTCACATGAAAGAATCCAAAGTCCCTGTAAGGATTCGGACCCAAAGCGTTGGGGGCCTTGTCTACTTCAAGGTCACAAAATTGGGGAAGTTTAAGAATTTTGATGTAACCAAAGTAAAGATTGTTTTAAGGGCAGAAAGTGTAAACTAAAAGTTTTGCCATCTGATTTATAGACAATAATCTTACCATATAAAATCACGACATAATGAGCAAAATGTTGGTTGACGAAGCATGGTGGCCATAAACTTATGTCCGTTAACTTGGTGAACACGACGGCGCATAGCACCCCGTCGACGGTTGAGTAGTCCCTCCTTCTCCCGGAACACTCTCGGTTCCTTCGGCTGTTCTGTAAACAGAATAAATTTTTACTTTTAATCTAATTGTTTGAATGAGTTTCATGTAAACCTTTAAGTAACAAAATAAGTTTGGTGGACTTCAATACTGTCCATTGGGATACAATGTTCAAAATACTAAGCTTGGTAGCAAGACTAACCAGCAGTAAAGGTTAGCCAAGCTCTATACTGGTTTCATAAGAAAGTTATTTTTTGACGCTATGTTTTACAAGGTGTAAATCATAGGCTAATATCAAAGCAACATAAACAAAACAGATAGATATCAAGGAAGGCATGTTACCCAATAAACTTGACTTGGTTATTAACAGTAACATACAAAGGCAGCTCTTAGTCTTAACATATTAAGCATTGATATAAATTTAAGAATTATTATCATTTGCATGCTGGAACTAGCCTTTTGTCAATGTAAATTATTGTTATACAAGACACTGCATTTAGTTATTACTTAACAATGTCCAATTTTGTTTAGAAGAATATCATAAACAATTGCAGTCATAACTCTCTTTGTTTCATGCATATCATGTTCATCATCTCGGGATGTTTCTGCAAAAAAAAAAATTGTCTCGGCCTTACGGCCTCGCCGTTTTTTAGCAGAAACACCCCTTGATGTTGCCCCAGCCAGTGTTATACCCTCGTAACTAGCTCGTTTCATATACTATAACTATTACTTAAAGAACAACTTCATAACAAAAATAAACATTTTCTATACATATCTTGTCATTGGGAGTTTTTGGGAGCCAGATGTAGTTCTCTATCTCAATGTAAAACAGAAATGAAATATAACTTTTTCAGACAAAACAACAGTTACTGTTCTGCAAACTGCAATATGCAGTATCATGTCATATAATAAACAGACCTTCTTACTGAGTAATTACTTCCATTAGCAGGTTTAAATGTCAATATTCAAACAAATACTGTTCAAGTGGTAAAGTTTGTAAGGTGGAAATGGTCATAAACATTGCTACAGTATTAGCCAGCAAAAATTTCCTCATTCAAGGTCCTAATTCAGCTCTTTTTACTGTATACATTGAAAATGTCATCATTCTAACCCCTAAATTAGACATATTTACTTTTAATGAAAGGTGTCAAAACAAACACCAATACACAGATAATTGCTATTAACTTTCAATAACAGATTTCAGTTTTCAAATCAGCACTAATAATAATAATAATAATAATTCAATGATAATAAGAATTCAATAATAGTTCAACGATGTAATTAAAAAAACCCGATATATTACATAGATAATCAGAAACAATATACGACTTTACTTCCAGGATAAGTGATTTTCAGAGCAAGGGAAATTTTCACACATGAATTGAAATGTGTATTTCTTGATCTTTTGTACTCACAAAAAGATCCACTATACGGTATTTGCTTAACTTTACTTAAATGGCTAAAAAAAACTGGCGTTAATTAGCAAGATGCTACAATGTACATCGCTTTTAAAATGACTTGCATAAACCTGACATTTCAGTACAATAAAATTTAAAGTAAGAAAGAATGTTTAAAGCAAGACTTTAACATTTTATATATCAACAAGTTTTCAAAATTTATGTAAAAGTTTTGTTTTTTTATAATATTTATCATCTGACTACATGTTGTTGCAAATAGATGATTAGCTGGATATGTACTGACAAAATTAAACTTTTCTTCCTGATCTGTGATTGTGTTTAATATAACAAAATATTATAAAATTTGATATTAAAATCTAACTATGAGGGTATCAACAGGACAGTAAAGTTTCTGGACATTATTATTGTAGTATTCATAAATAATATGCTGCAACTTGTAATTATAATATTAGAAGTTTAGGGAGTATTATAACTACAGGCAACACAACTCCAAAAATTCATGATAATTTAAAATTTGTTCTAAATGAATAAGTACAAATCTTGTGAGTTACTAAGGCACTTGTTATCCACTATTAATTTAGTTATGGTTCTTGTGTCAATTTAGTGGTAAAATAGAAAAAAAATCATAAAATTCAAAATAAAATATTGCACCTGGATTAATTTTTTGTGTGAATATTTAATCATTCCTTTAAATGTAAATATATTTTTCTTAAAGTTTGATTTTTTTGAGATTTTGAAAGATTGATTTTACTTTAATCTGTAGACATGTTGCTTTATTTGAAAATGTGTAAACAAACTGATAAACATGCAAATTTTTCAAATACATTGACGTAAAACTATTAATGTATAAATGCCTCAAGACATACACTCTGGGATAACGCTATTACAATTAATGGATAAACAAGGGAGTTTGGGATTTATATTATGAATATCTACTATTACTTTCCAATTATAACTTTAAGATAAATATCAATTTGTTTTAGTCAACTGAACTATCCTTGTGTCCAATTCTGCCTACAGCATCATTTAACGTATTTTGACCAATGTCCATCTTCAGTAACAGATCGTATCATGTGATGTATAGTGACGATAAGGTCTGATCATACAATGACTTCTATTTAAACATCATAGCATATTCGATATTTATTATTCAATATTTAAATAAGAATAATAATCTGTCATTAATTATATAGAACTATCCAATTATGTATAATATAATCCAGTTAACTTTTTATTCAGGTTAAATATTATGGAATATAATCACTGATAATAGAAATATTTCCTGTCAAAATATCACGTAAATCTCTTATAAGTGACAAAAGGCAAACAAGTATCATAAAAAATTACTTGAAATACTTATTATAATGAACTTAAGATGCTATTCGGGTAGAAAAAATAAAATAAAAATATACATGAAATACAGTTTTACGACATGTTAAGCTGGAATTTAAAGTGATTATTAGCTTTTGCCATCCATTCAATTTTATTTGATTTTACTTTACTGACTTTGTTCACATGTTATTTCATTATCTTTGTACATTGTAATTTGTGTCATTCCAAATTATGTATTTGTACTGTTTTGTTCCATGCAGTCTGACTAGGTTCTATATTGTTGGCTGATCAATTGAAATTTAATTCTGATATTTCCAAAATTGATAATGGCCAGTTCCAAAAATGGAAGCCTTAAGAAATTAAGAAAATAAAGTGTAAAGACCGATGTCCATAGTACTCTCAGTGCCTGAAAGGGAGGATAGACCCTTATTAAACCTAGAATACACACACAAGTGTAAGGACCATTTATATTTTGCAATAAAAAGTCTACTGTCTTCAGGGTTAAAGGTCTTTATATAATCAATCAAATTTAATATATTTATCATGTGGTATAAAAATATGAATATTGAACTTATGTTCTGTTGACCATAATTATTAACTTTGGTTCCACTTGGTTATTGAATATATTTCAGCAGTCACAAAAAATGGCTATGTGGCAAGATTTTGAAACTATTCAGCATCAAAAAGCACATGTATATCAAATAAATAATCCCTATATTAGCAATATTGTTAAGATAAGTTATACTCACAGAAATGAGCTTTTCACATTTTATCAAACATTATTATTTAGTATCACTAGTACTGGATTCAATAAATGCAACTCAGTAGTTTAAAAATTATTTTAGTGACAAATGTTTCTTTCTGATGATGTTTTCATAAATTAAGTCTATCTGCTATAATAAATTTAAATTATGTTTTATTAATATCAAATGTTAAAACATTGATTATTGATTATACAATACATCAAATAGCATTAAAAAAAATAGGTATCAGAAAAGGAAACCAAAAGTCCTTTACAAGATTATTAAGACTTGGTAAAATAATGGTTGACAATACTTGTCACATTTCTCAAATAAAATTTAAATAGACACAATATTTTTCATAGAATCTTATGGAAAAACATTTTTAAAACAAGATAAACCATTACAGGTATTTGTATTTGAATGTGAATTTTACTTTCAACTTGTATAAAAAGATAATGCTGAAAACAATCTCATTAACATAAGAGTGCTATAATGCGAGTTATTTTTGCCACTAGTATGACCATTTCCACCATTAATTAGTATAAGAATGTGTGACCTAATTTTCAATACACCAGATAATCAACTGTCAAATACATATGCACAAAGATCAAGAACCTATTATGAGATGGTAATATGCATAATCTAAGGTTATAGTCATACATAAACTGTCAAAATGTGTTTTGGTCAAAAATATGATAATGAATAGACAACTCTTACCCTCCGATGCAGATCCATTGAGTTCTACTATCACATGCAGTTTTCCGCTGGGCTCTAAGTCAATCTGAGGATATAAAAAAATGCATGACTGATTTTCAGTAAAATTTGGAAACCTCTTAGCAAATGTGGCATTCTCTAGTCAAAAATAATTCATAGACCAACCAGAATATTACAAATGTATAAAATGTTAATGTATTGGCGAATACAGGCGCCATCATAGTGCGTGTCCTACTTTCGACTTGTTCTGTGATCTCGCCGACAACAAACGTTAGTGGCCTAATTAGGCGCTAATAGGGTGCGGCGAAGCGTAAAATTCGTAACACTTACCCATATATCCGACTGAGACTTCAAGTCTTGGAATGAAAGTGAACAATTAGCGACGAAATCGTCTGGGGGAATGGCCGCATCGTGAAAAACGGTCAACCCGAATGACTGTCCATTATGAATTTCTGCTGTAAAATCTTCGTTCCAAACAGGTTTCGATGTTTTTACTTTGGTTGTAGTTCGTGCAACATGTGATTCGTCAACGTCAAATGCAATATATGGGTCTAAAGCGGGCTCAATCTCTCCTTTCTTTGAGGACCCCTTAGTAAAACGGGCCGAATAGTCCGTCGGACGCAGGTCAATTGCCTCGCAGATTTTAAGCTTCATCGAGCCGTTAAAGAACACCATGATCGCTTTAAATGATGGAATGGAATGCGTAGATATATTAAAGATCACATTTCATCTTGTATATCCCCTGATCACGTCTATTTATGGCACTAAATTCTCCAAACTAGTCATCGACGATCGTGAAAACAATCGCGGAAGTCGCAATGTCGAACAGAGTCTAGTGCATATTGCGCATGCGCAATGGCTGGGGCAAGGTCATTTCTTAGGCCAAATTATCATAGAATTTAAAACGCTCAATATTTATATATTTCAATATATTCTTAAACCGTTTGTTAAGTATAAATTGTTGAAAAACAACAGAAAATGTAAATTCATCGCTTGAATCACTATCCGATCAGTAAAAATTTAACCAGAAACTTAGTTTATATAGATTTTATTTATTACTGTAAACTAGTGCATATTAGCGGTTAGTTTTTATCAGTTCAAGCGTAATGCAATGAAAACGCAATATAAGGTTAAAATTATATCAATACTATTAGGCCAATGTCTTATAAAGATCGTTTCTTATTCGAAGAATTGACCAAGACTTTCATTTAAAAAGTTGTGTATGAATTGTCAGCAGACTAATTAATGTTCAAATTAGTAACGTTGTCTATACATAGACTCAATCAAACCGAGACTGCAATTTTCATATAATAGCATATTGATGTTTTTCATTGCTTCCAGGGAAGCACCCATTATAGATTTTTATAAATCCACATTTTCTTTAAGTGACTACCTAGAGCAGAGGCATATATACTTTTTATACATGCATTTTAAATCACGTCTCTGCCTAGAGCTAGTACCTATATAGGTCTACAGAATTGCAAAATAAACTTTAATCTTATAAACCTTTAGTATAAGAATAATGCAAACATTACAGTATTCCTTAGATTGAAAATAATAGGGTTAATAATTAAATGCACCAATTGTACAGATCAAGCAAAACTTTTAAAATGTTATGTGTTTCAATATAATATTCGTATTTTATGTACGTTATGCCATCGATAGTCAACCTTTCACTCTTTAAACTGACTACGCACAGATCTTTGAAAAAAATCATTGACATATGACAAAATAATATGTACTTGCGACAGACTGTAAACTATGTCGCGGGAAAACGCTCTTGAGAGCATCCGTAGAATAAAAAAAATCCGGGGGAGCATGCCCCCATACCCCCTAGAACCACCATATTGGCCGCACGAATACCAAAATCGTGACGACGGGCCTGCATATATACGATTGAAGAGTACGCTGCACACTCCGCTCCCGAAAATGAATACCTGTACATTCCTTTCACTTGACAGTAATTAAATCACTACCTAATTTTAATGCCCTCAGGGTTTACGTGCAGGAAGGTCAAAGTTAAACCTAGTCAAATGTATGTCATTAAATTTCGTTTAATAAACTTATATACTGTTTATTTCATACAAGAAGCTAGTGTAAAATATAATATTTAAATTACTCTAGGATTTGATCCTTTCAGTAGACCTAGATCTCGCTGGCGCGCCGAGCTCCCAGCTTGTCCTATTTTAAGTAACACGCATATCGTTGACACAGCAGTAAGGTATTCCCAGGTAGGTCAACCGTTTATTGGTACCTGGCCTTATACAATAAATTGTATAGAAAGCCGGTCGCAAACCAGGTGACTTAATGATAGTCAACCATTTTGAATGTAGGAGGTAGATTGACTTCGTTTATGTTTGGTATTTGTTGTATTTCATTCACACTATCACATTTGAGGTTCTATGTAATATGTTAAATTATGAATCTATGAATTTGACTGTTAATTTGATTTCGCCCATCATTTTGTATTACAGGTAAATTACAGGTAAATTTCAGAAGTTGCTGAAATTTAATATGGGAGATACGGAAGTGACTAATTAGGTTGAAAAACAATGAAAATGGGTGCACTACTGTATACGTATATTGTAGTGGTAATTCTGTCATATTTTGTGACAAATGTAGTTTCACAAGGATTGATAACACCACCTGTGCCAGGTAGGGACCCTATAGAAGCCAACGGGAGACTGTATAACCTCCACTATGTGCCATCAAAATGTGTGGACCCCTATCTGCTGGCACAATCTGAATTTGGCGGTGGAGGAGTAGTAATAAAAAACCAAAAGGTTCTGATGGAAAAATATGGACCCTACTTTATTCAAGGAAATATTGAAATAGCGCCATCGGGATGTCTGGTAATCATGCCAGGCACTAAGATGTATTTTGGACCTGGATATGGTATCCTTGTAAATGGAACATTAATAGCTAGAGTGAGTAGATTTCAGTCCATTTTATATGTAATAAGTTACATGTGCTTTAAAAAATTTATACCATAAAGTTAGAATTACTCGAGGTCTTGCCATAAAATTTAGAATACTTGAAATCAGTATAGGAGTATTAAATTTGATTGGTTTGTATCAGAAATGTCTGTGAAAAGTTGCATAGTAAGCATTTTGAGAGAGACACTCTTGAAATTATCAAATTAACAAATGACAGTTGGCTTCATAATTTGGAAATAGAAACATGTCTGTTAGATTTAAGAATAAAATAGATTGACATGGATCACTTTCAGACTATTTTTTGTGTCGCCTCTACGGAGTAGTGGCGACATATAGGGATCACTTCTCCGTCGTCTGTCCGTCCGTCTGTCTGTCCGTCTGTCCATCACAAAACTTGTACGGACTACTCCTCATAAACTACTGGTGCAATTTCATCCAAACTTTACAGGAATGATCAGTACCAAGTCTAGTTGTGCATATTGTCAGCATTTTCCGGTTCAATGATTTTTGTCAGAGTTATGGCCCTTTAATAATTTTTATTTTTAAAGTTTGTCCGGACTACTTCTCTTATACCACTAAAGCAATTTCAATGAAACTTTACAGGATTGATCTGTAGCTCAAGTCCTTGCGCATATTGCACGGGTTTTCCGTTTGAATGATTTTTGGCCGAGTTATGGCCCTTTGATAAAAGGTGTTTTTTCTGTGTGTTGCCAGATACGCAAAAGCTTGTCCGGACTACTCCTCATAAACTACTAGTGCAATTTTATCCAAACTTTACAGGAATGATCAGTACCAAGTCTAGTTGTGCACTTTCCGTCTGTCTGTTTGTCTGTCAGGCCATCATGAGGCGACACATGTGATTACTGATCGCTCTTGTTCTGATTTAAATGCCATTTTGCACTATTATAGTTTAAACATATTTTATTGCATTTTAAAATACATGATTACAAACATATTATACAAATAATGAGTATATATCAAAATGCAAAAGTGTTGGGCAACAAGTTGTTACAACATTAGATTAAGCCATTCCCACATTTTGCACTATTCATTGGTTTATTGCAATTTTACTCAAATCAGAGCTGTGCTAAATCTGTACTTTTTATATTTAATATCCAATGCATTTAATTAACAAAATCAAAAGCTTCCCCAATCCACACAAGTGCAATATCTAGTTATTTAACCCAGGAAATAGTCTTTTAGTGCCAGTTAAAAATGCAGTAAATCTTGATCCCTAAAAATTTGACATTAATGTGTAGATTTTGCCTTGCCTTTAAACAAATTGCTCAGAATATCAATTTCATTTGAGTTATATACACTGGTAACCCACTGAGTTACCTTGCTTTAAAGCATCTTTTATTTTTGGATAAATTCATCATTTTCCTGTTTGAAGTGTGTAAGTGTATATACAAGGGTGGGAAGTTTAGTGTGAACTCAACTGTAATTATGTATGTGTGTCAAAAATTTAGAATTTGAGATATTTTTTTCAGGGAAGCTATTTACAAGGTGGGAGAATATTGATGACAAAACATCCCAATACCACTCATTCTGTTGGTCCTAATGGTGTTTGGCCGGATGATGCAAGGTTGGTTGATGGAAACACTACCAGGGATGGTAGACTAGACCTCCTGTATAATGGAAAATGGAGAGGTGTATGCACCAACTATAACAAGTATGTTTCTGTTTACTTTTAGAGTTAGACAGCTGATTATTCAGCTGATTTTGTTTAATGAATTTGGCCTGGCCTTTATATTTGGAACAATCCCAGACATAGAAAATTCCACTCATTCGCTCGTTATTACGAGTAGAATATAAGAGAACTCGATGCAGGACAAGTAAAATAATGGTGCCTGCACATTAGATTTAGAAGCTATTCATCCTGCAGGAAAAGTATCTCTGAAAATATATTTTTCGATGCCTGAATCCTTTCATTCTTTGGAAAATAATAATATTTCTGCACTGAATGTCATGCATTCAACATAAAATTGCTTTTTGTTTCTTGTTCGATAGGTTTTTCATATAGAAAAATAATTATGCATTAATTGTCCAATAGAATTATGAAGAAATGCAATCAATTACGAAATTTCACTTCATGATTACGGAAGAACATGATAATGCCTCAATTTACCAAGGGTAACATTATAAGGATTCTTAAACTTATATTATGTACATATATTAATAAATATATATATATATTTCTTGTGCTTTTTCTGTTGATTATTTTTCTAAGGACATTTGTCCAGATGATTAATCTTTCTATTCTTTCTTTTCAGTTTTACGGAAATAGATTTGAATGTCACTTGTCGGCACCTTGGTTTTGCATATGGCAATTTTACTTACCATTCGTTTGCAAGGAATGAGACGGATTATATGGTGTATGAAAAGCCAGCTTGTCTTGGTTCAGAAAACAGTTTATTTGAATGTCCTGGCAGGATAAACATAAAATCTGGACCTACTGTTTGTGGTAAGTATAGTATACATGTCCAAATATATTCCCATATTATACCTTTTCAATGTTTAACAACCTGTTTATTCTATATCTAAATTACATTGAAATGAAACAAGATTCTTTCAATTTATTGAGATTATTTTGTTGTAAATGGCTTTTATCATTGACATTGTAACATTGAAAAGTTCAAACACTTTTAATTGTCCAATACAGTAACAGGATAACTATATAGTACATGTATATTTGATTCTGCAGCATCCAATATGGAAATATATTCGATTGTCACATGGTACAATTTAAAGACCAGCGATTGGATGTTAATAAATGATATAAAACAGTTATGATAAATTTCCTTGTATTCTGACGTTACTAGTTATATGACATATTATTATAAAAATAGTAATGATAAGCATGTTGTATTGAAAATATGGTGTATAAGATTATTGGCTCTAATGGCAAATGTTACATATTTCTCTTCTTTTATTTTATTAGATGGACAGCAAGTTGTTGGATTTCAATGTGCTGGTCTTCGGCCGGATCTTGCCAAAGATCATTGGAGAGGGATAGAGTTTTATAATGCTACAGTCGACACAATCTTTGATCAGAAAAACCTTTTCTATAATTCGTCAATTTCCTTCCTCGAATACCTTGATATTTCATATGCTGGTCTGGATATTTACAAGGTTGATGGTTTTCACCATGGCATGGGAAGCATCAGCGCGAGCCCATATGTGCCAATCATGAACAATATCACCATTACCAATGGTGCCTATGACGGTCTGAATCTGACAGATATTCGAGGGGAGATTCATATAGCCAACTCTACCATTGCAAAGAATAGAGGTATTGTTTGTCTCTTATCATAAGTAGATAAGAACGCATTAAATACTTAATATTGAATACACCTATAATAAAAAAATGTAATAAACTAAAAAACTAAAACTCTCTCAGACACTGCCTGTATAGCCAATGTTAAAATTATATTTATTATATGATATTTGGGAAACGATTTTCTTAAATTTCATTTTCTTGACTTTTTTTTTTTGCATTTTATTAAGGTGTGGTAAAGTATGGCTACAAGGAAAATACTTCCTAAATTTTTTATCATTTTTTATAGAGTGTAAAATTTTCTTTCTAATCTTCTTTTGCATTATTTACTAGCTGTATTTGTTTCAGTTATTTAACTGTTTATCAACTCATTTCAGGTTACGGAATGTTTATCAAGTCACATGTTGGACGAACCCTGATCAATATGACAAATGTGCTCGAAAACTGGGGCGATGGTGTAAAGATGTACATCACTAACTACACAATTAATGAATTTAATCGGGATTATCCGTCGTCTGAATCGTTCTGTAGAACCCCATCCTCAATTTCTCTCTCGCAGTTTCCTGCCATATTGTATGAGGATGTTATTACACCTACTGGGGAAAAACCTTTTGGGACTTACTGTAATAAGGTAATTAATGCACCTTATTGTATAACAAAAATCAAATTAATCATAAAAAGTCATTTTGCATATGGCTTTTTTGTGTTGTACTTTTTGCATTGTACACTTTCGCATATGTTTGGAGGTATGATAATTGATGCAGAAAATCTTCTCAATTTTGGTTTATGCTGGTTAGTTTTATCTTCTGGGAACATGGAACACTGACTGATAATAAATTGTTGGAATTTTTAGGCCAGCTAAATCAATTGAATGTAAACTTGTTTCTTTAAAGAATTTTTTTTTAAAGCTGCATGCCTCCAGAATAGCCAAAATAGTTCAAGAAATTCAATCTTTGGAAAAATGTATTAAAATCTTAAGAAAAGTAAAAAGATTCAACATTTAATTAATTACTTACACGTTTTGTGCGATTAATGGCTGATTTTGCAGTATCAATCAATATAATTCTACTGCATTACTAACGCTGTAAGAGTTATTTATGTATATTTTGACCTCTTTGGTTATTTACGTGGATTGTAATTGCCGTTTGCAATGTGTATATAACTTTCTTTGTTGACTTCACAGTATTTTACTTTTAAATACATTTTCAAATTTTCATGAAAATGAGCATGAATCTGGGGGCATGCTGCTTTAAACAGTGAAAACCATTACATTGCATTAAATAGTAGTGGTTATAAAACACTTTATTGGAATGATACTAACTCTTATGATATTTATAACCATGTATTTGCATATACATGTATAGTAATAATAATAGTTGAACTGTAATCATGCTCTTTGCTCTCAAACTTCATGTACATGTTTGAATTTCATGTTAAATATGGAACTTTTGCAATTCAAGCTGGCTTACTGTTGATTGGTGGTTCTACAAAGGTGCTTTATGTTTATTGACATGTGATAGAGAGTGGCTAACTGAATCTTCTTAATTCTCTTAAAGTATGATTGAAATTGTTACAATATCTATACCATGTCAATGTGACACAAAATTATATCCTTAGTATTTTGATGGTCATATACATGTATTTGAACGTTTTTTTCAGATATATACAACAGTACCTGGTAAAATGATAACCCTTCACACTATCATAAATGAGAGGGATCCGGAAGCTTCCGGCAGAATCATCATTCGAGATGGCGGACAAGATTCGAAAATCATCCAAGATTTTCCCATAGATAATGGAACATTCCCACAGTCTATTACTACAAAGACAAATATAATGTTCATCCGAATGGAATACTCCTTGCCACCAACTCCGCCAAGTGGTGTTGATCCGACAAAAAGATGCAAACACCTTAGAGCCTGTATTAGATTTATGCTCGAACTTACAACTGATTTTGGTAATGTATTGAATGTAACATTATTATTTTCTGATTAAAATATTCTTTGACTGTATATTTTATGTGGTTATTAAAATGAGCTATACACTTCTGAGAATGGGTAGATATATAGAAATCACTAAGAAACAATAAATTGATAATCATTAATTTTGCATGCTTTACTTGAATATAATTCAGACAATAAGAATAAATTGTGAAACTTTATGCTGATAGCTGCTCAGTTATTTATACTTATAATATGGAGTATTCCATATTGACAGCAGGAAAATTCATTTTATTAAATCAGAGAAGTAAACATTTCTTGATACATTGTTGGTAAATTGCTTCACTAATTTTTGTTTGTTCCTAAACAGTGTTGCAAGAACCTTCTAGATTCAAGTTTTTTCTTTCAGTTTTATATTCTAGTACTTAAACAGCTATGATCATGTTAGATTAATTCCTTAACAGCATATAAATGACAATGTTTACATATCTTTGTAGGTCCAGACACTGAGCTTAGGATTATTAACACTACTGTGGCCAATAATACTGGATATGGTGTAAATGTTCAGGATGTGAGATCAAAAGTTGCTCTCAATGCATCTGTTATATCAAATAATCGTTACGGTGCCGGTTTACGTATTTACCAAGGAGCAGCAGAAATTGCTGTGAATAATACGATTATAGAATATAATGAACAGTGTGGTGTAAATATTACGTACTCTGGCGGATACCAGTTGTTTAACATGTCAACAATTTCAAATAACTATGGTTACGGAGTGATTACTGAATATTTGAGATTAAATAGGACTCGTATTGAACTTATGCAAAAAATTGAAGTAGTTAAATCAATTTTTAAAATGAATGAATGGACAGCATTTAGAATAGGTAATTACTGTCGTGGCGGGGAATATTTGTTCAATTTAACGTATTTTGGTCACAACAAGCATGAAACTATTGAGTACCTGTCGTGTAACATTTCAACTTTACACAATACTAACTTCAGTATGGCTTTCAATGTATTTGAAAATAATAAGCGACATGCAGTCCTTATGTCACCTGTTGTGAACACTGTTGGAACTTTTACGAATAACACATTTAGAAATCATACACTAGGAGTTCTGAGAATGAATAATGGCTACGATTTTATTGAGAATCGCTGGTATAAAGAGTTTGATGTTCAGTATAAGATATTTGGCAATCTATTTTATGATAATAGTGGCCGTTACGTCGTAAACTTTCGCTTAAGTCAGCCAGGACCACATCACTTTTTGGATTTTAAGTTTAACAAATTAGTTGACAATTATATAACAGATCCATTTATGTATCTGAATCCCCGTAGTAAGGCAGACGCAGTGATAGTTGCATCGTCTGGTAACATCGAAGTACAGCGGAACTGGATATATAATCCGGGATCAGTGCGTGATATAGCAACCCATTTGGTAGATCCATCAGTTATCATAAAAGCAAATTATAATTGGTGGAACACAAGAGATCATGGAATAATTTATCGAAGACTTTTCGACCAAAAGAATCGTTTTAATTTAGCTGAACTGGAATACTATCCAGTCCTTAAAGATGAATGGCTATATGGGACATACGATACAAGTGATGAACCGAAACATAGATGGACGTTTCAGAGAGGTTCGAAGATAGGTGGTGTTTTAGATGGTGTGTTTACAACAGATAGTAGAATAAAACGATACACTGTTGATAGAGATATATTTGTGCTGCAAGATGCAGTGCTCAATATAGAGCCAGGGACAATATTTGAATTTGAGTCCTCCATCGGTATGGTTGTCCATGGCAGATTGAATGCTGATGGTAAGGAAAAAAGATGGGTTTTTATATTTTGCTCTACCATTCTGATAAAATTTCAATTGCACATCAGTTGAATCACCTTTTAGTGATTTTACCTTACTTGTACAATAATTTTAAATGTCTTAACTCAGGTAATGATGGCCAAATATTTTAAGATAGTATTTTATAATGTATTTTATTTGTAATCACCATTTATATGGTTTCCTAACCATCAGTATCAGTGAGTGTTAAAATTTAGTGTATCAAATTACTTTATAACTTAAAAATTCTTTAATTATTTCATTTCAATTTTGACTTGATGTGTTTTTAGAATTTTTTGGTTATTAAATATTGTGTAGGTAAAACATTTCTCTTTACTTTTCAAGTGTTATTTTCAAACATTGAATCTTTACTATTATTATAGTGTTTGACGATTGTTTGAAGTGAAACTATACCTTTACAAGTATAATGTTTATGCAAATACATGTCAGCACAATGTTTAATCATTTACAGGAGCAGTTTTTCCAATCAAATTTAAACTGTATGAGGATGAAATCCTTCCGCTCGCAAATCGTTCAATCTATGAGAAAATTAGACTGGTTGAAGGTTTGACAGAATTTGAAGGTAGACTTGAACTCAACATGACTGGTGAATTTGGCACAGTCTGTAATAAGGTTTGATATTTTTCTTTTCTATTTGATAACCTTGTTTTTGACTATGATATTCTGCTGACCTTGAATTTCCCTGCTGCCTACAACTTTAATGACAGACTGAATTTAAAAAGAATTTTAAAAGAACTCTGGTTTTTACTGCACAAATAAGAGTAAGATATAAAAAAATCAATGCTTTCACAAGATAAGTTTGTTTTCTTGTAACTGTTCAGCATTTACAGACACTCGATTCATCTTTTTTTACAGTCTTGTAAGATAAAAGATTTTTTTGCAGGGATGGAGCATTCAGAACTCAGCTTTAGTTTGTCAACAGTTGGGACTGACCTACAATCCAAACTTTGGCGTTCCTTTGAAGAAAATGTTCGGACTTTCTCAAACAATTTTGCTGAGTCACGTTGACTGTGATGACCTAGATGTAGACATATTTGAGTGCAAAGCACGGAAGGTTGGCGAGTTTGAATGTGATCACACTATGGATGTATTCATACGCTGTCAATCTCCTTCATGGTCAGGTAAACAGTTTTTTTGAACATATTCAGTTTTAGACCCAAATGAACTACTTTCTATGGACTAAGATATTGATCTCTTTTATCTGTTACAAAGTTTTTATCTCATTAAATCTTTTATTAAACTTAAACTCTGGTTTCAAAGAATTACTAAGGTGACAGTTTTTTTATTTGGAACTTTGATATTGTTTGTTTTTCAGGAATATTTTGTCTTTCAAGGATTGATAAGAAATTACCAGTTGTAAAAACTCCCATAATGCAGTTTTAACTACCAGAATTTCATTTTTCAGGGTTAACAATACCGGCTATTCCCAGGTACGGTCTTACAGCTGAGTCGAGGATCAACCATCTAACAATTGAAAAAGCTGGTCTTCTAGACTTCGTTGACATGACTTACTCCCCTGGTTTCCGTATTGACTACAATTTCTATTCTATGTCTCATATAACAGTGAAAGACTGTGTGTCGGACGGGATCAACATAAAATATAGTAACCCATTCAGCAGAAACCAGTTTGAGCATATTACTATTGAAAACAACCTTGGCAATGGAATTTTAACCAGAAGTCCGTTTTTGAAGCTTTCTCATTTAACTTTAACAAACAATGGTAAAGCTGGTTTCATTTATGATCCGATGTTCACAGAATATGAGGCATTGAGTGTGAGGAATTTTATATATAGGAACAGAACAGTGCCTATAACCCAAGTATCTCAGATTAAACTAGGCAATCGAGAAATGCAGTTTCTGACTTGCCCAGCAAGTCAGACTGAAGAAGAAGCAACATACTGGGTTGAAATTTTTGCAGAAACAAACACATTCAGAGTAGTTGTGCAAGTATTTGACTATAATCCTCAAACAAGTATTGAAAAAGTTACTTTCTATGATGGGAGAAGGTCAGAATGGCAACAGCTGAAGTCATGGACAATAGAGGAGGACCTTGTTGACTTCCCTATAGTTTCTCAAGGTCAATTTATCACAATGAAGGTCACTGTCAGGGGACTGAGGTCAGGACGTTTGGCACTGGCTGTTATTTCAAGTAAGTAGTTTGTTAAAGAATGAGACACTAAATTTATTAAAAAGTATGGTAAATTATTGTGAAATATTGTCAATGTATAGTTCAGTAGAACTTAGGTTAGTCAAAGTTGAAGGGACTTGCGTAAAAACTTCGACACATCAGAACTTCGACTCATAAATAGGTCTCAATTTGATGACAAAATTTCGAGCTGTTTATGTATACAAACAAGTTACAAAAGGCGTAACAAAACAAAAGGGAGATAACTATCCCAGCTTATTGTAAAAATATCCCCGTATGATTATCATGCGACACCGGGTCACGGAAGTTTTCAAATGAAAGTAGTTCTTATTGTTTACTTTCAAATACCACTACAGCAATTTGAATGGTAACAATTAAAGCACTTTATCACACATTTAAACGCAAACAAAGGCTGTTAGAACACAAGGCTATGTAATTAACACCTGTCATACAAGTTGATCGGAAATCATCTTCGCAGCTAGAAAAGGTGTGAAAAAAGTCTCGAGATCGAAGTTGTCAAAATAAGCAAAGGACTTCGACTTATTTGTGGTAAATTGTACTTGATTTATTCTATAAGGACCTCTCAAAAAGTTCGACACATCGAAAAATTCGACACGTAATATTTCGAATCATATATAGGTTTTAATAAGGAATATATAGGGGGAAAAATCGGGACTTTCATTATACTTTGACACATCGAGAAAATTGACTAACATAGAAGTTCTACTGTATTATTGGTGATTTTTTTTCAAGGATATATCATAAACTTGTTCTCTTACTTGGTAAGTAAGTGCCAGTAAATACAATGTACCAATAAATGCTGTCGATATGGTAAATGAACATAAATACCATCATTTTGCCCGCCCTGATTCAGATTTCATTTTGATAAATCTAATTTTTCCTAAATTTGATTTGGAGATTTTTTAGTCAGTCAAAGATTTTAAATTCAACACAGGAAAAGAAAAAATTCTTAGATATTATTACATTTTATTTGTCACAATTGATAGTCAGGTTTTTCTTTTTTTTCTTTTTCAGGTGGTTCATTAGAAGCTTTGAAAATGCATTCAATGATACATATATACAATGCAACTATAAGAAACAATGAGCGAGGTGTTGTAACAAAACATTACAATAACCCATCCAACGAAAAAATGGAAATATTTCACCGAGCCAAACATGAGGAGATATCATTTGATTCTATAAAAATTGAAAACAGTAAAGAAGAAGCAATGTTCATACCAAGTTTGACAAAGTACCATTCAAATTTCATACCAACCTTTGAGGAAATGACGAGGCCTGAGAGAGTTGGTGCAATCACTTATAACATCAAATTTTCAAAATTTATTAACAACAAGAAAGGAATTCATGGTGAACATAATCACGTGGATTTTGCGAACAATGTTTGGAAATGGAATGTGACATATTTAGAAATCATCGGGTGTCAAAGTGGCGGCTTTGAGATTGAACTGCCGAGGGTGAACGACATGTATGAGAGGCAATTTCACTCTGTTTCATTCACTCAGTCTAAAGCTTTTAATAATCAGAATTTTGCGTTTGGAGTGCTTGGTTACTATGCAGTCGTTAATATATCCAACAACAATTTTTATGATAATATTTGCAGAAAAGGCTTAATGACATTGGATGGAATGGAGAAATCTTTGAATTTTAATGACAACAGGATGGAAAATAATAACTGCAAGTATGTCGTTGATTTTGATTTGAAGAGCCATTCAGAATACTCTGAGAATGTGGAAGGATTTTTCAGGAATAATGTGATTATCAACAATAGGTATAATTATGTTACACAAGGGTTAGGGACAACAAACACCCCAGTAACATTTGCTGTTGCTATTCAAGGTGTCCAAAATATTACAGCACGAAGAAATGTTTTTGAAAATCGTGAACTTCAATATGAACTGGTAGCAGGAATAACTTCACTTACTTTAGACAGTACTTTGGACGTTAGAGAAAATTACTGGGGCACCACAGATCAGTATATGATAAAAGAAAGGATTTTTGACTTTGATGATTGGAATAATTTTGCTATTGCTGAATATTTCCCTTTTCTGTCCATAGCAAACCCTTCCGGCGATATTTCTAATGATCAAGAAATAAAGATCGAGTTAGATTTAAATCACCTGGGTGGACGTATTTGGAAAGATTTGACTTTACCTGCTCGTGGAATGCCTTACATTGTGTATTCAGACCTAACAGTGATGCCTGAAGTTAAGTTTACACTCCAAGCTGGTACTGAGCTCCAGTTTTATCCAAATGTTGGTATTCTTGTTTTAGGACAGCTTGTTGCTAGTGGGATTCCGAATGCAAGAATCAAGTTCGGTCCAGTTGACACTGGGAGACAGAAGCGACAGATTTCATCTTCTTCAGATTTCATGGCAGCCTCTGATATAAGGTTAAGTGGACAGAAGGATAATGAAGGATTTTTGGAGCTGTATAATTCAACTTCAAAGTCATGGAATATTATGTGTGATAACCAGTTTAATGAGAAAACAGCTGAAGTTGTGTGCCGTTCTTTAGGGCTCGAGACTGTTAATGTTGATGTCAGATTCACAACATTATATGATTATTATGTTTATGGAAAAGCTATGTATTTCTTAAAGGAATTCTGGGGATATGCATATTATTGCAAAGGTAATGAAGAAAATCTTGATTTATGTATGAAAAGGATTAACTACAATATCAACTCTTGCATCTTTGCCGCTAACTATACCTATATACATTGTGGGGAGAGAAATTTACCTCAAACGATGGACTATTGGGGTAATATAAGGTTTGCTCCTTCAAATTATGAAGAAGAATTGAATCCATTTATAAGAGAGAAAGATCGTTCACGTCTGCAGTACGTGGACATTGATGGCGCTGGTATGCTTCATGGTGAAAAGGTGGGAGCTATCCAGACAACATATGTCAGTCCAATAATGAACAATAATAACATTACGCGAAGTATTTTAAATGGTATGGACATCATTGCTCCTAGACATACTGTTGATATAATAAACCAAAACATATCAGGAAATCTAGGTTATGCCATCAACATTCTTGTTTTAAACGGAGATTCAACGCCTTCGATGACATCATCATTTATACCATTGAGCACAAACACAGTTCCATACAACTTGTATGGATTAGTAGATATTTGCCGCAGAGAAAAAGAGATAACACTCAACAACAGGTTGATTTTATTTTACAAATATTCCCAATCAGCTGTGGACTGTGTAAAAATCATCAGAGGACTTAGCAGTGTTGGGGCCAAATCAGTTGCTCTACGTTTCTTGCAATTCAGTCTTTTCCACGATGACTTTTACAGAAACATGGTCGAGATATTTGACGGAAAAGATATCTCTGATGATAATATGCTGGCACAGCTTACTGCCAACAGTGCACAGGATCAGATAAAGTTGAAGTACACAAGTAGTAGCGATTATCTGACTGTACATGTACACGCTTCACCTTCTTATGGTTTCTATGGTTTCATCGCTGAAGTTGTCACTATACCATTGTCAGGACTCACATATCCAGGTATTTATCACCCTCTTTATTTCATATTAAATGTTTTGTGTTTTTTATGAGGTAAATATAACAAGTTTCTGGGTTTTCACTTAACGAAAAAAATTTGTTATAGTCATAAGAATTTCAAATCATTATATGATTTTAGTAGTGTATAAGGGAAAGAATATATGCAGTACCTTTGTTTCAGCCTTATTCAGATGACATGGCTGCTTATCATTCATTAATAAAAGTGATTGTTTAGGTTTATGGTCTATATTAATGTTAGTCAAACTGTCTTGTTACTTGTCATAATTAACATCCTATTAGTTTATCCAATGACTTGTGGCTCAACATTTTTGTACGAAATAAGGTATGGAGGTGCACCTTTGGTTGATTTTCACCAGGTAACCTAAAAAAATGTCAAGTGACCATAACAGTGTTCTTGTTACTTCTAACCTAATGTTATCATAAAGTGATATTATCTTTATGCACACATTTTCTTTTGCAGATGACACTATTTTCCATAACATTAAGCATACCATAATGAAAGGTAACCAGGATGGCGCTATACTGTATAACAATGTTGGTGAAATTACCCCATCGCTGTTTGTAGATCATTGTTGGATCGAAGGAAATGGTGTGGCAATACTGAATCTTACCTCTCCTCCAGTTATCAATGTTGGTCTCCAATCTACTAAGAAGTTCAACTTTCAAAACAGCTTTGTCAGTAGAAATAAAGGTGGGATGTATGTTGAAGCAAGAACTTTGTCTGCTGCTACAAAACTACTTGCGAACATAACAAATAATGTATTTGCCTATGGTACCAATGGCGAAGTATTAAATTTGACAGGACACCATTATGAAAAAATTATGCTGTATGAAAACTACATATATAATAACACGGCTGGAGACTATCGTGACATTATACACGTTCAAAATGTTGTCGTTAACTTCACGTTTAACACTGTCACCAGAAACACGGGACATTATATTGTGCGATTATATAACACAGAACAGACAGAAGCCACACAGGAGTACACACGTAACTTGTTTAACAAAAACAATGCCACAGCCCTGTATAGAGCATTGTTTCATGTTGGCAGTGGAAACCCAAAAATTAATCATAACTACATGGTTAATCAAGAATGTGACTTTGAACTGGAATCAAATCCAGTCAATAGGTAATTATTATAACTATTAATCAATTTATGCAAACTATTAAGTTTTTTCACACTTCATGCTTTAATTGTTTCCTATTTAAACTATGGTCCATGTGTGTATGCATGTGCGTGTTTTTTTCACGAACTATTGTAAAATGACATTAATGTTTTAAATGTGAATTGTGCTATTGAATCAGATTTCTGAGCGGTAAGTGGTGTTAATATTTTGCAACACATTCCTATGGTTTAAATATAGGGTCAACTGAACAATGTAAGGAACTTCATGAATTGAAAACTAACTTATAACAGATGTTGCTATGGGTATAAGAAATGAGTCCCACTGACATATTTTATTTTAGACTGTCAAATGGTCAACCAGCTTACAGTTCTCCAATAGATGCCACAAAGAACTGGTGGGGATCTGAAAGTACTGGCTATGTTAACGGGAAAATCTGGGACAAATTAGATAATAATTCTCTAGTAGCTGTAGACTATATGCCTGTGAAAATCAACAATGAGTCACTTATTTATGGTGAGTACCAGTTATTTTTTTCAGTTAAAGAAGATTTATCTTAATAAAATTTAATGGTTTTGAAATATAAATTAACATGAAATAGTGGTATTGCAAATTCTCAATGATTTTCAGTTTCATTCTCTATCAAAAGGATTAAAAAAATCTGGAAACAAAGTGATCCCTCGGAAGCATTAATTACAACAAAATTACATAAGAATTGCAGACTCGGTTTAATTGAGTCTGTACATGAGGGATAATCCAAAAGCCATCGTCTTATTTCCAAACAATAAGTAACATAGTGTGTGTTTAAATATGTTTACATATTGTAAAAAGTGAGTGATATACTTTTGTTTAGAGATCCGCTTAACTTTTTCATAATTGCATTGGTGTCTTGAACTAACAAAGATTGTGATAAATCAAAACATCCTTGTCTATTAACCATTTGACACCATGATATACTTGTAGTGTGATTATTAATTGTGAGGTAATACAATTTATTTTTCAGGAAAGTGTGCACCAGGATGGTTCCTGGAGGACAATAGATGCTATAAATACATGGGGGCAGCATTACCATATGCTGAGGCCAACCAGTTCTGTAAAGTAAGGAAACTACATTCTCATGATTGTTGTCCAGTGAAGCTTTAATTTCTATATTTTACCCATACCATACTTAATATCTTGGTGGCGTGGCGGAGTGGTTTAAACGTCAGATTAGTAATCTAAGGATTGATGACCACATGGGTTCAAATCCCTTCAGGGGCAAGCCGTTGTTTTCTTGAGCAAGAAACTTTACATTCTTTGTTCAGTACTGGTTGGTTCCAGGAACGGATTCGAGAGTGTTTCAATAAGCTTATAGCTTCTAACACAATCTAACTTAAAATGAATTTGAGTAAACTAATATCTTTAAGGTAATTGTCCATATTTCAATATGGTTGGATAAAATTATTAATAATTTTTTAAGAAAAAATTCAAAATATGAAGTGACTGAATAGTTAACAGTGCAAGCCAAGATCAGTTGCCATAGATGTGATGTCTGATTTTGCCTTGCACTGGTTGCATGGGCACAATCTGATGCTGCCAGCAGGACAAGAGTTAAATGCTTATGTTGATAATGACTTGCCATTGCAAATAATACAGAGTAACATCTTGAAATTAAAACTCTTGACGGACACAATGATAAGTTTCAAAAATAAAACCGAGTAAGTCCATTTTACAGGTCAAGCAGAATAAGAGCTTATATTCAAAATCAATAAAATGAAACTGGTTTGGTTGCATTAGGTTGCTTCCTTTCTAATCTTTTTTGTATTGATTGTAAGTGTCATGTATGTTAATGTGTCCTTATGTGATGGATAAAATATGTTTAAACCAATAAAATGAAACAAAAGTTACCTTATTTTATTACAAATTGTGTACTTTTTTTCCTTCAGGAGAATGATGGTTTCTTAGCAGAAGCAAAGGGAAGAGTTGAATTCTTGAAGTATTTATTACGTCTTACAATGAATGTATATAATGAGAATAAGCGTGTCTGGGTATACTCGGAGGTGACATCTGGACGGTGTAGTGCCATCGAGAAGAATTACATCACAGAGGAATATGACTGCTATAATGTCTTACATCCTTTTATATGTGAGAAAGGTAAGCAAATGTTATATCCTTTTATATGTGAGAAAGGTAAGCAAATATCATATCCTTTTTTTTGTATGAGAAAAGTGAGACAATGTTTACAGTTACACTTTTTTCATCTGTGAGAAAGGTAAAGACAATATTACATTATTTCATATGTGAGAAAGGTGAGCAAATACAACAGCCTTTTATATATCAGAAAGGTAAAAATATTTTGCATCATTTCACATGTGAAAAAGGTAAGAATTGTTACATCTTTTCATATGTCATAATGTGAAGTCAAGGAAATCCGACATCATTTCATATATATGTAAGAAAATATAACAGCTTTTTATATGTGAGAAAAGTAGGGAAAATGTTACATTATTTATATGTGAGAAACATGAAAATATGAGTGTCTTTTATTTGTGAGAAAGGTGAGAAAATGTTCATATTAGTGAAAAGGGAAGAAAGTCTTGCATCATAATAAATATGGGAAAGGAAAGAAAATGTTACATCCAGGAAATTAAACATCAAAATGAAAAAAATGTATATCATTTCAATTTAAGATAAAAAGTGTAAAAAAAATGAATAAGTGATTGATCAGTGCAACCTTTTTGATTTTTGAGATATGAGTGTCAAGAAAATACATGCATTCATATCGCAGGTTTGATAGATTAAAAATTGTTAAATGTCCTACATAGAGGCAATGTAACGTTTTTATAATATTCTTAGTTTAGTTTAAACAATATTTTATTTGTAAACATTGCATTAACATGATAATTGCCAAATAATAAATTGTACGGATTGAGTAGGAAGCTTGAAAAGTTTTTTTTGGAAACTCTCTGCTTATAATATAATGCTACATATTTTTAAGATCATGAAAACCACATTGTTGACTGTACATACATAATGTTATCTAACTCTGTATAATAAATTCTAACATACGTATGATGCTTTGAACTTGAACATTATGTTTCTGGTATTTTATCAGCATTGATATATACATGTACATGTATAACTTTAACATGTTATATGTGTATTATTACAGATCCATACATCACTCCTCCAGATTCGTCTATATATGCAGCAGTAATAGGTATAGCAGCTGGAGTATTTGGTGTGGCTGTCGTTATTATAATAATCCTGGCCTGCATGTGGTGCGTCAAATCCAAGCGCCGCAAGAGGGAAAGATTTGAACGACAGTCTTCAATAAGGTCATCCATTAAAGGGTCAACTATAAAGTCAAGGTCAACAATGAGCATGTTATCTGAAGGTCATTCAAAACGTAGACTTGATCAGTTGTCTTTGTCGTCATCAAAATATTTGTATGATCAGAAATCACTGGGAGCCTCGCAGGTATGTTATTAAATGATTAAATTACCTGTGTTGATATCTTAACTATTTAATTCAAGAAAATATTTTCTCACAGTTTAGTTTCATCTTAAATTTAATTTTGTATTGATAAAAATATCAATGACTGAAAAAAGAGATAAGATAATATTAATTATAAACATGTCACAGCTTAGTTCTGTTTATAAAATGCAAGTTGTCTCCCTTGGATCAAAATTGTTTAAACACCTTTCAGCTTTTCTCATTTCTTGTTAAACCAAGAAATAAAAGCGCATAAATATGAGTTAATTTGGGCATTTAAAATAATATTGATGTTTTGAAATATAACTTGTAATGTCATTAATTATTTAAAAAGCAATGATATTCTTTACCCTTATTATTAATGCTTTGAAATTTTGTTTTTAGATGAGTCTTGGTGGTGTGACCGAGGATGAAACAACAACTGATCCCAGAGAAGCACGGCGTAAGTTGAGGCAGCGTGCTGAAATGGCTCGTGGAAGGAGAGATAATGAATCACCTAGATATGATCGTCATGACTTCCGAAATGGTAACGCTGGTGGTAGGAGAGGTCGGGAATATAGTGAAGATGTCAGTGATGATGAACCCATTGCTAGAGGTCGACCTGATAAACATCATACAAATGGAGGCTATAAAAACTCTGATGAAAGTCATGACTATACGGAGCGTGACAGTGAGGATGATGATTGTGTGAAGAAACCACTGACAGATAGTGATGACGAGGATGACAATAGGAGCAGTTTTACACCAGTGAAATTTAAACCTAATGTTGAAAAAGAGTTAGATTCCATACAGATGAATGCCAATGGATCAATACAGTTTAGACGTCAAGATGACTCTGGCAGTGTTGATCTGAGTGGGAGACAACTTCAGAGGTCAATGTCCAGTTTTAGTGCTCATGATTCACAAGATAAAGGTTCTACTGCAAGCAGTCAGGGTAGTGGGATAGACAGAAGAGATTTACCAACACCTCCATTACCTATGAACATCCCAACTAAACCAAGCATCGCAACCCGTCCACAACCTAAACCAGTTCCGGCACCAAGACCGAAACCATTACCTTCTGCAAGATCATTTGGTAGTAAGGAAAACTTAGGGGAAATAAAAATGAATAACTTAAGTCAAGATGAGGCAAGTGATTTCCGTGGAAGTAGAGAGAGACTTGATGATGTTTTTAGTGGTAGAAAAGCTCCAAGCAGGGAGAATTTGAACACATTTAATGAGCCATACAAACAGTCAAGTAACAGAAGTCGTGAAGATTTAACTGACACTGGATTAGGTGTTGGTGTGGATTTATTGCCACGCCATAATAGAAATGTAAGAGATGTAGATGAAGGAAGGGACTCCCCTCTTCATACAAGTCGCGAAAATTTGCTTCCTAAACGAAAAGACAGTGACAGTTATCGACCCCCAAACTTAAATAGGAGTCGTGAAAATATCTACCAACCTGATCTGTATAATCAGGCACCAAATTCTGGTACAGGACGACCATATCAATATCAGGGAACTGATCCAGGGGTGGAGTATATGGGACGGCAAACTCCACAGAACACAGATTACAGTGATGCAACAGGGATTGACTATTTACCTAGGGACACGAGAACTCCGATGAAAAGTCGGTTTATGATGGGTGTGCCTCAACACAATACAGACAATCAGCCACAATCCTACACTCCATATCAGACACAGGATCCTGGTTATCAGCACAGTCCATCAGCTTATAAACCTAGTTACCATGACAACAGTGCTAGGTACGAGCCAGACTCGTACAAACCTCGTTATCCTTCATCCAGTGCAAGCGAAAGTATGCCTCCTCCCCCGTCATTTGGCAGTGGAATAGACTACTTACCTAGAAATAACTTTAGTCCTTCCTCACAAATGGGTGATAGGTCAAAGTCACGTGAAAATATTTCACGGTCAAGGGAAAATCTGTCTCGTTCTAGAGAAAATTTAAGTCGATCCAGGGAGTACTTAAATGCAGGTCAAAGGTCATATGATAATGATTTGCGAGAAAATTCTACTGATGTTGTGAAACCAAAGCAACAGAAATCAATAGAAACAGAAATCTAAAATATTATATCAGGTTAGACATAATAACATATCAAATTTTTACATATCAACTAATATTTTTGTTTATAAATGCGATTTTTTATATTTATAGATCCATTTTGTTAATACATATTTTTTTTATGTAAATAGAAACTATATATATGTTTTAAAGCAGACAGTTGTGACACAAGGTTGTGATGTAAGTAGTGTAGCACATACATGTATTTATGATTTATTTATACAAACTGGTGATTCATGTGTAAATTTAGTTCAAAGGGCTCAGTTTAGGTGACTTTTAATGACTTTTTATTATTGAAAGAAATAAAATCTTCATTTTTTTCCTTAGATTTGACTGGCGGGTTTTGCTTATGTCACTCTCACAGTCACTGTGTATTACAAATTGAAAAACTTTCTTCTTTTGTCAAGTGTTTGTTTTACATATGGGGACTACAATATAATACATGTTTCTATTATATTTTTGTTAAGTTGTATTTGATGTTATTTGAAATACATGTATCCCATATTTACTTGAAATTTTCAGATTATTTTTAACTATTTTTTTTTCTCTCAATAATTAATGTGCAATAAAAATGCATAAGTAAATATACATGTAGCTTCATTATCAGAATATCATAAAGTACAGCTATTTACACATCATACATACACTAACCATAAGTCTTGCTATCAATGTATATAAAATAATTATATAAAATAATTAATAATGATATAAAATAATCAGTGTTAAAACAGACTATGTGAATGTTCCTGCGATGTATATATTTAAGCTTTATATATGTTTTAATGAGAAAACAGGGCAGTTTAGTGTATAACCTGTATATTTACTTGACTATTTTGACATGTTTATTTCCCTTGTCTTTTTATTTTCTCTGTCTTTTTAAAGGTTGATCTTGTTCATGAACTGTTTCTTTAGAAAAAAGGGGAACTCATCTAGTGAAAGTTTGTTTTCTAAAAATGATGTTGTCAGAATATTTTTCTAAAAATTGTTTAAATAATTGAAAATATTCCGCTTCAACGGGTTAAATTATTTATTTTACATATATGTAACGTGGTTTTATTTGTGGTACTGTAATTATACATTTCATCATAGATTATAAATAGTGCTATGTATGTACATAGCATATGCATGCACGTTGAGCTTTGTGCCTGAAACGAAATGCATGTATCATAATCTGTTTATTTTATAAAATAAATAAGTTGAATCCAGGGAGTTATTAAATAGCTTTAATTAACATAAAACTGCTTATTTTATGTAAGTAATTCGTACAAAGATTTTTAAAGAAGAAATGTGATGAATATTATTATTTTCATGGTTAAAAAAATGCTTTGACTCAATGTGATTAAAATCGGCGCCTGATTGACATTTTACCATACTAGGCTGTTATAGTAAGTAAGTAGATCTGAACTTAAGTCAGCTTAAGAACAGTCTCTAACCAATATGTAATACACTAGTAGTTGATAGGCTTTATTTTACTGAAATATCTCAGTATATAATAAACGTTTCAATTTAAGTATATACTCTATGCTATATATATCAGAGCTTTTAAAATAGGTTCATAATTATTCATTCCTTTTACCACATGTAGCTTAAAAAGCACTGAATATATTAAAAGTTCATATAAACATATTGTATTATAATGTTAGGGTTTTTTATTGAAAATGTTTGATAAAACTAATGATTCAAGCAATTATGTAAATTAAATTAGTAGATTTAAATGTATATAATCAGATAGTGTACAGGTATATTTGTATATAGGTATAATTTTTATTCTGTCTATATTTTTTTTTACATTCCATTCTGTCTTCGCCATTCATTCCTGTTTTATGTATACAAATTCCATTTTTATACTTTATTCTTACCAATAATAATAAATGAAAATTGAAAAATTCTTATTATGTGTTATTTTCTTTGTCTTAATAGCATATGGCAACCTGTTTTAGTTTAAATCTTGCTGAGGACACTGAATTGTTCCATGCGAAGATCATATTTATTTAGCATATTTATCAAGGTTAATGATATGTTTAAGACTTCATACCCTTCATGTATGTCTCGTTTATTTCTCATTTATATTACACTCGTTACTTAACTCACAACATTCCGGGGATTGGCAGATCACACTACTGTATGAGCGCATCTGCGGATGATTTTAGTTTAAATGTAATTCTGTGCCAAGAAGCATGGAGTGTCACCAGCAATATCGGAGTCTTCGGCATTTTGATTAAATCTCCTTCAATGTTTTTACGTTTATCGTTTTATCCACCTGCATGGCAAAAGTGGTTTATGACATGGATTATCTTCTGACATCAGGACATGTACAACATGATGACCAGCTTTTTCACCTCGACAGCATCAACAAAGAATATAAATTCTATAACCTTGCCTACATAGTAAGATTGTTCTAGAAAAATAATTATTCACATTTCATATGAACGCATGCCTTGTGTGGAAATGACAAAATCTTTGAAAATAAAATATGGCATAGGTAGTTTTAATATCAGACCTGCGTTTGATTATAAGAATCTTACGCTGACTGCCGTAAACAGCGACCCTCTAGCTAGATTTTCCAGATACCGGCAGCCAGTGTAAGATTCTTATTATATAATCTGCAGATCCATAATCGTTCTTACAGACGTTGAAATATGAGTTTTGTCATTAAAAACGGCGTATATTGAGTTTTATTAGTATATGACTTTATTATGTTTATGTGTGACAAATATACAATTTATACGAATTTAAGGTGGTTGGAGCTCCACATCCCATGAGTATCTGACTGTGCTCTCCTTGCGGATAAAAAGGTCACTTAATAACAACCGAAATTAGTAACAGTGACACCTGAATGATCAATGAATGAAACAGCAGGCGTGGCTCTGGTTACAACTATGAGACAGACAGACAGACATACAGATACTTTTATTTACAATCAGGTTCTACAGTACATACACATATAAGCAACATGACAAATATTAAAGATTAATATGTCTACTAGTAGTTTGTATATTTTTCAACAATTTGTCATTCATATATCATAGGATTCTACAGACATTTTAATGTGATCAAAAGGTTACTGTATCAACTGACCTGTGTGACTGGTGTGGCAGCTAAATATGTGTGGGAACAACCACCTGAATTTCAAATTACGGAAATGTACTGGTTCAATTATTTGGACGAGCAGACCTTTAAGAGATCCATTCATTTCCTTATCAATGTACTAGTTTTATCTTTCTTTAATATACAAAGATTATCTGCACTTGTTCGTTTGAAAACATTATTAAATACCTGTCATTGACATTGTGTAGCTCTTGTTTTCAAATCTATTATACATTTAACAGTATGCACTTTTCTTGTAAATAAATAAATTTATTTAAGTTTTAATGGTACGTTTTAGCTTCCTTCTGTTGTCATTTATGTTAGTATGACATAGGCGTTCATGTGGAAATCAGTTAACAGCACGAATAAGCTATTTTTTCTTTTAAATTTTGCTGGTTTAGTGATTTTAATTAAATGCGCATGACTTGGAACACAGTGTGCCCAGTACTAGTGTCGTAATTCAACCAAATTTCACCATTAAAGTATGGTTAACTTGTTTAACTCTGATCTAGGTAGTATTTACTCTGAACCTACTAACTTGTGTTATATTTGAATATGGAAATATCTCTTTAAGGTTTAAGGGATTTCAATATTAAAATATAATACAGAGCTTGGTCAGACTGCATGAATATACAAGACTGACCAGTGCGAAAGCTCATTTCACTATGTTAGAGGTTGCATAGCTTTATAATTAATTAATTTTGGCAAATCGTTGTTTGAACAATATATGGCATACAACAACCAAACAGTATGTTTCGGCGTTCAACGTAAACCGAACTTCTTACATTTACTTAAATGTTCCCCGTGATAGAAATAGAGGACATACTGAATGTGTGTAAGTTCAATACTAAATTTATTGAACGAGTTTAATAAAATTATATTATGCGAACCTCTGGCGAGCATAATATTATTTTATTCAATTAGTTCAATAAAATTCAGTAATGAAACTACGAATATAATATTCTATTTATCACATACCCAAAACAAAGTGGAAAAGATTCACTTTTCATTGATGCGCTTAAAAAGCGGCACAGGTATATGATAAAATGCAATATGGTCATACAATATCAATTTGGCCGTAATATAATTACAATCCCTCAACTTTTTCAGCTTAATTCATCAGTCATTAATCATTAATCTTAGACCAATGAATGAACAATCAGTAGGCTTGGTCTCTATAGCGTCGTTAAGTGGTTTTTAAGCTTGCTCCAATTCAGCAGCTTTGAGGGCTAAAATGGATTTATCACTTAATATTTTATTCTTATCGTTTTAACTTGAAAACAACTTTGCCAAACTCATTTTCGGAACCAATTAAACATTTATTCTCGCCATTTTATGCCACAACAGAAGTGGGAGGGGATATACATTTGCCTTTGTCCGTCTCTGTCCGTAGACTGACGAAACAGTGGAATGTGGGGACATCAATGTCATACGGACTAAATTCTAGTTTTGTTTCATAGGTTTATTTAAAGTTCATGACTACATTCTGTCATATATTCATAACAATATGCACTTATGAGACACTACTGCTGTTTCGTGAGAATAATACTGTGGGAAACACCATGTGTATGACACACCTTAAGTTTAGCATTTAAAGATATAAAATTAGGACGTGCCAGATTTTATGCAACCTGATGTGTTGAGTGCAAACACAAGGCAATCGCTTATTCATAAGGGCTAGGCCGAGTTTCAGAATCCTGTGAGTTTAAAATAATGTCCTTCGGGGTATTGATATGCAAGAACAACAGATACATTTTGAGATTTGCATTAAGAAAGACAAAGAGTTTTAAGATTCCTATGTTAAGTATACATCGGTTTATAGTCATTGCTTGTTACGTTGTATCCAGCCAAGAACCATACAAAAACCGCAGCTATTTTAACATTATGATTTTACCCAATATTATTTTTTAAATATTTTTGTTCCTCTACAAAATCACTCAGATTACTTCTATGGATATGGTTAGCGGTTAGTGTTTTGGTTAGAGGGTTATGGGTTAGGCTTCGGGATCATTGATGCCAGCACTATTAAGTGTTGAGAATTGAGTACCGCTCAAGCCGGTGCTAGGGGGCGTGAGGGATGTTGCACGTATTCATTATCCCTCATGTACAGACTCAATCAAACCGAGTCTGCAATTCTCTTGTGATTTTGTTGTGATTAATGCTTCCGAGGGATCACTTTGTTTCCAGATTTTTATACTTCACAACAGCAGGTGTCAAGTGCTGTGTGGCAGCTGTAAAAAGTTGCCCCGTACTTCACTTCAGTGTTGTTATATTTTTCTGGTCCTTCGGGATCATTGATGCCAGCACTATTAAGTGTTGAGAATTGAGTACCGCTCAAGCCGGTGCTAGGGGGCGTGAGGGATGTTGCACGTATTCATTATCCCTCATGTACAGACTCAATCAAACCGAGTCTGCAATTCTCTTGTGATTTTGTTGTGATTAATGCTTCCGAGGGATCACTTTGTTTCCAGATTTTTAGGATTTTAAAACATGGCTTTTGCTGCGGACAGATTCTAAAAGTGCTCCACTTTTTTAAATATATCGACATATAAAATGAACTTTGACAATAACCATGTTGTTGTTGCATCGGCATATTGTTGTCCTTACAAGTCATGTTAGTAAGTCCAAGTTCTTCAGTAATGGGTCGTAAGTCAACGCAAAGTTTGCTATTTATTTACTTCTCAAAACCAAGCGGCTCATGAGGCTACCGGACTTTTTCTACGTGAGTGTTAATAAATTTGGTTCTGTCTCATTGCAGGTATATCCAAGAAGAGTATATAACAGATTTGGTATATTTTCCATGTTTGTTATCTAGTTTATAAATAAGATTACCAAAAACCGACTGCCATCGCTTAATACAAATAAATTTATTTAGAAGTAGATCATATAATTGTCTTATAAAAAATAACATGGTGCTTACAAAAACATATTTAAAAAAAACTAGAGCAAGTATTTGAAGAAAATGTTATCCTAACCGTGTTAAAGGAACTCCACTGAGGTCCGAACTTCACTTAGGTCCAAAGGCCTAAAACATAAAATCTGAAAATTAAAAAAAAATTAAGTGAAACACTTAAAATAAAAAACTTTGCAAATGATTACAAAGAAATATACTATAGTAAAATTAAAAATCGCTTTATTGTGTGTCTGACTCTTAGCCGATAAATATAAAAATTTGAGTGAAAAATGTTGCAAGGCTTTTTTATTATTAGGCCATTTTGCACAATAAAAGCACAATAAAAATTATTATTATAACGTTGGGAGGGAATATTCTGAAAATTGTGCACAAAAATATTGGTCCAGACCATCATCAATTTGTACACAAATGTCCAAAAAATATTTCCAGTCACGACATATCTAAAAAAAACCTCAATGGAGTACATAAATTACTGTAAGGATCTGTAGGAAATTCAAAATAAAAATTCACGTTAAAAATTTTCTCTTTGTGTAAATTAATTGCTAATTGGTTATTTAAAACAGAAAAAAACAACACGATTTGTGTTTTAAAAGTACTGGTCGTGATCCTGACATGTTCTTTGTAAATATAGAGCCATGGATTCATAAATGAATACATGTATATATTTCAGAATGCAGAATGTCCTCTTTAACCTGTGTACAGGACATTAAATGTCCTCTAAAACCTGTGTACAAGACATATATAGCAAAGGTACTTGCTTGAACTATACTGGACAACCATATGGTTTCGTCGAAACATTGGCAAATTGGTGCACTGGTCTACTTATTATATCTTGACCCAACTACTAACCTTATGCTAAGATAAGAAATTGTAAGATGACCCTATGACGTGATCTCGTCATCAATTGAATGTCTGAATAATTAATTTGATATTGATAAGCATCTTAATCATTGTAGACAAATACTCTTTAAGATGGCAAAAATTCGAGTATATGGACCAGAATGTATATTCACGTAAAAACATAAACCCACAAGAACGTTGAGTTTTTTCACATACATGTATATTGACATAGATAATGTATCTATATATACACACGAAAATATATGAAGTCAGTTCTTTTTCAGTATCTTAAATATCAAACTTTGATTTTATACAATGCAAATAACAAAATACTGCACAGTTTTTAAAGCGGCAACTTTTTTTTCCATTTTTTATTAATTGAAGTTTATACAGGGCACAAGCATCATTACATGAAGGAATTCTTTATCAACAGTCATATAATAATGAAATATAATCAAGATATGTAAAACAACACAGCTGCTATTGTAATTGTGTGTATTCTTATAAACCTAAACGTTTGATAATGTTTTATAACGGGATACAAAAATATTTCTAGAAAAAGAGAGAAAACGGTAAGATACTCGGCCGAAGTCAAACTTGTTAACTTGCATAGGATAAGCTACTACTAACCATGCCAACCGCAAACAGAACATTTTATTCGTCCTCAATAGTTTTATTACAGTTCATTTTTACCCGCAATGTTTTTCCCCCTTTAATTGTCATCTTATATTTAAACAATATTACTTACATTATTTGATTTTTATCAAAATGGAATTTGATTTGAATAGGAAATTATTATAAAACAAAGATTTAGTAGATACAGTACACTAATTCCACGAAGAATTTTGCAACTGTAACTTACCGTGGTAGTCGAAAGTTCGTTTCAATCGTCTTATGCCCGGTTCGAGAAGAGAATATAATGACTAGAACAGCTTAGAAGAGAAACCCATTCGAACGCAAAAGTGTCAAAGGCGATCTGTCATATTTAATATCACATATATATTGAAAAGCTGTTAGAAACATCTAGAAAATATCATTATTGTGTTTTTATATTTATTCTGACTTAATATCTTTTTCCAACACTTCTTGCCATCGCGCACTCGAACAGACCTCTACATATAACGGTATCAATCGAGCAGGCTATTAGTGTTAAAATTCTGCCTATATTCATTTCTTTACTGTTAATTTAAGCGGAAGTCAATGTGAAATCAGACGGCCTTCGGTCGAAAAAGATAAAATGATTTCTTTGCTCAAATCGATGTCAATATTTTGCTTACAATTTACCCGCTGTTTTTCAATTACGTTCCCCTCTATCTGAAAAAGCGATTACACATTTATGTGGATACCCAATTTATGTGAACATTTTTCTTAGGTTTATAAAAACTAAAAAAAAGCTTTTAAAATTCTGTTCTGTTCTGTTCACAATTTACAATTTTTGACGGCTTGTCAATTGATGTCTTGCATTTACTGTCACAAGGTCATACTCGTATCTTCTATTACAATCATGTATAGCACCCGACTTTTGTACCGTTGATTGATGTGAGATATTAATTTGATCATGAAATCTGTATTCTGTATTCGTTTCTGATATCATTATGTGATGGAACGATGTTGATTTCAGTGTCACGGGTTAAATTGTCTAAAACTCGATATATCCAGTTGGAAAATTATGAGGTATACCCGTATACATTATTGAGTACAATACTGTATTCTATTGGACGAATACACAGCTATCAAATCTATATTGGACGAGGCGCAAGCCTAATCTGATATAGGTTTTGTAGCTGTGTACGAGTCCAATGGAATCAGAATTGTTTTCAACAATGTATAATGTAGATTTGATGTAAATTATTGGACTCTGAAAATGAAAACGATGCTAGGTGGAGTACAATATGAATTGAAAAATTGAACTCTGAAAATTAAAACGAGGCTAGCAGGGATACGACATGCATTTAATTGGACAAAATTGATAACATTGCATTTAATGATTTCTATTTGAACAACACATAGTTCAAACGCTCATGATTCATTGGTTATAGTTTATACGTTGTGAAATAATATTTTATATTAATCGCAAATGGCTAAGGACTTTTGCTATAACATTACTTAACCAGAAATAATTATTCTGCAATTCTACGATCATCACGTGGTTACGACATTTATATGTTCTGATGACGGTTCTAATAGATAGAGTACAATTTTCAAAAACCATTTTTTATACTGCAAAGCAAAAAGGAAATATTGGACATGATGCAACCACGGAGAACATGGGAGCTCTGCGGGAAAATGTCTTTAGACTTTGGGGTCAATTCTAAGTTAGGGCTATCTAAATTCAATTCTAAGTGTTCTGCTGTTTTTGTTGCTGTATATTCTATCTTTATTTTCTTAAATAACTTTCCAGCCTATTTTATCTAAACCGAGAGATACTTTCTGCATACTTTTCAGACCGTTTTACATTTGTGAGATGCATCTAATGCAATAATACTATATGAGCTAAAACCAACTTTGATAAAACACATAACAGACCAATCAATGTTGGTGAAGATTTTTTTATTTACAATTTCTTTTGAAATTAGTGGTCCGTGAAGGCGTCAATTGGTATGATAATATTTTATTTAGCAGCGCAATATGAAACTGCATTATACATGTGAAGTATTAGAACTTGCTGGGAACACCAAACGTTTACGACGGACATTGCAGCATCTAACAATCGTAAAACTGCAAAGCCATCGAGCGTTGACAATATCGCGCTTACAAAAGAAAGAGCCGAAATTTCGCCTTGAATGACGACCTGTTACGTTCATGGGCAGAAATGTCCAGTAGTTTGGCCTTATCTGCTGACCTGTTTCAGACCAGGGCAAATAGTTATAATAACTCTAGTGAAAGGGTCAGTGTTGACCATTATTCGTACAAATTTCAAACAGGCAAAAACAGTTTGATGATTTAGAAACAATATAATGCAAGTGCAATATCGGAATATGCGTCAAACCAGGTAATTTATTGTAGTTATAATATTCTAAACATAATAAAAAGACCAAATATGAACATTTCAATATAAAAAAAAATGCAGATCAGTTTAATTTTTCTTTTATTTTATAATTCTGAAAGTTTTAAATAGTGCCCTATTGTTTCGATGTAAAGAATTGATTAAATGTACATATGTATGTTTAATATGACCATGGTAAGGCAATTTAAAGACTAATTTGGCTACACAATTATTTTTTAAAAGTCAATACAAGTTTTGCAGGCATTTTTATCAGAAATGATGAATAAATAAATAAAAAAAATAAAAAGAAATACACATAAAATTTCACAAACATTTCCTTTATAGACAACTAAATCGATGTTATTCACTAGTTTCATAAATTATTCATAAAACACAACAAATAAAGTTCTCACAATAAAAATCATTTCCGAATAATTCAAATGATTCTTTCAAAATACCCATCTACAGAAGAAGCAGCCCTTTGTTCAAGAAAATTCTCAGTATGTTAAAAATAGTTGTACATGCAGTTGGCTCTGTGGCAAAATATCACTCTTAGGTGTATTAAGCTATATATCTGCTGCAAAATTTATTGTTTGAATTTTTAAATAAAGGCTTGTATGAAATAAATTTGGTAGTAAATTGCCTAAAAATCGAATGGCGCATACACGAAATCATTGCTTAACTGATAAAACACCACTTAAGATAGTAGATTAATATTTTGTTCTAGAACATTTTATTTTGACTTTCAATATTCATATGTGTTAAATAACAGAAAAATTCTATTCTACTATTAGAGTAGATTAAGGAACCAATATAATTTACTGTTGATAACATTTAAAGAATATTTCATAAAATATAGCTTTATACCCTTTAAACAATTTTGAAAACAAGAATTGACATACTATAAAAGCATAAAAGAGATCTTTTGAAGTACTCCGCAATTATCGAAATCACCGAAACTCAAATTAATATTCATTATACCTTACTCACGCCGTTTATTATTCGTTTGCAGATAAAAAGTTACATGATGTCAAGCACAACAGTCGAAGGCATAACTTGTGCAGCCATCGGAGAAGGTAATCTTCTTTTGTGTTGCCTTAAAGAACTGCGTCGACGTAAATTTGTTATCAATGCAGTTTTTACGAACACTGAATATGTTGAAGCATTTTGCCACGAAACAAAACTAGTTTGCTACAAACGAAATGAAGACATTGTTAAGGTATTACACAACCATCGAACGGATTACTTGTTTAGCATCTCAAATCCACGCATTCTTAGGACAGATGTACTCCGCATTCCAAAACAATTAACCATAAATTACCACGACAGTCCACTTCCGACTTATGCAGGTGTTCATGCAACATCATGGGCAATAATACGAGGAGAACGCCACCATGGTATAAGTTGGCATGTTGTTGAAGCTGACATTGATACTGGTGATATTCTACAAAGTGAAGCGGTTGAAATTCTAGAAGATGATTCAGCTTTCACGTTGAATTTGAAGTGTGTGGAAGCATCAAAACGTGCTTTTTCTCGATTGCTGGAAGAAATCACAAACGATGATATAAGTAAGGAGAAGCAGTCAAATAATGGACGATCATATTTTGGTCTGTACGAAATACCTCCGAATATAGGCGTACTTAACTTTCATAAAACTATGGACAATGTTTATGATTTAGCTAGGGGCTTAGAATTGGGACATCATGAAAATGCGCTTGGTAGTCCAAAAGTGAAAACTTCAACTGGAGAGTTTTTATTGGTGACCAATGCTTCAAAACCGTCAAACGATAAATATGTTAAGGCGAAAACACCCGGGACCATCTTAGAAATAATTGACGACACGTTAGTTGTAGCAACCTTGACGAACCCCATAAACATCAGTATTGCAAACCTTGATGGTACGGCTCTCTCAGAAGGTCTTTTCCGTTCTCATGGTTTAGTTGTCGGTGATACGTTAGACGACATTATGAATGTTGATGTTAGAGATCTCATTCCGGTAAGAAAAAAGGAGGCATTCTGGCGAAAAAGACTTGTACAGTATGAACCTACCATGTTCTACAGACAAAAGATGAATGTTGTTGCAAGTATTATTGACGTATCTACAAATGTCAACGTTAAGGCGGTCAAAATGGAAGTACCTACATTGAATGACAACATCGGTGACATTTCTGACAGAGGCTTATTCTTGCAAGCATGCTTTTTGGCCTTTCTAGCGAGAATAAATTGCACCGCAACAGTTCATGTTGGATTTTTGACGGAGAAAAAAGACATACCAAATGAATGCATTGACCTATATTCAGATATAACACCTGGTATTTTTGACGTAGACATCAATGCAACAGTCAATGATGTTTTTGAAAAATGTCAAAAGGAAATAAAATTTCAAAAAGAGGCAAGAACATTTCTAAACGACATTTTCTATCGGTACCCAGAGTTGCACGGCCATAAGCCTACTCCACAACATAACCTAGTGCTTGGAGATTTAAAAGAGCTTAGCGACCAATATGTACAGCGCATTTTATACAACTGCAACATACTCATACTGTTCGGTGGAGAGAAAACGTCAGAGATAGAAATTCGTTTCCATGATCGACCAGCACAGGATTTTGGACACATTCTAGATGTTCTACAACACTTCACAACATTCTTGGCAGCTGCCAACGATAGAAAACAGACATCGGATCTCAAAAGCTTGTCGATGATTTCCAGGAATGAGATGAATCAATTTTACAAAGTTTCACCACAGTTGGAAAATGATAGAATCGGAAATGAATCAATATCCAGTCTTGTAGATCGTCAATGCCGACTTACTCCTCTAAGTATCGCATTAAAGACAACGTCATGCATGATGACATACAATAAAATGGCAAACGAAGTAGACATATTACAAGATCTACTAAACAATAATATGTTTGTATCAAACAATGACAAGAAGAAGCCAGTAGTTGCAATATATGCCCCGAATTCTATTTCCTACGTCATTTCCGTTTTGGCCTTAGCAAAAGGTCGCATGGCATTTCTGCCGATTCCCTATGATTTGCCGCCAGATAGGATTGTTTTCACACTAAATGATTCAAAAGTAAACAAAATGATAATGACCAAAGACATTTTCGACAAATGCAATATGAATGGACTGACACCTTTCATGAGAGTAGTAACAGAGCATAAAATTGCTGATGAAAATATTGTCTTGGTTGAATTTGATCGTGTTTTTCAGAACGAAAATGATCAGCTCAACACAGACAGCATAGAAAAAGATTTTTTGTATTTGATGTATACTTCCGGTTCAACAGGTCGCCCGAAAGGAGTAAAGGTGAAAGAATCAGGTGCAATTAATCTCGCACGCGCTCAGATTATGTGTTGGGATATTGTTCCAGGAGATGTTGTAGCACAGTTTGCATCTATCGGGTTTGATGCTTCAATCTCAGAGATCTTTACCTCCCTACTTTCAGGAGCATCTTTGGCAGTCCTCAATCTTTCAGAGAGACTTGGAAATGACTTTTTGGTAGCAATGAATAAGTTGAAAGTTAGTGTTATAACTCTTCCACCATCCGCATTGAATATATACTCCCCCGAAGATCTACCTTTTCTTAGGAAAGTTATTGCTGCAGGCGAAGCATGCACGTTGAATATAGCGAATAAATGGACATCTGGAGAAAATGTTCGATTTTTCAATGCTTATGGCCCAACTGAAGCAACAGTTTGCGCAACTGTGTATGAGCACTTTCCAGACACAGTTTACGAAGACGTAAATAGAGACCTTCCAATAGGAAAAGCTATAGATGGTGTGTTTGTATATCTCTTTGATGACTTTATGCATCCAATTCCTCCTGACGTTGTTGGAGAAATATACATTGGAGGTAAAGGTCTTGCTCATGGATACATTGGTCACGCTCAGCACATGTCTAGGGAAAGATTTGTGCTGAATCCGCTTTCTAAAGAACCATCGCTTCTTTACAAAACAGGTGACCATGCCTTTCAAGATGTCGATGGAAATATCACGTATGTAGGAAGAAGTGATGATCAAGTAAAGATTCGCGGTCATCGAATCGACTTAAGCGAGATCGAGCAAGTACTTATTCAACATCCGAAAATAGAACTGGCTGTAGTCGTTGTCCACAAATGCTCATCAGCAAGCGAATTATCCGTAGCTGCATTCGTTGCACCATCATTTATTTACATATCGGAGCTTCGAGAATACCTAGCGAAAGTCTTGCCTCGATATATGATACCAACATACATAAAGAAACTAGAGGTGAAGGAACTACCAAAGACATTGAATGGAAAAATCAATCGCAAGAAATTGGAGGTTGACGAAAGTATACATGATACCAATGAAACAAATGGCCATAGCCATTTGAATGAGACGCAGTTGGCTGTTGCTAAGTACTGGTGTAAAGTATTTAAGTACGACGAGTCCTTCATATACTCACTTCATCGACAAAGCTCATTTAGCGAATTAGGAGGAAACTCTTTGCAATTGGTCCTTCTGCTGAGATTATTTGAAGATGAAATGAGAGTAAACCTTTCATTTACCGATCTCGGTACTGCCGATACAATTGAAGAGTTTGCAGATGTTATACGTCGACGACGCGATATCAAAGCTAGAAATGAGCAGTGTGATGTCAAAACAAGAAGCGAGTTACGAGAAATGATATTTCACGACTCTGAGTTAGATTCAAGCATATTCCCACATCCGGATAGAAGACGATCCGTTCAATTTACACATTTTACAACACGCATACACAAAGATACGCGCAAGCATCCAAAAAATATCCTGATTTCAGGGGTAACTGGGTTTCTAGGAGCATTCCTTTTATCAGAGATTCTTGAGCAGTCAAATTCGCATGTTTGTTGCATGGTTCGTGAAACCACCGAAGCAAGAGGCATTGGTCGCATCATCGATAATATGCGAAAATATAATCTTTGGAAATTCGAATACAGTTCACGTATTGCTGTGGTTATATCAGATTTGTCACAGAAAAATCTTGGTATTGCGCCTGATATATACAAGTCATTGTGTCATGCCATAGATGTTATCTTCATGAATGCAGCACAGATGAATTTCAACACAGCCTATGATGATCATAGAATATCAAATGTCCATGGTACTAAAGAATTCATAAAGCTGGCATCTACAGGAGTACAAAAATATTTGTTCACTACATCATCACTCAGTGTGTTTCTATTCCCAAAGGAAAATGTAGAAACTGATACTGACAGGCGGGTTTGCAAAGAATCGGAGTTTTTTGATGATCCATTGCTAATTGAAGGCGGTTACGGTCAGAGTAAATGGGCAAGTGAGCGTCTCATCATGCAGGCCCTTGACTTCCTACCGGGTGGTGCAATATTTCGGCCAGCTCGGGTATCCGGACGAAGTACAGATGGAGTTGGTCCTAAGAATGATCTTTTTGCATCAACAATGATTGGGATGAAGAAGATGGGATCTTATCCGGATATGTCTTTCCCATACGACTTGACGCCTGTGGACTTCTGTGCAAGATCAATGGTCGAAGTAACCTTGAAAGTATGCAATTCCGAGAGTGGAACATACGAAAAGATTTACCATTTGTTCAACAAAGATACGATACCGTTCCGAGACTTATTCAAAGGCATGGGTCTAAAGGGACTTTCACTTGATGACTGGCGGAAACAGCTAAAACAAATTGACAGCAGCAACAAGGCACTTATTCCGCTGACACCGTTCTTTCTATCAGCATTTTGGGACAGAGCCCCTGAATGGCCAGTATTTGATACTTCTAACCTCGATAAAGCTATATCTGATCGTGCCAGAGAACTTATTCGTCCGTCTGCAGAACTCTTACAAACATATAAAACGTTCTTTGGCATATAAGAAACTTCTTTGTCTGTAAATAAAATCAATAAAGAACAAAATTTACAATCATGGCCTGTAACAGCGTAAATATTAAAATAAAGCAAAGATATTGGCCGAAATCAATTAATTAATGGTCACTGCAAACTCTTTTCTATGACACAAGCATTTTTCAATCTAATTCGTAAAAACTCGTGCAAAATTATCGGTTTATGTATTGAACAATAAAGTAATTAGTTAATGATAAAGACAATAATATCATTTATGCTAATTTTATTAAAATAAACAACAAGAGGAACACAAAGGCGGGGCAATATACGCCGGAACGAAACTTTGTTTGCGTAATCAAAAATAATCTTTCAATAAGGAAATAAACTCATTCATAAAATTTCACAAAAAATATCTTAGATATTCTTTTAATACTAGATAACCCAATTGTGGGAGCATCTTTACCCAGGTGCATTATTCAGGTCTGCTTAGCACTGCCACATGCTAGATATATAAGCGCTGAGCACTGCATTTTTTTACAAAAAGATTTGATGTGTTTTCTAATACATCAATCTACATAATGCATGGTGACGCCAAGGGCAGAGATATTTTTGACCTGGTTAATCGTCATTGTTAATATGATTTCTGTAGAACTCTATAAAATGATGTTGCATGCCAATATCAAAACTCTGGGCTTTTACAGTATAGGAGTAAATAATTTCAAAATATGTTAACAGGGTGGAACCAATCCTTGCCCAAGGATAATGAATTTTGTCCGTTTTATAGAGGTCAAATAAGCTATGCTATATGCCAAATATCTAAGCTCTGGGCATTTTTGTTTCACAAAAAAACTTAAATATGTTATCATATACAAGTCTATATTAACCAAGTGACCCCTGGGACAGGGCAAATGTTGACCCAAGGGGTATGATATGAATCAATTTTGTGGAGTTTCACAATTTTTCGATATAATCAGGTGACCCCAATAATAACTTTTGGATGATATATTTAGCAAATAAACATATTTAGACTTGCATTTCCTATGTATAACAGTACTAAAGTGAAGTGTGCTTGGAAATGTATCATGTATCATTTTTTCTTTCAATTTCGAGTAATGGAACTTGTCACCTAAATTTCTATTTTCTAATTACATGTAATACATGATCTGTATTCTAGTGGTCTCTTACTTCAATAACTAGTCTATGGTTTATTGTTCTAACTTAAAACAAGAATTTGTAACAGAGTTACCAACGTCCCCCGCCCCGGGAGTTTTATATGAAGCATAAAATTGTGCTATTTCAAAAGATTGAGGTATGGATCTCAGGACATTCAGTCCAAAATTATGATCAATGCTAGATCTGCAAATGTAACAATAAATTTGTTAAAAAAATAAAATGAAACACGGAATTTAAAAATCTATCATGTTAAGCTTTGACCTCTAAGTGTGACCTTGACCTTGGAGGTAGGGGAGCAGGTGTTGTGCATGACATAACGTCTTATTATTGAGACTATTTGTGCCAAGTATTTTCAAAATCCCTTGAACTATGAAGAAGTTATAGATTGGACACAAAATATACCCTATAACAGACTATGTAAATCTTTGACCTCTAAGTGTGACCTTGACCTTGGAGGTAGGGAAACAGATGTTATGCATGACATATCATCTAATCATTGTGACTATTTGTGCAAAGTATTTTCAAAATCCCTTAATCTATGAAGAAGTAATGGATGGGACAAAAAATATACCAAATAACAGACTCTGTTAACCTTTGACCTCTAAGTGTGACCTTGACCTTAAGAGGTAGGGGTGCAGGTGTTGTACCTGACATATTGGCTTATTATTGTGACTATTTGTGCAAAGTTATTTTAAAATCCCTTGAACTATGAAGAAGTTCTAGATTCGACACAAAATATACCCTATAACAGACTATGTTAATTTTTGACCTCTAAGTGTGACCTTGACCTTGGAGGTAGGGATGCAGGTGTTGCGCATGACACATCCTCTTATTAAAGTGACTATTTGTGCAAAGTATTTTCAAAATCCTTTGATCTATGAAAAAGTTTTAGACCGGACAAAAAATATACCCTGTAACAGACTATGTAAGTATTTGACCTCCCAGTGTGACCTTGACCTTGGAGGTAGGTGACCGGTTTTTGCGCATGACACATCATCTGATTATTGTGAACAATTATGGCAGGTATTTACAAAATCCCTTCATAGATAAGAAAGTTATGGACCGGACACGACATATACCCTCAAATAGACAATGTTGACCTTGAATGAGCAAGTACAACCTTGACCCTGAAGGTACAGGTCTGGTTGTTGCGCATGACACATCGTCTTATTATAACAAACATTTGTGCCAAGTTATCTCAAATTCCCTTGATAAATGACAAAGTTATGGACCGGACACGAAATATACCCTGTAACAGATTATGTTTAATATTTGACCTCCAAGTGTGACCTTGACCTTGAAGGTAGGTGACTGGTTTTTGCGCATGACACATCGTCTGATTATTGTGAACAATTATGGCAAGTATTTACAAAATCCCTTCATAGATAAGAAAGTTATGGACCGGACACGACATATACCCTCAAATAGACAATGTTAACCTTGAATGAGCAAGTATGACCTTGACCCTGAAGGTAAGGGTCTAGTTGTTGCGCATGACACATCGTCTTATTATAACAAACATTTGTGCCAAGTTATTTCAAATTCCTTTCATAAATGACAAAGTTATGGACCGGACACGAAATATACCCTGTAACAGACTATGTTAATATTTGACCTCCAAGTGTGACCTTGACCTTGAAGGTAGGTGACTGGTTTTTGCGCATGACACATCGTCTGATTATTGTGAACAATTATGGCAAGTATTTACAAAATCCCTTCATAGATAAGAAAGTTATGGACCAGACACGACATATACCCTCAAATAGGCAATGTTGACCTTGAATGAGCAAGTGTGACCTTGACCCTGGAGGTAGGGGTCTGGTTGTTGCGCATGACACATTGTCTTATTATAATATTTGTGCCAAGTTATTTCAAATTCCTTTCATAAATGACAAAGTTATGGACCGGACACGAAAGTGTGACGGACGGACGGACAGACGGACGGACGGAGCCTATTTCTATATCCCCCTTTTATCTTCGAAAAGGCGGGGGACAATAAATATATCAATTATTTGTGATGAGTTTCAACATTTGTTACATGTTTTTCATTATTTTGCTGAAAATGTTTATATCGTCTGCAAGTTTATACATGTACAATAAAAAAACATCCATTATGACAGATAAAGTAATACATTTTTAATTAGAAAAATCATGATATTCCAAGACATGTAAAAGCCCGTAGAAAGTAACATGGTACATGAACTTTTGGTGACTTGATGCGAAAAACTTGAACAGTCGAATTTTTGGACATATATTTTTATAACAGTAAATTAAAATTAAGGTTATATCATTTTAAGTACGTGTGATATAGTGTAAATATTTATAAGAATAATTGAACATTTTTTAAAAATATTTTTTCCTGATTTTTGTCTTATATCTCCATGAAATATATTTATGTCATTTCCATTTGTAAGATAAATATAATGAAATGAAATATCAATATTTGTAAATACCTGTATATATTCGTATGATTTGTGTTTGCTTGTACAAAGTTGATATTGATACAATAAACAAAATAATTAACTGAATGTTTTCTACTATTCATGATTCCAAGGTTATTGTTAAATTGTAAAGAATCTATAGCACAGATATTATCCACGATAGTGTTTCCTTTGAACGCATGTGTCTACAATAATATCTGAATAATTTCCATTGACCATTTAATTCCGTTAACAGGTATATCACAAAAATGTCTAGATGACAGTTATATCCATTTATCGTTTTTTTTTTAAAATTTATTCTTCAAATTCCATGCTTTTTATCAAGTAGTCTCGTAGTACTAGAATGGCTAAATCCAGATGATTTGCTTGGTAACCTTATAAAACATTATGCCAACAGGAGCATCTAAATGAATTATCTTACTGACAACAAGACATTGGCATTGATTACTTGATGAACTTGACATTCAAACCGCAAGAAGAAAATTAGATAAGATTATAAATAAAGTAAACTGCTGATCACCAAAATGTTTAGTGTTTTAGATATGAAGTGCTGTCTACTATCTAAAAATAACAGGTGTCATTTCTTTCCCAAACTTCACAATATTGCCACACTGTTTGCTCTTGTTTTCTTGAAAATAGTGCCATTAAATAATGATGCAGAAAAAATAGACATCAACATGAAAATTTCAAAACATTAGTCAGACAGTACAGTAGAGTAACTACAAAAATCATTTGAAAATATTCAAACCTTCACTTAAGAGAAAGGCTATCATTTAAGTACTTCTGGATCTAGGCAATCACAAAAGTTGTACAAGGTTGCTTTCTCATGAACGAACCGAGCCAAATATAATATAAGCTTTAGGCATTGCAGTTTCTGAGAAGTCTTGTAAGTTACCTTTACATAAATGACCCAATTTAAAGGCAAGGCCACTTTTTACCCTAGGGGCATGTCTTACATAACTTTTGTAGTGGTCCGCAAGGCAATACAACATGCCAAATATTTAAGCTCTTGGCATTGTTGTTTCACAAAAGAACAGCTAATGTATATTCCTATACAGGTCTATATAAACTAAGTGACCCCTGTGGTGGGGCCATTTGACCCCAGCAACATGATTCATTTTGTAGAAGACAATAAGTTGATGCTCCAAAGGAAATATATGTACTCTGGTATTTGTAATTTCAGAAGATTTTGAAAGATCATTTTTAAAGTCTAATTTTAGCTCATGTGACCTACCTAAGCATCAGACTAGAACCATTTATGAAAATTTTGTAAAGGACCACCAAAGGATCAAATGTAAATTTAAAGTTTGGTCAAAATCCATCAAGTGGTTAAGGACAAGATTTTATTAGAAATTGTGGTGGATGAGAAACACACTACTATCTCAAAAGCTTACCTATGAGCACTTTGTGTTAAGGTAAGCTAAAAACGTTTTATAACAAATTATTGTGAAATTTCATATTGTATTTATTCAAAAACAGCAACACATATTTTATATAACAAATAACAAACTATATCATAGAACAGTTGGAGACATGACCATTTATATATAAGAAAACAAAATAAAATTCAATTGTGTAAAGCTATGTCTGCTTTTATTACAAAGTAACAGTTACTGTCTTTGTTTGCAAAGTAACAGTTTCAGCTTACTTTTTAATAAACTTTTAAAGATCACAAATTCTAACTAAATTTCTCTACCAAATATGCCATAATAAGAAAAGCTTGAACTCCTATTCACTTCTCTTTTACATTGAACAGTAAATACTCATAAATGTTTAATAAATTATCATTAAGTTGTAATTAAAAAAATATAAATCAAATGCTTGTTCTCAAAGGTGCAAAACATTTAGTGCAAAACAAATGCAACTCTGACAATAAAAGTCTTTTAAATAAATATAAACCATTTATTGCAACTGTAGAACATTCTAATACAATCACACTTATAATGTACATGCACTCATAACACAGAATTTCAAAATAAATATTTGCTTAAGAGAATCTTATTAAGAACAATTGCATGGTCCAAATTCAGATGCAAAGTAATAACAAAAACCTGAGGTCTGAGTAATCAAATTAGTAACTTCTGAATAAAATAACCAAAATGCAACAATCACATGACAATGCCAAACTGAAAATCTTTTTTAGCAAGACACTCTTTTAATAGGAGGTGAAATCATTAAACTATTTTGTACTATAGTAAGCCAAGAAGTTATTCACTTGTCATTGTTAACTAAACCAGGGTCTTTCAAATTGCAATTTGAATGACCCTGGTTAAATAACATAATATGACATGTCAAAGTTTGATTTTTGACATTGTCATTGTAATTTTAAATATTTGGAAGCATAGTCTTTGTTATAGGATATTAAACTGAACTGTACTAGAATATGTATTTGATCATACTCTACTGTAAAGAAGGAGCCTGAATAAGTCCAAACACTTATCAACTAGGTATAAATCCAAGTGAAATCACAGGTTTAACATAATAAAACATTAACAAGATTCACAATTTAAGTGCAAAAGAAGCACCACATGAACATCCTTGTTCTGCTTGTGGATTGTCAATCACACGAAATGCAGCCTTAATCAGTTCTTCATGATAGTCTATAGTGGATCCTTTGATAAAATTTAAAGATTCATTATCCACAACAACTTTCACTCCATCACGCTCAAATATTCTGAAATAAAAGATACACACACAATTATATGGCAGATATGTTGACAAACCTGTCAATAACAGTCAGCGTCTCATTGTCCAATTAGGAAATAATGTAATACAACATAACCTACAATAAGAGACAACCTGTCAAAAAAGACCTTATTTAACATTCTCTATAAGTGATAAGTGGCCTGTATATATAGCTTGGACTGTAAATGATGTTGCAATCAACCAAAACATTAATCAACCCTAACCATATTAAATATCTTAAATGATCTTGCCCATCTTTCATTCTGGACACAATCATTCTTCATATGTAGGGAAAATTTCATAATAAGTACTGGTTGAATAGCAAACACTGCAAACCTGATGAAGATGTACCAGAACATCTTATTAATTGACTCAATAGCCCCTCTTCCTTCGGGAAATAGCAGGGACATTAACTTTTTTTATTTTCAAACCTCTGGTAAGGGCCAGTCAAGCATACAGTCAGATATCAAAATCCCTGTTAAAAGTCCTAGCATTGTGATTCAGACATATTCATGGCCAATATGGCACCAAGACAAAACCACAACATTGACTCAGCAGTACAGGGAGAGATGCAAGGTAAATATTTGTCTCATTTTGCATCAAAAACAGTGCCTTTCCCAGGAGATGGGTGGGGTATAGTCTCAACTGACTGGTGCATAAGTACTCTTGTTATTCAATTTCTTGCAAAAAAAATCATGTTTTTTAGACATAAACCACCAAAAGCGTTGAAGCACTTAAAACTTGATATCTTGCAAAACAGACAAAATTCAATTCAAGGATAGTATATACATCTTCTTTAAACTAAACTAATGATAAAGAGACTTTTCCATCTGTAAATTTTGAGCTGTTGCACACAATAACAGATAGAGTAAGGCCACTGTGTCTAAAGGAAAACTTAATCATCATGAAAGGTTAGATAAGTGTGAGAATTTTAACATATTTGATTATGTACTTAATGTGCCTGTTCACCTCTGTTACCTTTATAATTCTTAATAATTCTAATAGTAACAGGTTATATTCTATATCTATATTAACCATCAAAGAAGAACATTTTAGAAATATTCCAAAATGCATTTGTTATTTAAGTCAACATATTGTGATAATGTTAAACAAAGAACAATCCGTGATCTGATGAAAGCCAATTAAGCAGTTGTATGAGAGGGTAATGGGCAGTCTGTTCCTTATATATCATTCACATTAACATTAACAGCTCAAAACAGTTTTTGTATTCAAGGGCCATAGTTCAGCCAAAAATCATTCTACCTGAAAATCCATAAAAAATATACACAAAGTACCTGAGCTGCCAATCAATCCTGTGAAGTTTCACTCAAATTTCATTAGTAGTATTAGAGAAGAAGTCCAGGCAAAACTTTAAAAAGTAAACGTAATTAAAGGGCCAAAACTCTGACGAAAATCATTGAACTGCAAAATGCTGATGATATGCACAACTTAACTTGGTACTGATCATTCCTGTAAAGTTTGGATGAAATTGCACCAGTTCTTTTTGAGGAGTAGTCTGGACAGAGAGACAAAGGAAGTGATCCACATGTACATTATATAAGAAGTGGCTATTTTTTACCATGTATCAGCTATTGTGTAGAAGGTGACACACAAGAGCTGTCACAGGAGACAGCCAAGCTCGACTAATAAAATACTTGACGCAGTAAGGAGGACAAAACTATGAAAGAAAAACCAATTATGTATAATAATGTATTAAGTTAAAGTAAAAAAATATCATTGTTAACATAAATTCCAAGATCAAGGGGAATAATTCTAGAAAAAGTCATGCTAGAGTTATAAACCTTTCACACAACATGTGTGTAATGATAAGAAATATATATTTGAAGTTTGAAGTAGATACCTTAAAAAGTAAAGAAGTTATAATTTTTCTTAAAGAAAATCCTAAGTTCAAAGAAAGATAAATCTGTAAATATTGCTTCAAGAGTTACAAACATTGTCACATAAAATGTAATTGATGATAAGGAATAAGTATTTGAAGTTTGAGGTAGATACCTTTAAAACTAAAAAAGTTATAGTAAAAAATAACATTTTCTAGTAAAAAAATCTAAGTTTATGGGGAAAAAATTCTTGCAATATTAGGTCAGAGTTATGAACCTTGCCACATAAGATGTGGATGATGATAAGTTACATAAATTTGAAGTATGAAGTTGATCCCTTTAGAAATAAATAAGTAACAGTAAAAAATAGTATTTTTTGAGGAAAATTCTAAGTTCAAGGGGAAATAAATCTGAAAATATTTGTGCTAGAGTTATGAACCTTGTCACATAAGATGGGGATGATGATAAGGTACATAAATTTGAAGTATGAGGTTGATCCCTTAATAAATATGGAAGTAACAGTAAAAAATAGTATTTTTTGAGGAAAATTCTAAGTTCAAGGGGAGATAAATCTGAAAATATTTGTGCTAGAGTTATGAACCTTGTCACATAAGATTGGGATGATGATAAGGTACATATATTTGAAGTATGAGGTTGATCCCTTAAGAAATAAAGAAGTAACAGTAAACAAGAGGGCCATGATGGCCCTGAGGTCGCTCACCTGTATATAGGCCCCCCACCCCCGGGCCAATTTTTACCCAAGGGCTTTTATTTGTTTATTTGAACAGACTTGGTAGACACCCATAAGAAGATGTTTCATGCTAAACATCTAAGTTCTAGCTCATTGGCTTTTTTAAAAGAAGATTTTTAAAGTTTTTACTATACACATATAGTTAAAAACAATGTCACCCCTGGGGCAGGGCCAGTTTTGACCCCCGGGTGTTTATTTGAACAAACTTTGTAGATATTTACTAAAAGATGTTTCATACTAAATATCTAAACTCTAGCTATTTGGGTTTTTCCAAAGAAGATTTTTAAGTTTTTGCTATACTCAATCAATCAATGACCCCCCCCGGGCGGGGCCAGTTTTGACCCCAGGGCTTTTATTTGAACATACTTGGTAGACACCCATTAGAACATGTTTCATGCTAAATATCTAAGCTCTAGCTCTTTGAGTTCTTTAAAAGAAGATTTTTTAAGTTTTTACTATATGCATATAGGGAAAATCAATGACCCCCTGGGGCGGGGCCAATTTTGACCCCAGAGCTTTTATTTGAACAAACTTGGTAGACACTCACTAGAAGATGTTTCATGCTAAATATCTTAGCTCTAGCTCTTTGGGTTCTTTAAAAGAAGATTTTTTAAGTTTATACTATATGCATATAGGGAAAATCTATGACCCCTGGGGCGGGGTAAATTATGACCCCAGGGCTTTTATTTGAACAAACTTGGTAGACATTCACTAGAAGATGTTTCATGCCAAATATCTAAGCTCTAGCTCTTGTGGTTCTTTAAAAGAAGATTTTTTAAAGTTTTTACTATATGCATATAGGGAAAATCAATGACCCCCTGGGGCGGGGCCAATTTTGACCCCAGGGCTTTAATTTGAACAAACTTGGTAGACACTCATTAGAAGATGTTTCATGCTTAATATCTTAGCTCTAGCTCTTTGGGTTCTTTAAAAGAAGATTTTTTAAGTTTTTACTATATGCATATAGGGAAAATCAATGACCCCCTGGGGCGGGGCCAATTTTGACCCCAGGGCTTTTATTTGAACAAACTTGGTAGACATTCACTAGAAGATGTTTCATGCCAAATATCTAAGCTCTAGCTCTTACGGTTCTTTAAAAGAAGATTTTTTAAGTTTTTACTATATGCATATAGGGAAAATCAATGACCCCCAGGGGCGGGCCAATTTTGACCCCAGGGCTTTTATTTGAACAAACTTGGTAGACACTCAGTAGAAAATGTTTCATGCCAAATATCTAAGCTCTAGCTCTTATGGTTTTTTAAAAGAAGATATTTAAAGTTTTTCTTTTGGTTGCCATGGCAACCAGAGTTCTGCATGGAATTAAATTCTTTGAACAATTTTTAAAGGTGACCACCAAAGGAACATTCCTGTGAAGTTTGGATGAAATTGGCTCAGTGGTTTATGAGGAGATGTCATTTAAAGCAAAAGTTTACGGACGGACGGACGCCGGACGGACGGACGCCGGACGAAAAGCGATCACAAAAGCTCACCCTGTCACTTTGTGACAGGTGAGCTAAAAATAGTATTTTTTAAGGAAAATTCTAAGTTCAAGGGGAGATAAATCTGAAAATATTGGTGCTAGAGTTATGAACCTTGTCACATAAGATGTGGTTGATGATAAGGAACATATATTTGAAGTTTGAAGTTGATACTTTAAGAAATGACAAAGTTATAGTGAAAAATATTTTACTGCACCAAAACTTTAATCTGAAATCTGGACGCGGACGTGGACGCCGACGCCGGGGCGAGTAGGACAGCTCTCCATATACTTCGTATAGTCGAGCTAAAAAATCATTAGTTACCTTCATATATCTTGTTGTCTTACACAAGTTTCAACAAACATAAATAAATATATTTCCAACAGATCCCACCAATCAAATATCAAACTATGTTGCTTTTTTTTTTCATTGGGGGAAAAACAAATGTCAGACATAGCATGCTTCAACTTAAATAAGATGTTTATTTACATTAAAATGTTTTTACATTAAAAAGTATAAACCTATATGTTAAGAAATATTTTAATAATCTTTACCAACAGTAAAATTATATTGGTATCATAATATTTTGGTTGATTCTTGAAAGTGATGTAACATGGAATGTCTTTGTCATTTATCACACATGAATATTATTTAGTGCACAACTTTATTTGTCATCCAATGAAAACGCTGTATTTCTTAAAAATTCTGTGTGTAAATTTTCATAGAAGAACAAAAGTCAATATTATATTGAATTCCGTTCATAGTCGACTTCTATTTTTCCTAGTACTTCACAGAACCGCATAGTGATGTAATAAAGTGAATGATAATGAGGCCAAATAAAGCTTGACACTAAATATGTTAGTATTCTTCCGTAGCTGTTCTACAGAAATTAGAAACATTCTCCTGTCACTATCGCTCCAGTCGAAGGTTCTAATTTCTGTAGAACAGGACGGATGAACACTAACATATACACGTAAACAGAATAAATTGTTCCAGAACAAAATATTATCCTGCTACTTTAAGTAAGGTTTCATCTGTTTAGCAATGATATCATGCATCTGCCAATCGCTTTTAAGACAATATACTACAATATTTTTTTCATACAGGCATTTAGAAAGAATTCTCAGACAATAAGTTCTGCAGCATATCTATATCTTTTACACACTTAAATGTTGTGAAATAGATTTACCTGTCATCTTCTGTTAAATCTTTACTGAGTTCAAATTGATATTGAAACCCGGAACAGCCTCCACCCTCAACAACTATACGCAAAAACGAGTCATTACCCTTAATGTTTTTCAGCCGCTGAAATAAAAAGAAAAATATGAAAATAATTCAAGCACATCAATATTTGTTTGTCTGTTTTTCTAATGCCAATTTAACTAGGGTTTGGTCCTATCTCCATGGTCAATCCACAGGTGCTTGGCTCATATAATGCTGAAAATCATGTCAAGACATTTTTATTTATAGTAGAAAGATCTGATAATTTACATTGCCCCAGCCCCACTTTAAATTTCTGCTGGACAAAATTCAAAATTGTCATTGTGTTACATGTAATGGTCACTTCATTATAGTGAAACTATGAAATGAAGTGCAGAAAATAGCCTGATATTAACATATAAATATTTCAATTTTGTCTTATGTTACTTGTTAGCATACTTTTCCTTCAGCTAAAACACTTTTCTAATTTTACTACTAACTACTAGAGGAACCCTCCATGCATTATTCCAGTACAACTTGATATTTGAGAACAACCATATACCTTAAGCTACATGTAGCTGCTTAGCTACCTCAGCTTACATTAAACTTAAAGTATACAAAGTCCCTTGTGAGATACAAAGTCCCTTGTGGTATACAATCCCCTGTGGGATATGAAGTCCCTGGTGGGATACAAAGGCCCTAGCAGGATGCAAAGAGTAAATGGTGCATGCACTAAATAATTAGTAAACAGTTATAACTCTACTTAAAATAGCAACATATTAAGAGTATGGAAACAACATAATTTTCCATTTATAAATTTTATTTAAAAAATCATAAAATAAAGTTTTATACCCCTCTAAACAAAAAAAACAACAAAAAACAAAAACAACAGAAAATTTAAAAAAAACTTTTCAATATAAATCTGTTATCATTCAGAATTAAAACATTATTATTTGAATTTCATTTTATTTCAACTACTCCAGGTAATGTAGGGAAACAAACTTTTAATGAAATTGTAAAAAAAAAGTTTACCCCAGCTGTTCTTTTTAATTCAATTACACAAAAATTTGAACATCATTTTTGTCAACTTCATATCAATAAGGCAATAATTTATTCTATCCATAATCCCTAGAAAATGTCATAATATCCTATGGAGTAGTTTAACTTATAAAACCAATGTAAACAAAATCATGACTAATTTTTCATAAATTAACTGCTCTTGCTCACACATATTTAATTCACATATATATCCTAAATATAATAAACATAAAATTCAAATACACCAGATTCAGGCCAAAACATGCTTAATGTTTATATAAATAATCATCTAATCAGTAAGCATTTTAAAATTCCTGGTTCAAATTATCACAAATATTTTTTTAGGAAAAGGGAGGTAACTCAAGTTGTTTCTCTTGTAGCTGGGATCTTATTACAGAATAGTCTCCCTGTATTGTACACACATGAACAATTGACACTAAACATACCTATACAAAACATAAATGACACTAGTAACTGTAACGTCATATTTGTACACAAACTGTATCAATACATTCTTGTACATAACTGACACTATCACTTCAGCACATCACACTTAACATTTATTTTACACTGAAACATATACATTGTACCTACATGACTGTATACAAATTCAAATATACTTTTATTTTAATACTAGTAGGAAGAACATGTACTGCAATTTTTTACATAGGCAATGACGAAAAAAATTAAACTATTACATGTACTTAGAAATTTCATTAAATTGCAAGTTTAAAGAGAATTATGATTAAAGCAGCACGCCTCCAGATTCACGCTAATTTTCATTAAAATTTTGAAAATGTATTTGAATGTATAATATTGTGAAGTAACCAAAAGGAAGCAATTTACACATTATCAATGGCACTTACAACCCACATAAATTACCAAAAAGTGGTCAAAATATGCATAAATACCCCTTACTGCGTTAGTAACGGAGTCGAAATATAATTGTAAATACTAAAAAATTAGTCATTTACCGGACATAACATGTGAAATATTACTTGAATCTTGAATCATTTTACTTTTCCTAAAATCTTAAAACATATTTCTCAAGTTTGATTGTATTGAAATATCTTGACTCATCTGGAGGCATGCAGCATTAAAATAAATTTATGAAAAGCAAGACCTGTCAGTGTAAACAGACATACACCCTCAAAACTACATTATACAAAATTACATTAATTTCATGGATAATGGAAGTTGAGATAAAAATTATATTAAAACCAATAAATTTCTTCAAGAACAAATATTACTATTCATTATATAAATGTTGATACCAAACAACCTAAAGTCTAATAGCATATATTCTAAAAATTCACTTTCAAAGACAGATATTTTACTAACCAAAAATTGAATGAAAATTATGTGTTATTTTTTTGTTTATTTTTCATACATTTTTTAGATCTACATTGTATAATCATGACACTATAAACTTTTTTCACCAGGTGAGAAAGATGTACAGCATTACTGGGACACTAACATACCACTCTGGGAATACCATTCCAAAACTTTCCTGACTGAGCAACCCAGCTGCTTACACATTTTCTCCCCTAATAAGAAAACAATTCTATATTGTGAAACTATTATCAACTTAGCCTATATCTATACATATGCATATTAAATCATATTTGTACAAACTAAAATAAATACCTGTACACAACTGTCACTAAGGCGAAGATCAGCATCTCCCTGGTTACCAGGTTGTGAGCTTGACTCAGACAAATGTTTAGAATTTTGATAGAAGTGTCTCTGCATAGACCATGAAACATTTCTGTAAAAACAAGAACTTTTCTTTAAGTTATTATGGTCAAATGCTAAATGGAAAATGGCTATTACACAAGGAAACCTATTTTTAAATATTATCATTTTAATATAATGATTAACCCTTTACCTCATATATACGCGAAACCACACACTTTCGACCCCCCCCCCTCTTTTAGGCCTCAAATAGTTATAAAAATGTCCTATTTGGGCCCCAAACACATGTTTTTGCTTGAGAAATGTTGCTAAAAAAAGTGAGCACTTTTTCGGCGCCGCTCCCATCCAAAAGATACATAAGGGGGTTGCCAGAAGGGGGATGTGCCCCCTTCTGTTTAGGGGGTTTGAAGGGGGGTGGAAGTTCCCCTCATCGCAAAGAAAAATTTGGACTTGTGAGAGGCTAAAAATGACCCCAGATAGATCATAAGGTAACGTGTAACCAACGCTGAAAAGCATTTGACTTTATCTCAATCCATTGAGAAGTTGCAGCACTTCGAAATCAATTTTGATGGAAAAAATCAATGCAAAATAGTGATTTTTTGGTAATTTTGAGATGTCCCCTCATTGCCATGGTAACAGGAAATTTAAGCCTGAGCATGTTGTTACAAAGACAATGGTCCAGTCAACATTTGTGCCAAGTTTGATTAGTATTGAAGCAGTTTTGATAGTTTTATAGCAATTTGAACTTGTAACAGGAGACTTTTCAATGAAAACAGCCATTTTTCACAAAATGCTCATGAAGTAATGGGTTAAATATTAAAAATGAACACAACTTAACAAAATGGCAAAAACAATATAATTAATTACCTGGGAAGACAGAATCTGATAAGAAAATATAAACTTTAATATAAGGTTATCAACAATTTTTTAGTAATTCTCGCATAGATAATACCACTGCTTATTCAATGATGAATGCCTTAATTTATACTACTGGATGACAAAATATAACAAATACCTATCCTGTGTTCCATTTCCCTTATTGTCTTACTTTAGAAAACTTTCGTAACATCTTTGAATGACTCAAACTCAACATTCTACCACAACAATCTAGACTAGAACTTATCTTATTTCAAAATAATGTATTTAAAGGCCCATTATGCCTCAGAAAAGCTTTTATTTTTATTTCTCAAAAGTTGTCTGGTAAAGTTTCCAAAAAAATACTCCTGGACCAGTTATCTGTAATTCGTCTTTTGCTTCAGTTGATTTTGGCAATAAGTACAGTGATGGTGATTTAGTATTTTGTATGGAAGTTAAAATATTAGTTTGTTTACCTATTGCTAATTTTATGACAAATAATTTTACATTCTACTCTTCTTTCTTCTTGTAAAAAGCACCTTATAAGCTTTAAAAAGTGGTGTTCCTTCAACAACCATTAAGCCATTTATAAATCGGACAAAAAGCACAGAAAATATCTCAAATTTCAGTAAACAATCATGCTATTATTTCAATTTGCAGACAATTATTATCAACACAGAATTAAAATCAAAGCTGGAGCTTGTGATGTAAATCACTTTTAAATTCTAAAAATAAATTATATAATCCATAAATAGACTTGTCAAAGAGACACTGAGATAATTAAATTTTGGACGGTCCATGTCTTTTTTCCAATCAAATTTTTCCATAAAAAAGACAATTAAAATTAGGCGTAAAGGTTCAACATTATCAGTAGGAAAAAACAGTATGTAAAATGGGTCAGACTGTTAACGCCAAAATAAATAGGCTGGAAATTGTAGTATACATGTAAAATTACTTCAAATCCTGATTTATGAAATTATGTAAATTATAATTTATTACGCTAGAACTGTTCCCAGATCTACATAAGTTTAATTTCTGATATAAGATATAAGCATTTGAGTCTCATCTATTACATGTAAATACAATTTGTATACATAATCAAACTTGAATTCTTAAAATACATGTATGATGTAAAGGTCATTCTTTTAAAGTAATATTGGAGATAAGTACAAGCACCATGGTTAAATATCAGTATAAATGGCATGTAACCTCCAAAATATGTACATTTATGAAGTATATTCCATTGTACATTACCCCAATTACAATGTATCTTTTCTGTCTGGAAAATTTATCCGAATATAAATATCCGAATTGACGTAACAAAAGGTTATTTCATTTTGACGCAATCATAATTCTTGAGGCACAAATACTTATAATAAACATAAGAAAACATTACAAATAATTGAAAAAAGTATCAAATACCTGATCAAATTAGGTCTAATTAAACAAAATTTACGAAACATTTTTAACTTGCTCAGGATCACGTAGACGCTTTTGAAATTGTTAAAGGAGGGTTTGTTTATGAATTACTTCCCTTGTAAAAACACAAATTCACAACGTGTTTTGCCTGTCATTTATAATGAGCTAGTTTGTGCTAATTATCATTTATGATTTAATTGTGTCACGTTATAAGATAGCAGGTAAACTGGTGTAAGAAATAAATTTATTGCAGATGTCTAGTTATCTTTAACATAATATTATTCATGTTGAGAAAGGGACCCGGCACAGTGTTTGGATAGTGTAAAAAGTAATTCTAGAAAAAAAAAAGTTTATATTACTATATATTACATAAAAACTATATATTTTTTCTAGAATTACCTTTTTACACTATCCCAACACAGTGCCGGGTCCCTATGGAGTAGATAGGCCTATATGATCTGATGATTTAGATTATCAAATCGACATGTACATATGATAATCATAATATTATAATCTACATGTACCCTGGGACTATAACGTATCGTATGTTCCAGATGTACCAACTAAATTGTGATAAAATCAGGAAAAATACAATGTAATTTATTTTATCAGCATCTACTTTTAGACACTTTATAGATGTTGTTTTTTACACTTAACAGCTTGTCAATTAAATTGCTAGTAAGGCAACAGTGAGTTAATTTGTTATTCCTTCATTTCAGGTTTTAGATAGTTTCTTTATATGCAGCTGAGATAGTTTCTTCATAAGGACCTGTGGTTGTTGTATTAGATCTAGTATACAACTTTACAGATAAAGACGTTTGTCTACCAACAACAAAAAAAAGTAAAATAGGAACATACAAAGCATTGTCAATAAAAAAAATGGGTAAGCTTCTTATTTAATTTAATACTTGTATTGTATAATATTTAGGCACAGGAACTTGAAATTCTATCATATTTGTTTATTTATACTGTATAGGGGGTATATTTTGGATATTATCATTAATATTGATAGAATTTCAAGTTCCTGTGATTTAGGGGCATCCCTGGCCGAGTGGTTAAGGACGTTTACTTCAAACCACTGGCCCCTCACTTCTGTGGGTTTGAATTCAACAGGGTTTTTAGATTCTTTCATGTAAGGAAGCTATCCAGTTAGCTTGCATCGGTGGTTCTACTCCGGTGCCCGTTGGTGCTTGAAATAATGCATGGAAGGGTACCGGATAAACCACCACATGACCTGTACTGTGTTGGTGGGACTTAAGAAATAGAATAAACTATTACAACATTTATCTTAAGCTTGACTTTTTAAAACGTTTTTACTATTTTGATGTGTGACACTTAAGTATAAACATGTTCATTGTATTTCTATTTTAAGTTCATATTAAATAATAATATCTTGTTTATGTTTATAAAGCAGATGATGAATATGAGTGGCAACCACCATCAGAAGCCGAGATGAAGATTATACAGGCAAGGAGAGAACGCTCTGACAAAATCAGTAAACTTATGGGAGACTATATGCTGAAAGGTTACAAGATGCTGGGTATAGTCTGCCAAGAATGTTCCGTATGTATAATCTTATATCTATTCAATGTCACCGGGTGAGAAAATGTGCAGCCTGACCAGGACTCTTAAGTTTAAAAAAAGTGTTTTGCAACCCTACTTACAGAGCTGTCCAGCAGCCTACACATTTTCTACCCTATTCATATACAATTACATTTTTGTAGATGAAAAATAACATTTCTGCAGCATTTACTGTGAGACCTGTTTATAGATTTTGTTGTTTGGCTTAAACCCAAACAAAAATTGAACTGTGTTGTACTATGATATGTTATTGTGTTGTTTCATGTAATTATACTTTTGTTGTTTCAGACAATACTGTTACAAGATAAACAAGGTGTAAATTATTGTGTGGCATGTAAGGAGTTGGATACAGACACTGATAAAGATGACCCAGGTTAGTATTCATTGATTGATTAATTTTGTGGCACTAAATATACCGGAGAATGTCTATGTGCATGAGTCCAAGTTTTGATGGCTCAAAGTTTTTACTGAAGTTTTCTGTAGTTATCTTAGGTTTTGTACAAGTAATTTGTTTTTCCATGGGAGTTAATATCATATCTGACTTAATTAATATAAGCTTTTTCAGGAGATACCTCATATCCATACTTGGCAGAACATAAAACTTAATTCATAGATTGATCGCATTGGGAAGCAATGCAATGTCCAGAATCTGTATCTTTTGCATAATGTTTCTGTTATTGCCCTTTTAAAATTGTTCATATAAACAATTTTTGTGAGAGATTTTGGAGAACTGCACTTAGAAAGAAGTATTACTTTCTGCTCATAATCTTAGAGTTATTGGTTTTGTAATTTTAAAATACCCTGCTTACAAAGCAGCATGTGGAGGTATTTGCATACCAAGTGGCACCTGGTTATATCAGTAACCTGGGTGGCACTATTAATTTCTTTTGATATTGAAGTTGGTTTGATGTCAGATATTGAATCACTAAAAATTTTGATATCAGATATGACAGACAGACTAAAAATCTCACCGATCAAAATTATGTTATTCCATTTTTTTCAGAACCGTGTCTAGAAATATAGATTTTAAATGTTTCCTATGACTTTCTCTATTGTCAGCTGCTGTTTTTATTTTCAGTATTAAGTAGAGATGCTGCAAGGTCTCAGATAATGGAAGGAAGTGTGGCAGAAGATGATGATACAGACTTGTCCTTCATGAGGAGACAAGATCAAACAACCAGTCCATCACATCCTCAACAAGATTTACAGAGAGCCATTCCACTATCCATGGCAACTGTGACATCATCAAATGTGACGTCATCAGTATATCCTAGCCAATCAGCTCAAAGTAGTTCAAATTTGAAATTTAGTGACACTGTAGATACTTTATGTCAGAAGATAAACTGGGCAACTGAGGAGTTAAAGAAAGCCTCAAGTGTAGATTATTGTGTTAATCTCTGTCAACTGATTAAATCCTCCGCAGAAGCTTTACAAAGTTTAAAAAGTGTTGACTGATTTTTTTTTTGTATTTCTAATTTTACATTCTTACAGAATTCTTGAGCAACATAAACGTACATGACAAGTAAAAACATATTTAGCATCAGACTTTGGCAGAAGCTTTAGGAAATTTTAAAAATGTTGACTGATATTTTTTTCATCTTCCTTATTACTAAGGTTTATATTGTTCATAAAGAAATAATTTTTTGTTTTACATTCTTAAAGGAATCCATAGTGAGATATGTAAAAATAAAAATGATACAAATACTCTGCTGAAAAGGAAACACGTTTTTAGCAACAGAAAAAAAGGTGTTATGTAACAAAAAAGGAACTTGTATAAACAGGAACAAATAGAAATGAATTGTCAAAGCGGAACAAATGAATTTACTTACTACAAAAATACATTACATTTTGTATCAGTCAAATGTTTTTACAGAAAAATATCAATAAAGGCATTTGACTTAATTCCCTATGTATTTTAAATGATGTGATTGATCTTTAATATATAGGAATCAAAAGTTATTTGTGTGTGTGTATTTGCGTTTATTTATACTTGCAACCGGTTGCCCATATGGGCAAGGCATTAAGAGGAGTATTAGTCATTTTAGATTTTGGAGGATAGTGCAATTACAGATACAGAAAGATGTCCCACTTCCAGAAGCTTCTCCTAGTTCTTTAGTGTGCCAAGTGTTTAAGCACCCATACACGGGTACGTAAAATGTAATGAATAATATACGTTAGATTCTCAAAGGAGTAGGAGGAAAACCATAGAAAACCATCCAGCAACAGCCTCTCACAGTTTCAATAAAGAGCCGTTCAGTTACAAGTACATCATATATTGGTGTCGATTCTGTAAGCCATCATACCCATAAGCAAACCCTTCTATGATTACTTCTAATTATTTTGGGTACTTTCTTTTTAGACAATGTCATTTTTATCTGGAGGCGTCCTGCTCTTCTTTCAGAAATTCCAAGTTGAAGATCCACGATTTACAATACAGCTTGAACAGACTGCTCCCAAGTGTCATCTAACCTTGGTCTATTGATTTTCATCGCATATTTGCATGTTGGTGCTTAGACAGAAAACAATGATTAATAATAGTATAGTTATTACTTGTCTTGGTAGATTGTTTATTTTACAATTGAATTTAAAATTTAATCAAGTCTGTTCAATCTACTTATTTTCAATCAATTTCCGTTAAAACGAAGAAGAAAAAGAACGGTAGTCAGAATACTACACTTTTGGTTGATAAAATTATATCTGGAACCCAATTATGGCCTATATCACCTCTTGTTCACAGACTTAAATCAATTCGTAATGGTTTGTTACCCTTTATTATTTGCGTCATATTAGTGTGTGGGTATTACAGGCATGTCGCGTAATAAAACTTTCATGAAAAAAATAGGAACGTGCTGTCTATTAAAAACCATGGGTCGTAGTTTGCGGACAAAAGTTACTGGTAAAGGTTTTTTCTAAAATATTTTTTTTTCACCTTTAATGATGAATGTATCAATGTATACTTCTATTTTAGTAACAAAAATAGTTCTGATAGTCAGATCTTTGAGATAATTGACAAAAGGCTTAAGAATACTACATCTACATCATACTGCTTAACAATCAATTCTGATTATGACTAGCAGGCGCGTTGTCAGGGAACTGTTAATAAAAGAATTTATTTATATGCAAACTAAAATGTTAAAAGAATAAAAGTTCTACAAGACTATTAATTTAAAAACATAGTGTGCAGTTTAGAATTTATAGAATGGGTCAAGCCTCTCAGTAAAGATGTTTAAACTGGGGCTAGACTGAACAGTTAGGGGAAGGCTATTCCAAAGACGTATGCTCCTAGGAAAGAAAGAATTTTGAAGATATTGTGTCCTCGAGTAGGGTATCGGTTAGTTCAGATTTCTTGTTTGAGTAAGGTGTTGGTGGTCAACAAAAACAATATTGTTTTGGATTTTATACAAGTAGGTTACAGCACTGATGTTTCGACGCTGTTCAAGGGTTTGCCAATTAAGATCATTTATCATTTTTGAGACACTACTTGTATAGTCATAATCATTAAAAATGTATCTAGCAGCTGATCTTTGTACTTGCTCTATCTTATAAATTAAGTATTTCTGCCAAGGATGCCAAACTATGGAGCAATATTCAACCTGAGGTCTAACATAGGTCTTATATGCAGTTTCTTTTATCTTTTTATTTGGAGTTTTAACATTTCTTCTAATGAATCTGAGGGAGTTATTTGCTTTAGATGTGATGTTGTTTATATGTTTGGTCCATGAAAGGTCTTGACTAATAGTGACTCCTAAGTATTTCGCTTCTTGAGTTGAGTTAAGTTGGATGTTATGGAGGGTATAAGGAAATATTACAGGGTTTCTTTTTCTTGTTATCCTGAGAACTTCACATTTGTCAGGGTTGAATTCCATGGACCAGTCTTTTTCCCATTTTTCTAAAGCATGAAGGTCATCTTGGAGGGTTTGGGCATCTTGTTTAGATCTGATGGTTAGGTAGACAACAGTATCATCTGCAAAGAGTCTAACCTTACCTTTGACACTATCTGGGAGGTCATTTATGTAAGAAAGGAAAAGACAGGGACCTAATACCGAGCCTTGGGGGACACCTGAGAGAACTGGTAGAATTCCTGATTTTTGACCTTCAACTACAACTTGCTGGGAGCGTGACTTAAGGAAGGAATGGACCCAATTTGTAACCTCATAACTTATACCCAATCTTTCTAGTTTACTCACAAGTTTGTGATGGTCCACCTTATCAAATGCCTTACTGAAATCCATGACTATGACATCAGTTTGTTGGCACTTTCAAGATTGTCATGAATTTCCTTGGAGAAGTTTACTAGCTGGGACTCACAACTCCGTTTTGACCTGAAGCCATGTTGATAGGGGCTAAGGATGTTGTGTTATCATAAAAGGACATAGTATTGGACACTAAGATGTGCTCCATCAATTTGGACGCTATGCATGTGAGGGAGATTGGTCTATATATAATTGCTGGGTTTGCATTAAAATGAGCCTTTTTTGAAAACTGAGGCAAGAAATTGCATGCTTCCAGTCTTCTGGGACAATACCTGTTTTAAGTGAGATCTGGAAGATGTGGGTCAGTATGGGAGTAACCTCTCGATGGAGCTCTTTTAATAACCTAGGGGATATTTGGTCAGGACCAGAAGCTTTATTTGGGTTTAGGTCTTTTAAAAGTTTCTTCACACCATCTTCCGATATAGATACTTCTGGCATAGATGGGTGGTGTTTCTGTTTGCAAGCCTGGGATAAGCTAAGGGGCTGAGGCCGAGAGAAGACAGACTCAAACTGGGAGTTAAGGATATCTGCTTTTGCGACTGGATCAGTAAATGTTTGACCTTCTGATTTGAGGGGTGCCACACCACAGCTTTCAGTTTTATTACTTTTAACATATTGGTAGAATTTTTTATTTTTCACATTTTGTGAGTCTTGGCTAAAAATGACAGAGTCTAGGTATTGCCAGTATGCTTTCCTAGTTTCTCTTTGGATTTCACTTTTAAGTACTTTGAGCTTTTTGACCAAATCATTTGATGGGGACTTTGACCTTTTAATGTTTGAATAAGTTCTATCACGTTTCCTAATTTTTCGAATAATGGACTTGTTTAACCATGGTAGATCTCGACGTGTTTTAGTGACTTTAGTTGGTATGTGAATAGAACAAAGGTGGTTTAGTTCGTCCTTGAAGGAAATCCAGGCTTTGTTGGGATCAGTGTAGTGTGTTTCACTGTAGACCTTGGCATATTTACTTACGTCATTTTTTAAACAATTCCAGTTTGCCTTATTATAACATTGGATTTCCCTCTTTGTTTGAAGTGGACGCCCTCTGTTAATTTTGATTTCATGAAAGACTATGTCATGATCTGAGGAGCCTAAGGGAGGTAGGGTTTTTGTACTATGTACGTGGGAAGGCATGTTTGTGAGGAACAGGTCAAGGACGTTGTTACCTCTGGTAGGGATGTTGACCATTTGCTGTAGGTTTAAGTTAATGAGATTTTCAAGGAAAGAAGTGTATATGTTTGGGAACTTACAACCTTCTGTCAGGGATTCTGTTGACCAGTCGATGCTTGACATATTGAAGTCCCCAAGCACCCAGACAATACTATTTTTGGGGATCTTTTTTATGGAAGACCAAAGTTCATTGAGGGGTATCTCATCCTTCTCGTTAGGTTTATAGAAGGAAGAGATATAGATGTCCTTAAAACCTTTAAGGGACATTTTGGCCCAAACTGAATTATATTTTGATTTCGGATCAGGTTGTTCCTGGCTTAGGATGGATTTCGATATAGCAACGAGGGTTCCCCCACCTTTGCCCTCTAGTCTATCATCCCTATATACCTGGAAGTTTAAGAAGTCAGGAAAAATTTCAGCTGTTGATATTTCAGGTTTTAGCCATGTTTCAGTACAGCAAATAATGTCAGGTTTGACTTGGGATATTACCTGTTGTAAATCTGGTATTTTATTTTTAATAGAGCGGCAATTTATGTTTAAGACGCACAACCTTTCACATTCTTTAAGTTTTTTGTTTGCCTTTGGAGGATGACGCTTATTTTTGGGATTAGGGGTGGAAGTAGCAATTGGTTGTGTGCCTGGACTGCTTGAACTAATGTGTGATCTATGGGGGGAGGAGATATCACTATCTTCACTCATGATGGAGTTGAGAGGGGAGAATCTAGTATTTTCATACAATGAACTAAAAAATTCTACATATACAAACAATTTTGCACTAAACTGTTCAAACAGGAACATAAAATGATTGTATTTAGTGACAGGTGTTACTTTATACGGTAATATTCAAATGTGGCTGGTTGTTGGCACAGGTTTTATAGTATTTAATTGTGTAATAATAATATTTTTCTATATTTTAACACCTAACTACCATGTATAAATAAACAGTAACTTCCGAATATACACATAGCGCGAGCCATATACGTGCGGCCATTCATAATCAAGAAAAGTACAAATAGAACTTGTCCGGTTTCAATAACTCCATTTCTTCTTAAATTTACACTCAACATTAGCAATGGTCACTTATGTTTATTAGATATCCGTTAAACTTGTGATATAGTTCATGTTACTGAAATATTAAAATATTACACATTTAATGGTATATGACCGATCCGTACTGATCCGGTATAAGTTTTCTACTATTTTCTACAAATATTACATGACACTGACCTATAGCTTAAACTTTTTTGCTGTTGACTGTTAAGCTGATATTAATACAATGATCTAATGAGTGGGTGGGGCTAGATGTAAGTACAAATGTATATCGTAGTTTTCATAAAAAAACAAACAAGAACAAAAAACAGAAACAAGAAAAAGAAAAAAAAACAAAGAAAAAAGCAAAAGACCAAACAAAAAAGCCCACACCTCTGTTTTTTATCACTGAGAAAATGAAGGCACGGTGATTGAAGACCTAGGCCCACTTCTCACGAGCACTGTCACTTTTAAAAGAAGCGTCCGAAAGGGTGTGCAATGGAAGTTATATGCGTACATGTATATTACATACTAACAGCGTCTCTGAAGACTGTACCTAGTAACTGGAATGTCCGATATCGAGGAACTTGCCTTGTCTGAAAATTGTCGTTCAGTTAACTTCAACAGAATGTTGATTATCGAATATTTAATGTCATATAGAGTATGAACGCTTGTTGCTATATTACGCCAAATACAGCGCGTTTTATACTGACAATATAAGAGTCAGTGCTAATTCAAATTGCAATCAAACCGTATATGACTACCCGTATTGTTAATAGAATAAATATGGATATATAGGTTAAATGTGGCATGTTTTTGTAATATCTTAAGCATACTATATGTATAGTATGTCTTGTTATAAACTATAAATTAATTGTCATCTAAGAATATTCGTCATAAGAGCACCTGTAATGGTATAAATAGACGATTTATGTGAACTCATTAAAAGCAAAATGACAACTTAATGGAATTGTACCCGCTAAGTGCATGTTTAAAGGAATATATTCAAGTGGGATGTTTGCTTGTGTGTCTTATGGTTTCTCGGAGTATACTTAAATAGTTATTTAGTAGTCACTCGTTGTGACCAGGGCTTCTTGTAGAGCCCTAAGCGTAGATGGGGGAGGAAATAACCCCTAGAAAAACGGACGCATCTGTTCCACAACTTGAGAATAAGTTATGGAAGGCGGTGCAAGAAGGAAAATTAAAAAATCTTCAGACGTTCATTAATGATTATAAGGAGCATGATAAATTCGTTCAAGTATTAAATGATAATGATCCAGAATATGAAGAAGATGGTGGTCACGTGGTCATCTATTGTACAAAGGAGGGGAGAGATAAGGGTCCCACGTTCAGTGGCAAAGACTTCGGTGCATGCATTTCGTTACTTGTCGAAAATGGAGCGGACATTAATAAAAAGGACATGGCACAAAAAACTGCCCTATCTTGGGCCGTGACCTTAAAATGTCCTAATTATGTCACAAAGTTGTTGAAATTAGGGGCTGACGTGACGCTATATGACCAAGATGGGAACAGCCCCTTACACATAGCAATATATAAGGGTTACAAAGATATAGTAAACATCATTTTGGATTTTAATCCCAAAGTAAGTAAAATGTTGAAAACGAAATCGTCCTACATTGATATGTATGGAAGCTAAATGCATATTATAAATGTCTTTGTTAATTAAATTTGCATAATTAGCTTTGGCTCAGTTATGAAGATCTCTTAAAGATATGTGGTGTAGGAGTAGACGGGTTTAAGTAGAGTTAGATCAAATAAAATAGATAAACCTTTTCAAACATTTTTTGAGAACAATATAATGCGTACTAGACTTGTTTAAGATCAAAAGGTTTAAAACTATTTAACACATTTCTATAACCAATATATTTAACTAAGTTTGGGGGATCAAAAAGTACACTTTAGACGTTACAATGATACTGATACTATAAAGTTTATAAAACGTAAGCCATTATACACGTATAGATTTAATTCGATCTGCACAGTCCTGTAACTAAGTTTTAACAATGAATAAATATTTTCCTAAATAAAGGATTCGTTTACCATTTAAAATGCTGGTCGAGTTTTGTTTACTCTGTTCATAAACCGGTAACTAGTCTTATAAAATCTATATCATGCCCATTATTTTGATTATTAATACAGACCGGTTTGCTGTCTTACACAAAGAACCTTATTTCACACCGCGGTGTATGCATTTATTATTTTATTCCTAAATGACAACTCTTTTCAATTTCTTTTATACATTTCAGTTTTTGTAAGAATCTTATCAAACAGAGCGATTTACTATTTGAATGTGGCTCATTTTTTAGAATACTTTGTTGCGTCCCAATCAGCATATAACATGTTTTTTAGCCGTGAGAATGCATTCATCTAGCAAATACAAGCTCCTACTTTACTCGGAATTACATTTTTTTACTTCCAAAAATGCTTTAACAGCATAAATATTTTCCACAAATTTAGGAAAGGCAACGTTTTGTTAAAGTTTGTGAAACTGACATTCATTATTCCTGCACCTATACTGAATTAACATCATCATCAACAACAACAACAACAACAACAACAAAAAACAACAGACACCACTACCATTACCAACAATAAAACAAGACCTTGAATGATTTAGACGAATCCTTGAGTTATTCTAGTAATAAAATTGTTCTTGCTAAAATATTAGCTACAGTTTCTTTCTAGAAACCATGAAACATTCTTATATCTACTATATGATAAAATTGAAATCAACAAACTGGGATGAGCAACCATCTCGATCATTTTGTGTTTTATTTACGATGTTTTTCTTCTTAAGGAAGTTAATTAGCCCAGAAACTTTGATTATGTTGATATTAATATAAAACATCCCTTTCCATTGCCCAGTTTGACAAAGAATAAAAGTGTGCTCATCTTCTGCATTTAAATTGCGTTTTAGAAAAAGAATTTAAATGTCGATTATCCTTAAGAGGAAACTATTAAATACAGGCATTGCTGACATTTGTTTTTGTCTGGGATACCTTAAAATTTTCTTATAAATTGAATGCAAGCCTCATAGGAGGATTTAGTTGTTATTTATAAAAAAACTAGCCTATTGCATACTGCAAATTACAATACGTTCAACAGTACGTCTGCCAACGAATAAAATGCCAATTTCTTTGGCATTTAAATGATTAAAAAAAAAACAAGTAACAGCATTTAATCATACATGTACTTTATTATATATTTATTGTATAGATTATTTCACGGTCAGAGTGACTGCGCGCTTTTGTTATAGTTCATGCACACCAAAAGGATAACGTCGATTAACTCCCTTTATAATGATAACGCTATTTGTTTTATTCAGGTAGATACGTATTTAGATTTAATAATTTAGTATACTACACCAGGGTCTTTTTCTGCCAGTATTTGAGACTGAAACCAGCAAATGAAGAAAGAAACTCGATATATAGAATCTATATAATAGAATAAGAGATCTGTTATTCTCATACTTCTCTACATTGGGAGTAAAAATGTAAGGTATCTTTCTGTCCCAGCTCTACATTATGACCAATTTTTTTTTCTAGATGGGCTGTATTGCCCATACTCAAATTTACACAAAATCCCAGCGCGTAGTAGATCTACAATTAGTTGGACTACATTATGATTTACTTTTCTTTTTATTAAAGCAGCATGCCTCCACTGGCCCAGAATCAAGAAAAAAATAAAATAAACACGTTAAATACTGGTCTAGTTAGGTTTCATCCGAAAATCGGTTATTTCTCACCTCCTAAACCAAACGTTTTAGAAAGAAAGTTCACAAATAGATCTATCCCTAAGAAATGAAGAAACCTAATCTTCCAGTTAGATCTATGCTTAAACAACAAAATATCAATAAACTTAACACAAAATTTAATAAATTTCTTGCAGTATTTTTAACAATATATTCTAATTAGCAAGATGTCATTATGCATTAATAGGGAGACACTCTTTGATTGTTACCACTAATTTTGGTAAATTCTGTTCAATTAAATGTATGCCACTGAAATATGAGCCATGTTGAATTTACCACTTCATCTAACAAACAGTATCCTGTCTAACAAACCTGACATTGTCGCTTATTGCTTGATGATCATTGTTATCATGGTACGCTAATGGTGGGTCAATAGCGATTACCTTGTTATCATACTCGCTCAACCCATTCTATCCTTAAATTTTTATACAGATAGAAATTAATCAATAAACTATATTGATACATTTAGTGATTAATAATATCTGTCATATGTTGCGGTTCGGACCGGAATATCCGTCCCGAGGGGACCCGCCCATTGGGCGGTAACGAGGCTTGCCGAGTTACCGCCCATGGGCGGGTTCCCGAGGAACGGATATTCCGATCCGAGCCGCAAACATATGAAAGATATTTTTTCTTGCATATTCTGCCATATTATTTCATATTTAAAATGGTTTACCTCAATATGATATATGTTCATGGAAATTAAAGTCATTCCATCCGTAACTATTTTCTTACAATAGCGTATGAACTTACAACTTAAATAACAACGGCGAAATGACGTCATCCTAAGACATATTTCCCTTCTAAAACGACGTCATTTTAACGCGGTTCATTCATAAATGGCGCTAAAATGACGTTGTTGTTTGGCACGTGACTCATCTGGCACCCCCCATGCCAGATGAAATTTCCGGCATGGGTAAAACTCACGGAAACACCAGTCTGCTATGCAAGAAATTTTAGTATCACTTTGATTTATACTTCTAGATTTAAAGTGCCGGAAGTCCTGTACTTGTTTTAATATTTCGCATTTAGTGATATTTCATTATTAACTCCCCTTCGATCTAATACTGTGCCTGATAGTCCTGTATTTCTTTTATTGACATCAAATAAATTTCTATTAACTAAAGTTGAACTTAAACAATGGTAACATCCATTGATTCCTTACCGCCATGTGATAAGATCTATGATGGTATCCTTTAGACAGGATTTCCTGAAGTGAAAGTAGTAAACACTACGGCATAAATTTCATGCTTTGAATGGAAACATAAAACTCCAAATCAATTCACTTAAATTAGAACATGTAATGTATGTGTATCAGATTTTGTTGATTTAGTTTTTCTAATTATACATAAATTATTCAGGGTAACTTTCTTGCTTTCTGTTATTTTCCTTTAACTTTATAGCTTCACTTCTACATGAAGCTGAGGTGATAAAATAAGAGGTGATGATATTATAGGTCACATGATGTAAAAGTTGATGATGTATGAGGTGATGATATAAAAGTTGATGATATCAAAGGTCAGATGATATTAAAGGGGATGATGTATGAGGTGACAATATAAAAGTTGATGATATGAAAGGTCAGAGATTATAAAAGGTGATGATACATATGGTGATAATGTAAAGGGGATGACAGATTATATTAAAGGTGATGATATAAAAGGTGATAATGTAAAAAGTGATGATATATAAGGTGATGATATATGAGGTGAAAATGTAAAAGGTTATGATATGAAAGGTGATAATGTAAAAAGTAATGATATATAAGGTGATGATATATGAGGTGATTATGTAAAGGTGATGTCAGATGATATTAAAGGTGATGATATAAAAGGTGATAATTAAAAGTTGATGATAAATGAGGTGATGGTAAAGCAGTTGATAATATATGAGTTCATGTTATACATGTATAAGGTAATGATAAGTTGATAAGAAGAGATGTGATGATATATGAGGTGATAATATAGAAGTTGATGATATATGAGTTGATGATATATAAGGTGATGGTATTTAAGTTGACAAGAAAATATGTGATGATATATGAGGTGATAATGTAAAGGGTGATGATATATAGTGTGATTATATTAAAAGTGATGATATATGAGATGATAATATCAAAGGTGATGATAATTAAGGTGACAAGAAAATATATGATATATGAGGTGATAATAAATAAGGTAATCATGGTATTTAAGTTGAAAAGAAGAGATGTGATGATATATGAGGCGATGATATAAAGAACGTGATAAATGAGGTGATAATTTATGAGATAATAAAAAAGGTGAGGTAGTGATTAAAAAGAAATGATATAAAAGGTTATGATATATAAGATGATTATAAGAGGTGACAAAATATCAGGTAATGATATATGATTATATAGTAATAAAATAAGGTGTATATATGAGGTGATATTATATAAGTTGCAAATACAAGTGGTGGAGGTATATAAGGTGATGGTATAAAAGATGGTGATATATCAGGTGATAATACAAGTATTTGATATGGTTAAATGTAAGGTAATATTACAATGTATATGTAGTATATGAGATGATGATAAATAAGTTAATAATAAAAGAGGTGATGATATACATGATGTGAGGATATATATGGTGATACTATAAGGGGATGATACTTTAGGAAGTGATGATTTGGAAAAATCATCATGACTTGCAGAAATGCATGGCTTGAATAGAAATAAGATGTTTTATCTATATCAAATGTAAATACTTTAAATTAAAGCAGATAATTCAGTGATAACTTGAAGATCGACAAAAAGATTGTATTCAGTTTTTTGTATCTTTTAATCATGATTTTTAACACCCAAAAGAAGCCTTTGGTAAAGCTAGTTGATAATATCTGATCACAATTTATATTGCAGTAGTTAACAATTGATAATGTTGTAGTTTATTGTTCAGTATTGTAATGTAAAACTAACTCTATTTAAACAAAATTTAATACAGTGATCTAGTGGTTAGGATATCCACTATTTAAGCCAGGGATCAAAAGTTCAAGCCCTACTGAGATCATATGTTTCTAAATATGACACCAGTACTAATTAGTACAAACAACTGAGAAGAAGTTTGATTTATCCAAGTCTGTTTTTTACATTTGATAAAAAAGGAACAGTTTATCTGTCATAGAGAAAAGAATTTACCAATAACAGAAATATCTTGATATCTCATAATTTTGAGGTGCAGTGCACTGCTGTTGCGCTGACACAACAACTTCTTTTCATGTGTCACATGTGGAGAATAAGCAAGTGTTGACACTTGTCTCTGACAACTTCTCTTTATGCTAAAAGTTGGAGGATCCTGAACATTGGACATACCAATTAATCAAATCAAAATTGTTTCTTTACGGTATGAATAAAATACGATATGAATAAAATAATAAGCTTTTATATGATATATTACCTGATATTTCATCAAATTTTATATGACCAGCAAGTTTTATATGACCAGCACATATTTCATCACCTTTACTATCGATATGTGTGATGAACATGTATCTTATATTAACAGCTCTTATATTATGATCTCTTTTATCATGATTACATGTTATATTATTGTATTCAATATTATCACCTTATTATATTTATCACCTCTTATGTCATCATGACTTTTATATTATCACCTTATATATGACTGCCTGACTTCTGATACATCAACATCTATTATATTATCAACTTATATTTCATCAACTCTTATATCATCATCACTCACTATTAATATTATCTCAGACCTCAAAATTCTTCCATAAAATTGTTGTAAGCTGCAACACACTGATGTTAATTTGTTGTTTAATTTGTTTGAAATGTAAGATTTATTTAGTATCTTCTGAAACAATTGACTCATGCCCTGTGTTTGCTTAAAATTTGGAATTTACATGTGACATGGTCTACCAGGTAGATTTGTTCCAACAAGTATGAAAACATGATCATTTTGAAGCTAAAAATAGCACACATACTTTCTATAATAATTACCACCTACTGTTTTGATTCTAATCAATGATTTTAAAAATCCTAAAAAGTATCTGCAAAACCTATATCAGACTACTTATAATAACCCAAAATTGAAAATTACATAATGAAGTCTGAAAGTAGATTTTATGACCAATTTTACTATGATTTGACCTACAATAAATTCATTTCATGGTGTAACATATAAAACATATTTGTGTTACTAAATGTCTCAACAAAAAAACAACTCAATAATGAATGAGATGTTTTGTCCTTAATGTAGTTAGACATGCTTTACCAAATTTGAATAAAAGGATTATGTTAAATGTTCTTTTCTATTCTTTGAATAAAAAATATAAAAAAATCTGCATTGTCAACATTTAAAAGAACCGTAAACTGGTCAATTGTCACATTGATCTTTAAGTATTGTTCTGTTTTCACCATGACAACCTTGATTGAAATGTTATACTCCTTCTCAATTAGTTATTCATTGAAATCGTTCAACTTTTATCAATAGGTTATAAACCTATTAGAATCAATTTATGGATAGTCATATTCATGAATTAATTTATACATATAGGGAGCAAAACTTGAATGAGCAAACAATATGTATGTAGTTAAGTTAATTTGTTCATCCTACTATTTCACTGATTACATTTCATGATAATGTCATTTTAAATTCATATTTTCCTATTCTTTAAATAAGTGTTTTATCAATGAAAATTATGCAAGAAATTTGTTCCATAGGAATAGATAATAGATGGCAACAATTTGTTTTTGCCCAGTACCCCATCTGCAAATAGGAATACATGATACACTTTTTTAGCCTTTTTTGTCTTCCAGTATAATAATCAGGTAAAAGTTTGTGTCATAGTTATTTTGGGAAAAATGGCTTAAATCTATACCCCAGTTATATTGACCTTTTAAATTATTTGCTAACATTTTGTATTGTGCTAAGTCTAGGTTTGACATTTGATGTGTTTATGTGTCATAAAGTAAATTGTTATATGGTGGCATTGCTCTCTTTAACACAGTCTGAAGGTGGTATATAAAAAACTACCTACATGTATATGCAACCAGTGCAGACCATAATCAGCTGGCACATCCATACTGTCTGTTCATGGTCTGCATTGCTAGTTATTATTCAGTACATATTTTGAAAATTTCCTAAAAAATGAAGAATTGTTTTTGTCCAGACTGAGAGATAGACAACACCATTTAAGATATGTAGCAGGTAAAGGTTGAAGCCCAAGCAGTGGGGTAAAGTGCTGCCTTTTGGAGATTTTACAGCCGGCTAGTATAAAGAAAAATACCTTTTAAGTCATTATGAAATGCTGTACCACTCACTATTTTCATGATTTCAGTGACTACTTTAAAATCTACATAGAGTACTTGGGCAGTTTTTAAATTTTCAAGTAATAGTATTGAGGCTCCTTGGATCCTTATATTTTATTTTCATATTATGAACCCAAGATTTAGATTTTGGTCATATGGTAATTTCTCTGATGGAGGAAGACGCTCCAGAGGTAATACAAGCTTATGTGGGCATCAAGGTAGAACCACTGATCATGCAACTCCAATATCATTACTGATTGTTAAATAAATATTATCGTACCCTAAGTTGGTTCCCTGTCCTAGAGTTAACAGTCCCTTACCATGTATGACAGACAATCAAGACAAATTTACGAAAGGAAACAGTTTGACATGTTTTTTAAACATCAAGTAAATTTAATGTTTCTGCCAAATTTCTTCAACATAAAATGCTTGGATCATTAGAAAATTTAGTTAACTAACTAGCACTGTAAAATGGTTAGGGTAACAAATCAATTGGCCACCCTTGGATATGTTATTATATATGTTATATAATTATATTTTCAGATTCAAATTTATGACGGAAGCATTCATAGCAAGACATGCTTAAAATCCTTTGTTTTTTAGAAAAATAATTTTTATAGTAGTAATGAAATTTAGTCTCTTCAAGGTGTATTAATACTTCTGTACTCAGTAATAATAAGCAGAGCACTCATTATATTTATTATTATTCATAAACTTATTACTTTTATACTTTCATAGGTTGTAAATTTACGGGATAGTCAAGGTGTGCCAGCTCTAGTCACTGCAGTCAAGTATAAACAGTTGGAGATATGTCGTCTGCTACTAGATCATGGAGCAGATGTCAATGCTGCCGAGCAGAAAAACAACAGAACAGCTATTTATCATGCCATAAGAAACAAGCATATAGAAATTTTAGACACCCTGTTAAAGTAAGTTATTCCTTTTTATTCTAACTTACCTATCTATTTGTATTGCTTACCAGTACTGAAGTTTCTAAGCTATGCTTTGACTTATTTTGGAGCCTGGTTCAGAGCTTATATATCAAAATCTTTGAATAACTTTCTGATGGAGTTAAAGTCCAATATACTAGGTAAAAAACTAAGACATATAGCCATATGATGTATAGCGTGAAACTTACGTGGATACTCAAAATACCTCTTTTTTTTAATCAAATATGGATTAAACATTGCAAAAGTGTTTGTAATGATCATGTCTAATTATTCATTAATTATTTGGTTTGGTGGTATAGATCATAGGAGGTTCTTGATCTTTATTTGCATAGATTTATGGTTGTAGCCTATTATATAAGCATCAGATTAAAGATAGTGATAGTTTTTACTGAGGTGAGCTACAAAAGGACCAACATGGACCTCTTGTTTTTTACAAATTACAATTTCCATTGCACAGAACATTATAAAAATAAACATACTATTACAGCATACGATTAGGAGAAAAAATGAAGATAACATTCATATTTCTGTTTTGTCAAGTCAATTGAAAATTTGAATTATGATTCAATTAAACATATTTTGAGTAAAGAATTTATTATGTTTGTGTTTGAAGCTTCCTACAGTACTAGAACATGTCCTGTAGTATGGTCATTGTCAACAAACATGTTTTCTGAATGGAATTAACAAAATAAGAAAAGTGACAAGTTTTGGCTAAGTTGGTGTAATATTAATGTTATTTTTAATCTGCTAGGAAACCCAATATAATATCTTAATACTGACACATTTATAAGTTGAAAAGTAAATGAATTCTATGTCACTCACATAATTACAATATTTATCTTCTGCCAATTAGTAAAAAGATTCTACTAGTAAGTGAGTCGCTTAGGTCTTTGAGGACCATATTGCTACAAGAAGAATGACCTAATGCTTACAGTAATGAATCATAAATAAATATGTAAGGATTTAAAATAAATCAAATAAAATTATTATAATTTATTCATTTTTGAATGTACGTATATAAACAGTTTATTGACCTATGAATAGAGAGTGATGAAGGTCTTTTTGACATTTTGTTTGTTATACGAACTATATTGATTGATTAAACTATTTTAAATGTAATGGCATTAAATATCAGTTCTTTTTTTTAAATGTTTGAAAGGTAGAGAAGTTTAAAGCAGTAAATATTTTCTAATCGATGGTTTAATATATAGAAAGCATTGTTCCTACATTTTTATAAATGTTTAAAGTAGATTTTTATGTGAAAACAACAAATATTAATTGCTTTTTTAGGGAAGTTAACTTTAAAACTAATCTTATAAAATAAAAAAAATTAAATGACACAATTTGAGATTTTTAAATCATTGAACTTTTGTGATGCTTTTCCACTGAATGGATGGAAACATTGCTTCAAGACATTTGTTGGAACTGACACTGATAAGCCAGGCTAGCCGGCACATTAATGCAGGTTAAGGTTTAAAGATTTCTCTGATCCATAACTTCACCCCCCACTAATTTATATGGAACTTTTACCCAGGCTAAGTTATATGGATTTTTTTACCCTACTAAGTTATGTGGAACTTTTCTCTCAAACTAAGTTATATGTAACTTTTACCCCTACTAAGTATAAATATATGGAAATTTTACTCATACTACATTATATGGAACTTTTACCCATATAAAGATATATGGAATGTTTACCCCTTCTAACTTATATGGAACTTTTACCCCTTCTAACTTCTAAGTAATATGGAACTTTTATCCCTACTTAGTTATAATGGAACTTTTACCTCTACTAAGTTATATGGAACTTTTACCAACTAAGTTATATGGACCTTTTATCCCTCATTAAGTTATATGGATCTTTTACCCCTACTAAGTTATACAGAACTTTTACCCCAACTAAGTTATATGGAACTTTTCATTCTTTTGTACATGTATAAAGGATGGTGAAACTGAGTTGCCAGCCATATAGAGTCTGATTATTCTGCACATATGCACAGGTTAACGAAATGGCTGTATGACTGATAGCATATAGTCAAGTCAAAATCAGTGCAGGAATTACTAAGTTTAACCTTTATCACCCTAAATATCTTAAATGGACTTGTCCATCTTTTAATCTTGGCAAACCTATCCTTCATTTTTAGGGACAATTCCAAAATATGGCATGAATGTGCCAATTGAACTTGGTCCGCACTGTTCACATGGGTAAAATCTGTTGCTGTCACTATCAAGCTTATAATAGCTTATTATCCATTTTGTGTAATATTTTATATGTTATAATTTTCATTTAATCAATTCTTATAACAATAAACATACTAATTTCATGAATGATTAATGATCCTGAGAAGTCAGGTGGGAGTTGTTCTATATATATTCAATATAATATTCATTAAAGTGTTGGCTTGCCCGAGTATATGGTCCAGAATTCTTTAATATTTAAACATTTGTTTGCAAAGAGAAATTAATATCAACTAGTATTATTCTTTTTCACTGACAAATAAGTGCTGTATTGAATACTTTGCTGCCTTAGGTTATGTTAGAATTCTTGGATGCCTGCATATTTTCTCATTAGCGATTGCAATACATCAATATGTCTTAAAAGTAAAAAAAAAAATACTTTACCTCACAAATATTATATCAACTTAAGTATATAATATATGAGCAGTGGCTATTGATTTTGGTCTTGTGGTCTAAAAAATTTATTTTGTTTATTTATTTATTTTTTTGGGGGGGGGGGGGGGAGGAGGGGGTGGGGGCGGGCCTTGTTTCTAAAAGTATGTCTGCAGCAAAAGTACTAGTATTTAGTTCCAGCGGTATAAAATTATGACTAATTTGTTTTGAACTCAATAAATGTAAAGAAGTATATAAGAACTTGATCAAGTAATACACAAAAGATGTATAAAAGATACAAATAAAAAATTTAGAATTATTTCACAAATTGTATTAATTTGAGCATATTTCAAAATCAGACATATTGAACAATAATTGTGTATTCAGAACACTAACCAGAACAGCTGACCATTTCTAGCATTAGAAGATGTGTTTTTAGAATATTAATGCTCTCAGTCAGAACAATGCAAAATATTTGAATTATATTTTAAAATACAATGTAAAATAGAACATTAAGTGATTTAAAATCTTAATTGATACTAGACCTTTCAGAAACCTTGAATTTTGCTCTTCTTGACCTCATGAATTATTTCCTTAAAGATAAAGACTGCACAGTATGAAACTGAAAGCTAATTTGCGTCTGCTGTCAGCATTCTCGCTTTTTACTCTTTTTTTAAAATGACGTATGATTTTGTTCAACTTTTAAGCTTACTTAATAGTTCTAGAATCTTAGCAAAGTGATGGCTTAAGTTTGAGAACAGTATAAATTTCAAAACATTGATTTATTTGATATTACAAACAATAACCAATATTAATGTTTAATTTTTGATGTTATTTAATTAATGATGGCATTTTGATAGCTCAAATTACTCTTGAAACTCCTATAGTCAAATATTTATAATAGGTCTATAATAAATTAGAAGTCAAATATTTTTAATAGGTCTCTAGGTAGTAGTAACATGCTCTTGTTTTGGTAAATGTGACTAAAGAAACCCCCAGAAGTCTTTTATCAAAGGGACTCCACTGAGGTTTAAAAGCCTAAAAACATAACATTTGAATTTCTTACATAAATGAGCTGGGGCACTTTAAACAGTAATATATGCAAAGATAGTAAAGAAATATACTTTGAAATAAATTGAAAATCGTATTTTTATGCTTTTCTAAGCCTAATTTGGAGTTTGGGTCAGTTTTTTACAATTTGAATAATTATTCTGAAAAAATGGTGTGCGCGAATGATCTGAAATTTTGCACAAAGATTAGTGGTTAAACCTTCATCAAATGGTACAATTATCTGGAAAAAATATTTTCAGTCCCATCATGTCAAAAAATCTCAGTGGAGTCCCTTGAAATATTCAACTTAGAAATGAATAAAAATCTTTGGTTTAATCAGTAAAATTTTGCGTATGTTTTTGTTGCATATACTAGAAACAAAGCATTGGGATTATATTAAGGATCAGTGTTTTCTCTTCTGTTAAATACTTCTTGACTTAAATGGAAGATTATGTTTAATTGTGTGTTATAATCTAAAAAATAATAAGTCATTTATGTCTTTGTAGGTTAAAATCTTATATATTTACAGTTTATATTGATTACATACATGTATGTGCATACAATTAAACCTATATGTAAAAGCTAAGTTCTGTACTCTGAATATTGCAAATGTGAAATTGTATCTGTTTTGTATATTAGAAAGAAAAAAAGCAATACAATATTGAAATGACATAAATGTTATGCATAAACAACAATCAAAGCCACCCACAGGGTATAATGCTCTGCAAAGTTTGAACTGTCCTATACTAAATCCAGTGATGATGCCTTCCCCACCCCAGCCCCCTTCCTCACTGAGTCCCCAATTTTCAAAAGTGGATAGGCATGGGATAAAGAATAAAAAAGTTGGTTGGAAAACTCTATATTAATCAATAATAAAGTGATATCTTATAAATTATTTGAAGTTACAGAGTCCATAAGTAAGTAACAATGTTATATTCTACTAAATCTGAATTAAGAAGAAATACTGCTTAAACAACAACTGTGACCTTCTTAATATTGTAGTAATCTGTCTTAAAACAAGGTCAGCTTACAAGAAAACCAAATTACTAAATTAATTGTAGTGGTCAACCTTAAAATCAGATTAAATTTAATTACCAATTCACTTAGAGATGACCTTTGGCACATGTTTCTTTTTCTTTTAAAATCTTTTGAGTACTGTATTGAAAAATGTCAGGAAAAAATGTAAGCTTTAAGTTTAACATAACTCTTTGTGAAATAGAAAATTATTTTAATAATACTTGGAATTTTATGTATGCACATTGTGTTTTTGTTAATTCACTATCATTCATAATTGTATAACTTATATTTCATTGCGCTCA